TTCTAGTCTATACGTATACTTTATCTGAAGTCACTTGAAATAGCATAAAAACCTTTGGTCGGCGCGTCCTTTATAATTTCATGACGTATCATAGGCGTGCGGTCATTTATTTAGAACGATAATAATAATGTTTTTATATCACAATAAATGGATTTTACTATCTTCTTATTTTTTTGATTTGGGATAAAAAATACTTATATTGGGAGTTTAATTTATGTTGACTGAAAGTTAAGAAATGGAAAAATTACAGAATTCCAACGTTTGACATAGGCAAATATTTACATAGCAGGTAGGTATATAAAAAGGTATATAAAGACTTACATTATAGGTATTTATATATCATCCTCGCCTTCGAAGCTGTCGCTAGAGTCATCTTGTAGAGGAATTACAACGGGATTTACAGGAGGCAAAACACAATATTCATTTTCTTTTTCAATAATATGCCTAGAACACTGCTTCCATAGGTCTGTGGCAGCAATATGAGATACTGCATCTCTTATTGTGGCCAATAGCGATTCACTTAATTGAGGGGTCTGATTATGTTTTCTTACTTTTTTTTAAAGCAGCCCAGACTAACTCAATCGGGTTAAAAATGCAGTAATAGGGAGGTAGACGTAATACTTCATGGCCATTTTGCTGAAGCAGATTGTCAACAACATACTCTTTTTCAAATTTTTGTCTTTTAATAAGATCCAATAATATGGCTTTGGTTGATTTTTGTGGTATTTCCATTCCCTTATCCTTCATAAAATCAATAATGTCTTGTTTTTTTGTGCCTGTATTCGGAATTTTGTTTTTCTGTCGGGAATGGTATGGTGCATTGTCCATAATAATCACTGAATTTGTGGAAATGTTTGGTATTAACTGCTGCTCTATCCACTTTTCAAATAAGTCGGAGGCCATGTCCTCATGATAGTCGACTCATAATTCTTTGATATTTTTGGCAGATAACAGCAAGGCATTAGGTATAAATCCATTTTCACTGCCAGCATGGAGAATAATGATTCGTTTTCCACGGTTATGGTTCATTTAAAATGCACTTGTTGCTGTCGTCAACCCAGCCGTACTGCACAACATCATGGGTATCATACCACGTTTCATCCAGGTAAATCAGATTTCTTTTCTGCTCTCTATAGATTTTAACTTTGTGCAAAAATTCTTGGCGCAATTCAACGATTCGAGACGACTCCATAATCACCATTCTTTTATCTAATTTTTTGTATTGAAAACCACACAGTTTTACAATACAGTGCAGTGAGTCTAAGCATTTGTAATTATAAAAATCTTCAGGATAATCTTTTAATTTATCCCGTATCATTTCCAACGTGGGCACCAAATTTTCTTTATAAAATCCGTATATTATACGACGAATATCTTCCTGAAAACCCACGTCTATTCGTTTTAATTTTTGCCCTATGCGCTTTCTGTGGAAGGAATGGTTGACTACATCTCCCCTTTTTATAACCCAATAAATGGTAGACCGACTGATTTTTGTCAGGATACAAATTCTGTTTAAAATTTGATTTTGCGAGGAATCTGGATTTTCGTTTTTCAGACAATCATACATATTTAGGATTACTCTTTGGGTCTGTTCCTCTAAATCTTTATGAAAGAATTCTGCCTGCACAGGTTCATCAACCATCTCCTCGTGGCTTGGAGCATTTTCCCAAGGTCTCCAAAGAGCCATATTTAGGACACACAAGAACAATCAACACAACAATTAAGTCAACAAGTAAACTGAGTATTCAAAAGTCAAAAACACACAAACTAATAAAATCTATGAAAAAACACGGACAGACTAAAGAAAACACGTTTATTCACCGCTACACGGCACTGGCTAAACTGTTTCAATTTTCAGTAGCCACCTGCACTTGTTCGGAGCTCTGAAATACACTGCTTTCTCATTGGCTATGTCCACGCATAGGCGTGCTTTACTCCACGTGGACCGGTGAAACTGCCTTTGATTTTATACGGGGGATATTTGCTGCGAAATTTGGCGATTTTTGCAGCAACAGAGCGTGTTAAATATAGATATATAAAACGCACCCGGTATTTCATAGTGTTTCAAGTGACTTCAGATAAAGTGTACACACTATCCAGTACCACCGCTGGTTTGTTCTTAGGTTATCGGGTATTGTTGCAATACCAACGGGTACAGGGTCAAAATACTCCTAAGAAAATAACACCTTTCGAAGAAACGAACAGTTACAATCATACACTCTTGACTGGCATATTATGTTTATCGTAAATAAATATTTATTTACTGGTATGCAAATGGTACGTCGTTTGCTGTCGGTTATCGCGCCAGCGAGTATAATTCAACTTTCTGGGTCATGGTTTACTCCAGGCTGTGAAGATTGTTCACACAAAGGCTATGCTTGGATATTAAAGCATTTTTATTGAATTTTAAGCAGATGAATAAGTCGTGACATCAACAGGTGAATTGGTAAAACGATCATCTTTTCGATATGCAACTCATACAAGGGTGTATCAGAAAGACGTGCCAATATTTCTAGGGTAGGAAGTATATAAAAAAATAACGAAAAAAGTCTCCTAAAAATATGGGTTCGAAGATGCTCCTGTCGAGATACAGGGCGATGAAGTTTTACGAGATTGAAAAAAGCGGGTAAAGATACTGGGTTATGGTTTAGACGTCATCGTCAGCAATAAACACATAGAGTTTGCCTGTCCAAAGTAAACCAGGGACGCAGAAACTGGGGTACCTGTACCCTAATAGGAAATACTTTCTACGCCACTGGCCTTTTCGGAGAAGAAAATGCATTTTATAAAATATCACCCAACTATTCATAAAATTATCTCTCAAGGAATTTTTTCAGAACTCGTTTTGGAAGAAATTTAGGTTTGAATATTTGAGGTGAAATCCTAAAATATTCAACTCAAGATGAACATTACAAACTTCTTTTGTTTCTCAAATAGACATACGAAACTCAAGTCACAGTTCATATTTCTTCCTGGCAACTCGAATGTTATGTTCGAAAAATGGTGGATGTGCTAGCAAATGACAAATGTGGTATAAACGTGTAATTAAATGTTTGGTCGACTCCTGTCTCATAAAATACAGTTACTGGTAACTTCATTGAAAGACAGCGGTGACCTATCTTACAGATGGAAAAATCATCGGGTGTAGATAAAGCAATTTCCGTCCTACATCCTTCTATTCCAATTTACTCAGTATCGGATTTATCTACCATTCCGTGGCGTATTTTTTTACAATACAAATACTGTCGTGAATATCCAGCTGCTATAGGAGCCATATCCAGACGTCTTCATGTCTATACAAATATTAAGGACTTTGTTACTTAATTCCCTGTAATTTCGTCTATTGTCAGGGTCATCCCCTTCAAAATGAACGGTAATTCCTATTTTGTCAAAAAACATACGGTATGGTTGGTTAAGACAACTTTTTATTCTTGTTTTGCCAAACTGAATTAAATTGGCTACACATCTCACATGTAACGGAGAAATTTCATGTCTCCTCTTTAGAGCCCTAAAACTATTTAAATTGTTGACTGCTGGTCCACCCATTTTTTTCTGTATAAAACAGATGACATCGCCAACAATACAATCTGTTTTTTTGCAACGACATAACCAAGAGTTTCCATATACCAACGTAATTTAAAATATCAAACTACGTTTTTTTATTCCTTTTTAAAATTATCTTAAAAATTCTACAAGGAGAATGAATGTTCAAGTGGGGCTAATTTGATATTTACTGAATTTCTATTACATATCGCTGTTGGTAAACAAATAAATGAAACTGTTTCACAGTACTTAGTCATAAAATATTTATTTGTAAGATTTTTAACTGTTACCAATGGTAACAATGGTTACATGGACGCTTCACACTGGTTGCTACTATGCCAAGAATGATCCTTTGAAGATTCTGAAAATCAGTTCAGTGACGGTGGAGACAGAAAGCCAAAAACGAAATAGAAAACACTAAAACTTCGTTTTTGACGTTTCATGGGTGCTGATTTCCAGAAAATTTTTTGTAAGAGTTGAAATTTTGGGGGTTGGGAGTTGTATGAGGTGGGGAAAGGTAGATGAAAATTGGTTGAACTCAATATCTTTATACGCTCCCAATCCCGCTAATTCTATGCACTTGTTAGCCATATTCCATACATAATAGATTTCCACGTACATTTGCATTTAAAAGAATGAAAACAAACGAGGACCGTGCACGAAATCACGAAAAATAACTCGCTGCCGTTGCCGCGCTGATGTGAACAGGGTCAACGTTGCCAGATGGACAGTACCTAAGGGTAGGGCACGGAAAGAATGTCTATGGACTAATTGTGTGGGCCTGTTTGACTGACTTAATCTGCTTAATCGCACTGTTGTACTGTACTCACCACTGACTTTTTATCAAAGAATTTAAATTGCGGTGAACTTAATCCTTTATGAACTGATGAATGCGTTGCGTAGAAAGTGCTGAGTCAATCTACTTGACGCCATTTTTTCCGTGGAATACGTAAAAATGTATGAGTGGGGACAATATATAATAATTTCCCAACAAACAAGTAACAAATTTAAACATTGTGCTTATAATTTTATAATGGTAGTAAGGTTTTTTTTTATATACTCCAACTACCACGAAGGCTTAAGGCCTAAACACCCATTGGGTACCGTGGACCTATAGGAGGATACAGGGGAAAGGGGGAACGCCACACATTCTGGCTCCGCCTACGAGATCCACCGGATGGTACCTCCGCGTTCGACAGTCAGAGACCGTCTACCACCTACGGACAATCACAACATCCATAGCCAAGAGAACATTTTCTCCTGGGACGGGATTCGAACCCGCACAGCGCACGGCGACTGATCAGCAGACCGAAAAGTCTACTACTGCGCCCACCGCTGCGGCCTACGGTTCGTGATTATTGGCTTTAAAACTCGTAGTTTTTGTTATTTGAAGGCATGCATTTGGCAGAATGGAAAACACTACAATCCAATTCAAACAGATCATTTTAATGCTTGGAAGGTACCCATGTTTTCAGTGATCATCTTTTTTCTAAGTGATTGTTTTCTAAGGAGAGATTGTAACGTGATCTTATGTTGTTACAGGAATGGAAGCATTAGAAACCTGTATAGGTTATTGGGAGGATGCCTTATCCTCCTACAGAACCAGGGAAGGCAGCATAGCGGCTGTTTTGTCAGGAGATGAAGCAGCCTTCTGTGATGATCTACGACGTCTGTTGGAAATGGCTGTAGATCTACAAGTAAGCTGTCTTTTTTTACCTTTCATGCTTATATTTAGGTATAAACTGCATTATAACTGCAGGAACTACAGCGTAGTTTTTTCAAGTTCACATATGTTATTTTAAGGCGTGCATGATAGTAGAAGCATTACTACTCGTAATAAATAGTATGTTAATAGTGCAGTGCTGCCATTTTTGAAGATTTTTATGATAATTTCTTTTTCTCAAATATATTCTCAATGACTTTCTCCGATATTATTATTTTATTCTTCCGCGAAAGAATGGAAGATAAAACACTTTTTAAGCCGTTACAGTGGGGTTACTCCATCAATGTAGTTCGTAGATAAGTTTTGCGTTCGTGTGCTGAAACGGTTCTTTGTTTATTTATGAACTATAAATTAGATTTAAGAGTGATCCGGCATATACAGGGAGACTTTGAAGTTGAGTCATTAATTTTCAGATAATGATTGTAGAAGGAAAATAAACCAAAATATGTGTGTAAAAATAAAAAAAAATTTTACCTTGTTTTATAAAGTATCCTCCCGACAAGTATTTCAGTGCGGACCTGTATTTGATCGTGCGGTCTTGGAGCACCGGCATGCCCTCCCCTGTGAGGTCTTAAGTCACCTGACTCACGAGCCCTTTGTACTACATTCAGCATTTTCGTAAACATGTGCCATTTTTTATTCACTATTCACTCACGCGTTACCGACTGACACATCGACTGAATACAACTGAATAAGATTGTACATTGTAGTAAAAACAGTCGTTTCAAATTCTTTCGCTTTTTTGTTTCCGATGCGTGAACGGATAAGCCGGATTATATCCGTTGTTGCCAAACACGAGCACATAATATTATTATTGAGACAGGGCGGTACTCAAACTTCTAAAGGGCTATAACTTTGTTACTTTAATTTTACCAGAAAAATGTTAAAGGAAAAAAACATTTCTTTTGATCAGATCTACTCACTGTTAAAATAAATGACTCAACTTCGAAGTCACCCTGTATATTTCATACATATTTTCTGTGTGTTGTTTAACTCGTTTTCATTTTATTTCCTACGCTGTTAGATGGTGAAATAGCTGGTGCTAAATCTCGCCCTATTTAAGGTCAATAAATACGATTATTATTAATTGTTCTGATTATGCGATTCAAAGGTTTCACGTGCAGCAGTATTATTTATTGATAATTCAGTTCGATTTTTTAGAGCTACTGCTTCACCTAAAAATATTCAAAATTCTAGGTTATTGAAGTTTGTTTGAGTCGCCAGTATATTCAAATTTTCTTCAAAAGATTCAATGTTACATGTTAGGAAAATTCTGAAGCCCTGTTCCTAGACGAAAGGTCGGTTCTCTTCCGAAGAGACTCACAGTCCAATGGAAGAGCCTCAGCCCAGGCAGCTGGATTTGATACGGATCTTTCTGGCGGTAGAGAGTTTCGCATCTGCTCAAGACGTGGTAAGCTTCTTGCTAATCAGTTATATATTACTATATCCCGAATACTGTTTTCGAATACTCAAGATTCAAATACAAAGAAAAAAGCTTTCGAATACCGCTGTTTTGCGTACCTGGATACGTTTGAATATAAATACTTTTCGAATATTTCAACTAAAAAATATTTGATAGATCGGGTGTTCATACATATAGTATCGTAACAAAAACATCGTTTTACTATCCAAAGTCTAATTAATAACACTAGCTGTAATTTATAACATATTTATAACCATATCGACTGGACTACTGCGTCTCGCGCTCTTGGCTTGTCATCGCCCGCTGTCGACTGCTTCCGCCATCTGGTCGGATATTTATGTCGTGAATAGACGGTTCCCGATGCACTACAGCATGTTCTAGATAAAACTCGATTCCTCCTCGAAGCCGACAGATGGCGGCAGGTGCTTCCAGACGGGCCTCGATTAATCTTGAGTCTGGGCCAAGCCTGCAAACGCGCACGCCTCTGGTTGCCTAGCATCGATAACAACAGCCGTTGGATGATTTTTTAATACATTTTTTCTGTAGGTCGCAGATCTACGTGAGTTTGAAGAATTTGCGGAATATTTCCCAGATGTGGATGCATATCCTTTGTACCAGTCCGCTCTACGAAGGTTAGAAGGTACTACGAATGATGGTTCTGGAGGTATACCTTGTCGCACGCTACGTACTGAGGTACGGCTATACACTATATTTAGTAAGGGACGAAAACATTGTGATTAGAGGATATATTGTTTTTGTTCATTTCCATTGCCGTAATCATACGTTTGGAATGAACGAAAACGAGACTTTAGGTTTCTTGGTGAAAACTGTGAATTTTTCTAAATTTTAGTCCAGATTATATTGAGTTTTTAATATCTGAAAAAATGTGTTTCTTAGGTGGTTAGATGCGGTGGAGACGGAGAATATTTGGCAAAACTGCACTGCCTACGATTGGCTTTTCAGCATTTACTCAAAGATGCTGGGAGGTACGCTTGGTTTGCAGACTGCTGGAAGGCAGGTTTTGGCTGATCTTTTGCTGTATGCCGACAAAGATCCCAAAGATTTCCTTATAGGTGTGTACCACAAACAGAATTACATTGCAATTTTCTAAAGTATCCTAGCTCTTCTCCCGCCTACGCACTTCTTCCTCTTTGCTCTTCATTTATTCCTTCTTCCCTTCATTGTCCGTGACCAAACTTGGCCATCGTACCGATCTTCAAAACCAATCAAGTGCAAACTTGGTCAAGTTAATAACTAGCTAAGGAATCCATACAGCTTAGACGCTTGGCAACTTGTATTTTATGTAGATGATATTTCCAATGTCAAGGTTATGAAGAAATGCTGCGATTCATCCAAGATCCATCCAACTGGCGAGACTTAGAAGAAGAATTGAGTTCCAAAGGTGTGAAAGCTTTAACATTCTACGACGTAGTTCTGGACTATATCCTGATGGACGCATTCGAGGATCTAGAAAGTCCTCCATCTTCAGTAACGGCTGTCATTCAAAATAGGTAAGAGGTTTGCAGTGTGTTGAAAAATTGTGATACGACAAATCCATGAGTCTAAGAGGCGTTGTGCATAGATCTACGCCTAGATTCACCTGAGTGTAGGATTTTTGCTCAGCTATCTTACATTGATCTTGAATTTGACCTTCAAGGTTATTTCAAGGTCAAGTTATTTTTTTTTCAAACGGGACTCTATATTTTTAACACCGAAAATGGATAGGGCGGAAAATTTTACGTTCGGATGAGTCCTTGATCTACAAAAAAAATTTTACCTGTGAAGGTCATGTTTAAGGTCTAATATCTAAAATCAATATAATAATCGCGAAAACAAAAAGTATAAAATAAATTCTACCCAAGCATAGGATTAAGATTTTCCCCTGATGGTTCATTTTTATATATTTCTCAGGCTCATGGTTTTTGAGGCCATTTTATGGAATAGACATTTGACCGTGACCTAAAGGTCAAATTTTTTTGAGGTCAAGGATTCATCTAAACTTAAAATATTCTGCTCAATATATTTCCTGTTTTAAAAACATAAGACTAATTTAAAAAGTGGACCTGACATTGAAATGACCTTGAAAGAAAAAACTCAAGTTCCTTGACCTTTTTTTTGAGGTCAAACTGTAGATGAGTTCTTGACCTCAAAAAAGGTCACACATCCTAACTTTTTTACCTCAAAAAAAAGTCCAGCTTCTTTAACTCTTTTTGAGGTTAATGACTCTTCTAAACTTTCTTAAAAAAATCAATATCTTTGACCATTTTTTTGAGGTCAACGACTTATATAAACTTGAAATGTTATGCTCAATCTATTTCCTTTTTAAAAACATAAGGACTAATTTAAAAAAGTGGACCTGACATTGAAATGACCTTGAAAAGCCAATGCCACTGTTAGATTCAAGGTTACCGTAAAATGGCCGGGAAAAATTGCTACTCCTGTGCCTGGATAGAATTTCTTTAAGACTCACGGTTTTTGAGGTCATTTCATCGATTACACGTTTGACCGTGACCTAAAGGTCAATTTTTTTTTTGAGGTCAAGGGCCCATCTAAACTTGTCCTGCTCAATCCATTTCCTGTTTTAAAAACATAAGGACCAATTCAAAAAAGTGGACCTGACATTGAAATGACCTTGAAAACAAAAAAAAAAGGTCAAGGTCCTTAACTTTTTTTAGGTCAAAGTATGGATATGTTCCTTGACATCAAAAAAAGGTCAAGAATATTGACCTCAAAAATTCCTTGACTTTTTTTTTTGAGGTCAAGTACTCATCTAAACTTAAAATGATTTAAAAACATAAGGACTAAATTTAAAAAAGTGGACCTGACGGTCGTTTCATTACTTAGTGATTTGGATATAAAGGAAGGCTGCGCTTATTTTTTATTTGTAGTATTTCGCAAGTATTACGATTTACTTCAATGACAAAACTTGGAATTATTCAATTTTTAGTAGAAAGAACTTACAAATGTTATACTATTTTTAAAAGAGCATTAAATATGCTAGTTTTTAAGATCATTTGCTGATTCAGTCTGGTACATTTTTTCACAGTAATTAAACAAACCTTAGTAAAGGTTTTCACATCGAACAAAATTTTTTTAGCATACGGTGTTAGTTTTCAATGAAATGAATACTCGATTGTCGCAAACAACTATTAATGGTAGCCCAGGAAAAAAGATAGAAGTTCCTAATAGCCATAACAGGCAAAAAATGGTGCAAAAAGTAGTGATTTTTTGAAAAAACCTAAAAGTGGCAATGATCTCGAAAACTAGAAAACTTTTACTAAGGTCATGATGATTTGATCTGATTGATCTGAAGCCAATCTACCTCCTCACTCTGGCGTGTTATTTCTGGGACACCCTGTAAAGCTTAAGACCGTCCAGATTCCAGGCTTCTATGTCCAATTTATTTTTCAGGTGGTTATCAAACGGTTTCAAAGAAACGGCCCTAACGACAGCCGTATGGTCAGTATTGAAGGCTAAACGCCGCAGACTCAAGTTCCCAGCCGGTTTCATGGCCCACTTTTACACCCTGTCCGAGCAACTGTCGCCCCTGCTGGCTTGGGGCTTCCTTGGCGCGGACGAGATGCTCAGGGAGACATGTCATTACTTCAAGGATCAGGTTATAGAGTTCCTAGCTGATATCTTCGATTTCGGAAAGTGCAGGTATTACTACTTTTTACTTTTGATTTTCATTGCATGAGTACATTCGATTTTGACAATTGTTAATCACCATCATACTCCACTGAAAGGTTCTTTCTCACGTTGGCGCTAATTCATGATGCCCTATGTGTTAATACGATAAACACTCAGTATAACAAACGTAAATGTGTCAGATGTACCAACATCCATTCTTTACAAATATTTTTAGTTTTTCTGTCGCATTTCATGTGTTTTAAGTTAAAGGTGTGGATCACTTCGAGCACTTATTTTTTTACTTCACACGCCACGAAGTGAAAGTATTGTAATCGCGAAAAAATTCGAACATTTACACTATCTTCATTGGATGTTATTACTATACTGCGAGGTCTGTAAATTAAGTGATGAGAATGATTTTTTAATTTTTTCGTTCAAATATAATTGCCATTTTATATTGTGATCCTCGAAATGACTTCCTTCTGAAGCAACACAGCACTGGAGATGGTGCTTCCACTCCTAGCCTTCAGCTGGTCGGTTACAACCGTTGTTTTCGACTGTTCCCTTGATGTGATTTTTCAACTTCGAAAGAGAAAAAAGTCACAAGGACGACTCAAGTCACGCAAATGAGGAGTCTGAGGAGCTACAGCAATGTTTTTACTGGCCAAAAACAAGGAGAATTATCGTGATGCATCACCCAGTTGTTCTCGATCTGATGAACGGTAGTATGAGTCAACTCTGCAACCAAATGGCTCGAGCGAGTTCAAACGTATACTGAAAGCGGATCACTTGTTTCCCTGTCTCCCTTCTAAGCTCGGCGCCTCCAGTAATGCCAGATCGAACGCTACGTTGCCAGACTCATCACAACTTGCAGACCTCGTGTATGTTTGACTTTAATTTCCTTGCTATCCATGTTCGAAGCTAACTTTTTTTGCCTTTTGTCAAACATGACATCGTTGCGTGGGAAGTGCAGCGTCAACCTACTTGATGCAATTTTTTTTCAGGTATACAACAGTAGATGAATTATCAGAAGACGTGTTCACACATCTGCAGATTCGTGTTCGAAACATATGCATAAGGTTGAGTCCTCAATAGTGAGAACGAGAAACTATAGCTAGATTATAACAAATTGCTCTTTTTGCGAAGATTAGGCAGCAGATTGCTATTTGTTTTACCTGTCAAGGTAAACGATTTGACAATGGGTCTATGAAGACCGTAGGTGGAATTTCAATCGAATAATTTTTACAGTCGATTGATGCAAATTATAATTAATATTTTGGTCATATTTCAAAAACTCGGTTTTTAATTTCTGTAGTAAAAATGTATCGATATACTTGGCAAGTTTTGGTGATTTTTTGCAATTCAATTTTGTTAAAATTATCATAAATTCACTATTTATTACACTTTTATGAAGTGCCAATTTCTGATTTTGTACAGACAAAATTAGCTAACGATATTGAAGCGTATCTGTTCATTTATTTCTAAACGCAAATTTAATTGAACTTGTTTATTCCCACGAATGGCATGATCCCGACTAAAAAATATAAATGTTGACAGTGTTCTGTAAAAAAAAAGTATTTTAAAATGTTCACTTTTTAGTATCATGTATGTATTTATTATCGAATTTTGATTATATTTGCGATTTAATGTAAGCCCAAACACGTATTGTATGACATGTATTTCCATTCAGTAAGTTACCTTGATGCTATTCGAAAAGTTACTCAATATAAATGAACGCCTGGGAATCAGAGAAGACCGGAAAGATGAAAACACGCGGTTATTTGACATTGTAGTTGTTTCACGAATACTGCTTCGGACTTTTATCTGCACGAGCTTTCTTTCCTCCAAATCTTCCTGTAGTCTAATCATATTAGACGAAAATACCCCTGGTTTGCGAAATAATTGTAAGTCTGGTTTTATTGCATGGTATTCAAGACATGGACGCATAAAATGGGTACACCAATTTTTGTAGGAAAACTTTTTATTCGACGACAAAGAATGAGAAAACGTGTTTTTTGGGATTCAATCCAGGACCTCTATTCTGTGGTTTGAGGGAGTAGAAATTGCGAGAGAAAGTGGCAAAAAGTGGGCGTGGCCAAGAAATGCAGTATTCTTGAAATCATTTCTACCGAAAGGTGATAGAAATGAATTCACTTTAGGGAGTTGCGATTTCTCTTAGTACCGACCAAGAGAAACTGGAAAAATTAACCTAAAAATTGACGTGTTTGGCATTGTTATTGTCGTTCCTGCTAGACATATTGCCAAAATGGTTCAATTCAATGAATTGATGTATTGGAACAATATTACTAACGAGGATGTAGAGGAGGCAGTTGAGGAATGGGAGATTGGGAGAGATATCCTTGGGCACCATAATTTCGGATCGAAAATTTGTTCTGATGTATAGGTGGACCAAAGATTTGGTGTAAGAATTGCTGGAGATATTGATTCCATTCATACAACCACCTCCGCGAGTTTCTGCAGTCATTCTAAAACAGTATCCTTTAATCTATGTTTGAATTTTTCCTGGTGTTTTTGGGGGTGCTCCGGGAGAAATTGATTTTGTCATTTTATTAATTTTTTTAAGTTTTCGGCTCCATAGATAAAATAATAAGGAGGAAATCTTGACCAAAATCTTTGGTTAGTATTTGACTGTCAAAATGATCCCCATTTTGTTTGGTTTAAAACGTTTACTCAAACCTGGCAACCCTGTGTCTTGATTTCCTGTCTCCTTTCTATCGAGTCTTTTCAAGAATATAGCATTTTCGAATCGATAGAAAACCGGGGGAGTAGAAAAAGAGAGGGAGTGTGATTTTCTATTAAAGTCGAGAATAGGGGCACAGGAGTATTTTCGTCTAATACTAGACTAACTCCGTCGAGTCGACAAATCAACAATAAGGAAAGATTGCTGTTTATGCGTCTCCCGACGGAACAATTATTTTTCGTGACAGTAAAGATTAGCACGGAAGAATGTAACGCTTAAAACTTATCCTGCGCAGAAGCTGGCAATCCTCCATGGTTATCTAAATGAAACCACATATGCTTGATATACTGTTTATTGACGATGTTTCGGCCAGAACCATTCGAAATATCGCGAAGCGTAAATGTTACATTTGAAGCCCTGAGCGATGCATTCGTGAAACACTACGTAAAGTATTTCTGACGAAACGATTTTAACCTATTTTAAAGTGGAATCAATCGTATGTTGTATTTCTTGTATCTAGTCAGAATAGATTTTTTATCGTATACCTACATGTAAATGTAACTAATCATATATAGAAGCAATGTTACTGACATTCCGTAATTGTAAGCTGAATGATTTTATGTACGAAATAAAACAATTTTTAGCTTGATAATGTTTTATTTGCACCTAAGCATCCTTAATACTGAGAAAACAAAAAAATCATCATCATTAAGTGAATGGAACATAGATTATAATTCCTGCTATTACGCAAAATGAACCAAAAATAATTAAACTAAAACGGAAACTTCTTCGAGAAAACCAGTTTCTAGTGTAAGCATGCATACGGCACTAACACTTGCGTCCTAAGTATTATAAAGGCATGACACTTTTTCGAATATACTTTCACTATGATGACCTTGAGAGAAAGAAAAATGAGCGCCGGCGAAATTTTAATAAACAAAGTCGCCGTACACAGTTTACTGTCCAAGCAAAGTGGTACCGTACGAGACGGCGTGGTGCAATTTGAAAGCGGTTGGAGGTACCTTACCAATCCGGTTTGGGACGACTGACGATACGGGCCTAAAATGTTTGATTTTTATTGAGTAATAAAGTTTCAAGCTGCATTGTTCCCTGTGTTACTGTACTTTAACCTTTATTAGGGTGACGTATATATAGGTCATCAGGCGCCCAGACAATGCAAAATGAGTCGGCGGGCGGTGGTGACAGTACAGTTAGAAAAGGTCCGTACTGAAAGGGTTAAGCACCAACGATAAATTGTGATAGACCAAACTGGTATTTCACGTGTTTGCTCTCATTCAAAGGTGGAAGGCCGAACAAGCAATTGTTGTCGTAGATCGTTGATATATATGACATTTTAAATGTCAACACAGGCGTACACATAATATATATATATATATATATATATATATATATATATATATATATATATATATATGTAGATTCTGATGGATCGGTCCTCCACTCATGGGCTTTTTAGAGTCGATAGGTCCTCCGCTCTGATAGGTCCTCCGTATAAGGAGGACCTATCGCAAATTCCACCTATCGGCCCCTCAGGCCCCCCTCTGTCACCTGGCAAAATTTCAGAGGGATGACCTAGATCATGTTTTTCGCCGAATTTGGGTACCGTAGTTCAGGGTTTTGCCGCGCCGATTTGGTGGACTCACGATCGCTTGGGTATTCAGCCCGTATATTATCAAATATTACCAGTCAGGTCTACAGTGGATCGGTCATCTGCCGGGTATTCAGTATCCAGATTATCGCTTTTAGATCCTCCTTAATATTGGCATCGCTGTATTAGGTATTTTATTATATTTGCTGTGTTAGAGGATCGGCTTTTCACCTTTCTATGTCTGGTGCGGCCCAGTTCGCCGTCAGGCATTATAATAGGGGCGTCCGTGACCGAGAGTACCGTAATGCAGCAATAATATATTTGTTCGATTACTATCATTATTAATATAATTATGATTACGATTATGGTTGTGATTATGATTATGATTACGATTATTATTACTAGTTTTCGGAAAAAAATGTTTTTCCAATCAGGTTTTAGACTCATAACAAGTCGATTTGACATAAGTCACCTCTATGCAAAAGTGCTTCGTTTATTTGCCAACTAGATTTTTACGCTTGATGTGTTAAAACATTTTTTTAGAAACCAGCCCCAAAAAAGGTTTTTTTTTCTCGAAAACTATGAAAGATATCTCGTTTTAATGAGAGACAAAGGATGGAATAAATAAAAAAATCGGTCATGAGGAAAGTTGGGAAAAATTCTGCTACAATTTATGTAGGTGTGGGGGTAGTTTTCACCCTTCCAAAAAGCTCTGGAGTTTTTCGTAAAAGGCAAATATTAGAACGCTGAGCAGAGCATATGTGTTCCAAATTTCATTAAAATCGACCTACCGGCTTTTGAAATATCTTGGAAAACGTGTTTTTAAAAGAAAACTTTGATGCCCCCTAACGAAGCACCTTCGAATACAGATAACTTATGTGCAATCGACTTGTTCTCAGTCTGAAAATAACTAGTAATCTCACGTCCATGGAATATTGGGTCACGATGTGTACAATACATGATTATATGAACAAAGAGCAAAGTTTAGCGTAAAGCTACTCAAGCTAAATTAAAAAGGGTAATATAGATAGACCATTATGCAAATACAACCACATGAATAGAAAATCAAGGATGGTGTAGTATTAAGGAAAAATGTTCACAAAAAAACACTCTCAAATATGATAAAGGTGATGCTCAAATCCAATTTCCTATAGAATAAAATAAAAACAAATATGCTAATCCTAGTTTTACAATTTAAAAAATATGCTTTTACTTACCGCGCCTATTGGCAGGGAATTAATGTAATCACAAAAAATTCGCTTTAGCTGCAGTGGTTGCAGAGTGGTCAACAAACGAAGAGAAAATTGCATAAACTTCGCTTTCGGACAATGACCTACATTTTTCAACATTTTGTGCTTTGACAACCACGCGGTTATAGGAGCGAAGGATAAACGCAAATAATATCGGTATGAATTTTATTTACGAAAATACATAAGAAGAAAACTGAATTTATACATTGACAAAATGAAACTACTAAAAAATGCTTATACTTAGTTTGTGATACATATGTTCATACTTAATTTCTACTTTATTAAAAAAACGGGTTCGCTCATAAATTGAGATGGTATTCATTTTTTCTTTCGGTACTGGTTCTGGATGAAAACTTTGATTTTTAGCCAGTCCTTATTATGTAATAATTCAGTATGACTTGCGATGAGGTTATCGCATTCAGCCTTTTTTGGGGCCCTCTTAGATTTAATGTGATTTCCAAAGTGAACCAAGACTAAATTTTTCTGATCTTCAGTCCAAGGAACTAGAACCCTGGACTTTTTCTTTGGTAACGTTATATCCACTTGCTGAGATTCCGGATCTGGATGCGGTTCTTGGATATCTTCATATTGGCATAGAGGCTCTGGGTGGTTATCATCCTGCTGCGCTTCTGATATCAAATTCTCGTCTAGATTCAAATTAATTTCGTCCAGGGATTTTCCTTTGAAATGACCTGCCTCGCCCTTCTCCATCAACGTCAAAATCTTGGAGAGTCTAGCCGTTTGGTAGACGTCATCTGGTAATCGGTATGATGCACGGTGGATACCTAGTGTATGTCCCATAAAAGATGCGAGTTGTTCCATGTCATTTTCTGACATGTTGAACAATTGAGTCAAGGTTGCCAAGTGCTTTCTCAGACGGGTGCTAGTCAGAGCATGCGGATTTTTCGCTTGACATAACGACGCATACTTTTTGATTACCTTGTAACCAATAATGGGTTCTTGGGAGTTAGGTTTACCGAAAAGATATATGTTCGACACCGTCTGAATATTATCTCTACACTCTAGTATTAGATTCAAGTGATCCTGTACATCCTTGCTTATAAGAACTGGAACACCTCTGCCTCTTTTTCCACGGATTACTATTCGTTTGAAAGATCTCATTAGAATTCTCTCGGTTTCTGTTATTGCTTCTGAAAACTCCTCATAGGCTTGATTGTGTTCCTCAGATATAGCGGATTTGTAAACATGTATGGGAAGTCGTTGTAGTTCTCCAGGCCGCCTCCTATTTAATAAAAGCAACCTACAATAAACTGTCTCGAGTAAAGACGTGTATGCTTTTTCATTGCTTGGATTTTTTTGTAGCATTGATACCTGATTTGCAGCTACTTTCATGAGGTAATCCTTCAATAGTTTGAGATCAGTAGCTAACGGTACCAAAGTGACCTTATTCCATTTTTTTAGGTTGAGGTCATTAGCAGCATTGGTTGAAATATCGAATCGCCAATTTGCCTCTATGAGTTGGATGCATGTTTTTATATCTGCCTCAACGTTTGCATTATCTACTGTTGGCAGTGACTTAGATTTTTTTAGAACGTGTAAAAGAGCCACATCGCAACATTGTTTTAAGGTTGTACCCATGTTCATAGCATATGTGGGGGATTTATAAGTTTGGCTTTCGTCATCATATCCTGATGTTAATTTAGTTGCTTTCACAAGTATGTCATATTTGTGTGGTTTTAGAGCATCAAATAGGGTAACCACAGACAAATCTAATTTTTTTATCTCCATTAGAAGTCGAGCCAATTCTCTCATTTTCCTAGAAACGACTTGGACAAAATGTAGCTCCCTATGGAGTTTCAGATATCGGGAAGCAAACGCACATATTAATTTATCATTTTTCGCAACCAATGAAACTTTGTCAGGTCTCATGCGAGGAAATACTTTTACTTTGAGCTCAATATCTACCTTTATATTACCCAATAACAGAGTTTGTCCTAAAGCCTGTGATCGTTTGCCCGACGATCCCTTCTCCGGGTTTGCATCACATTGTTTGCGATGACGCCATAAGTTCTTTGCAGAATAGTAACCCATACAGTGGATGCATGGAAGATATTCCGTTTTTTCCGCACCTTTTCTAACAGGTTTTATCCCCTCTCCCCTCAAAGGCGTAGAGTTGATAAATTTACCCTTTTTCCTTAGAGCAAAAAGCAGTTGTTGCCTTTTACGGCTTAAAACAGGTAAAGCTAGAAATTCTTGTACCTCAATTTCATTCGTATGGTTTCTTTTCAAATGACGTGGAAAATGAAAAACCTCACATTCACAAAAACAACAGAAAACTGTAACTTTTTTCTTCTTTCCTGACAGTCCAGTATTCACTGATGAAGAACCAGACTGACTGGGTGCAGACTGATCACATTCTGCGGTGGGAATTGATTCAGCTTTTGCATGTATAGTAACATTCTTCTTGACACTTGCCGAATGTAAGTTGTCTCTGGCCTCATCGCTCCTGTCCAGTTCCTCGTCCTTTCAAAAGAAAAATAAATATAAATACAATAAATGCATAAGCATCGCGACAGGTGGACAGTACTTATACTTATCATTGGAGGCGTATCAAATGAAATGTTCAGTGAATAGTGTTAGTATTGACGTTCAATTTTGTATGTTGTTTCATTGATCAATTCATAAAATATCATGCCGTCTATGCTAAGGAATGACCATTGTTTTTCAACCACATTTCCCTCTTTCGTCTCTGGCCTTCTCTCACTTGCCAAGCAATAAGCGGAGAACCTTATCCTGAGCAAAGTTGTTCCAGTAAAAATAGATTTTATTATACCTATTTGGAAAAATGGCATCAAGCAGGCTGACTCTATACTTCCTACGCCTTCAAGATGGCTCTTAGTGCAATTTCCAATATAGTGCAATTGAATCTATTAATCTGCTGTCAAAAATAGTGGTTACAATTTGAATTCAAAGTTTTTACTTATAGATGATATCTAAGGTTTAGGTGATATTTAAGGGCATCAAAATCACTCCTTTATACTGAACTTCAAATTCAGATTGTAACCGTCATTTTTGAAAGCAAATTTATAGACTCGATTGCACTATATTGAAAATTGCACTAAAAGCTGTCTCTAAGGGGTAGGACGTATAGAGTCAACCTACTTGACACCATTTTTTCAAATAGGTATAATAAAATCTATTTTTACAGTAAAAACTTCGCTCAGAGATAAGCTTTGTCGCTTGTTGTTTGGCAAGTGAGAGAAGGCCAGAGACGAAAGAGTTTTTAATCCCTCCAAAAATGTTTTTGAAAATGATCGGGATTCTCTGAAACGTCAAATACGAAGTTTTTTGAACGTTTTTTTGAATATCTACATTTACCTGTTTTGATCCGTAAAAGGCAACAACTGCTTTTTGCTCTAAGGAAAAATCATAATTTTATCGCCTTCGGAGGTCGAGGGGGTAAAACCTGTTAGAAAAGGTGTGGAAAAACGGAATCATGCATCCACTATATGGGTTACTATTTTGCCAAGAACTTATGGCGTCATCGCAAACAATGTGATGCAAACCCGGAGAAGGGATCGTCGGGCAAACGATCACAGACTTTAGGACAAACTTTGTTATTGAATAATATAAAGGTAGATAATGAGCTCAAAGCAAAAGCATTTCATCGCATGAGACCTGACAAAGTTTCAAGTTGCAAAAGATGATAATATGTGCGCATGCTTGCTGATATCTGAAACTTCACAGGGAACTACAATTTGTCCAAGTCGTTTCTAGGAAAATGGGAGAAGTGGCTTGACTTCTAATGGAATTAGATTTGTCTGTGATTACCCTATTGATTGCTATAAAAACACATAGATATGACATACTTGTGAAAGCAACTAAGTTAACATCAGGATATGATGATGAAAGCCAAGCTTATAGATCCCCGACATATGCTATGAACATGGGTACAACCTTGAAAAAATGTTGCGGTGTGGCTCTTTTACACGTTTTGAAAAAAATCTGAGTCACTGCCAACAGTAGATAATGCAAACATTGGTTCCATTAGCTAGTGATCTTAAACTATTGAAGGATTATCTTATGAAAGTAGCTGCAAATCAGGTGTCAGTGCTACAAAAAGTTCAGGTAATGAAAAAGCATGCACGTCTTGACTGGAGACAGTTTAATGTAGGATGCTTTCATTAAAGAGGAGGCGGCCTGGAAAACTACAACGACTTCCCATAAATGTTTACAAATCCGCTATATCTGACGAACACAATCAAGCCTATAAGGAGTTTTCGGAAGCAATAACGGAAACCGAGAGAATTCTAATGAGATCTAACAAACGAATGGAAATTCGTGGAAAAAGAGGCAGAGGTGTTCCAGTTCTTATAAGCAAGGATGTACATGAGCACTTGAATCTAAAACTAGAGTGTAAAGATAATATTCAGACGGTGTCGAACATAAATCTTTTCGGTAAACCCAATTCATAAGAACCTATCATCGGTTACAAATCCGCATGCCCTGACTAGCACCCGTCTGAGAAAGGTCATAGCAACTTTGACCCAATTGTTAAACATGTCAGAAAATGACGTGGAACAACTCGCATCTTTTATGGGACATACACTAGGTATCCACCGTGCATGATACCGATTACCAGATGATGTCTACCAAACGGCTAGACTCTCCAAGATTTTGACGTTGATAGACAAGGGCGAGGCAGGTCATTTCAAAGAAAAATCCCTAGAAAAAATTGAATTGAATCTGGACGAGAATTTGATATCAGAAGCGCAGCAGGATAATGACCACCCAGAGCCTCTATATCAATATGAAGAAATCCAAGAACCGCATCCAGATTCGGAATCTCAACAAGTGGATGAAACGTTACCGAAGAAAAAGACCGGTTCTTGTTCCTTGGACTGAAGATCAGAAAACTGACAAGGAAGTATTCTAAAGTATTTTCATGTTATATGACATGTAGATCACTCATTTCCGTCAGTCTGTCCGCCGCTCTGCTGCTGTGTCGAGTCCTTGATTACTTGAGGGGGAAGGTTACCACTAGACCAGGGACAGAAAAGCTACCTATATAGTTTTTAAGAGCGTTCCAGTGCCGGCGGAGAAAAAGTTAAAAACAAAAAAAGAAATCTCATAAACTTCGTTTTTTATTGTTTCAGATACTGATCATTTTTGAGAAAAAAATTTGTGGTGGAAAATTAGCGAGTTGGAGGTTGTAGAGGGTGGGACGGGTATATCTCTTTTTTATTTAGTTTAATGATACACTTCCATCCCTAGTAATTCTTCGCAATCTATTTGACACATTCTAAACATCATAGATTCCCCTCACATAGCAACGTTTTGATGGAAAAGATGTTATAGTTATTAATTGGAAAGTCGAAAAATCAAAAAATTTGAAAGTTGAAAAATATTAAAATTGTAAAATTACAAAATTAAAATATCGGATTGGCTACACAACTCCACCCAATCCAAATTTTTCAATGGGTACTTGAGTAGAATAATAGTAATATATTTACCTCAGCCTCTTCACTAGTGTGGGGACTATAATCTTCATCTTCTGCATCAGAAATTACAGAAGATGATGGTGGTGTGCAGCATATATTAGGCGAAGTAAGAGATATGAACTGAAATGAATGACATATATCAGACATGTTTCATAAAGAATACATAATATTGCTTTACCGAGCTAGATTCACTTTGGTGGTCTGGATCTTCCACTATGCTCTCGTTATTCGAGGTAACGTTGTACTGAAAAAGGTTCAATAGAATAAAAAAGTTCACAGACTAGGCAGTGAATGATTATTACCTCAGAGTCCTTGCACAAGTTACTGCAATGAACATTTTCTGATAAACCGGATATTGATGATGATGGGGGTGTACAGCATATCTTGGGGGATGTAGAAGATATTACCTAGAATAAATCATAAATATGGGAACTCTACCAAAAAAAACATACTTATGTTTTACCGAGTTGCAGTCACTGTGGTCGCTGTTTTGTTTAACCACAGATGACACCTTACGTGAATCAGTAATCACTGTTTCAGAAGTCTTATCTTTTTCTTCATCTCTTGGATGCTGTGTGATAGGTGATAGACCTCTGTTACAAAACCAATTTTTGCTCATATTGAAAGGCTTTCCCTGGAAAAGTTCAAATATATTGTTTTGTAATTATTCCGTTTCAACTTAGAGAAATAATACCATTCCAAAAAATAATAGATATACAATATCGACTATCTTCAGGAAGAATACAACATGCTTGTTTTTAGTGAAAAGATATTTGATAAGAGTGCTCTCAAAAATGTCAAAAAGCCAATTATATTAGAGTAATTTTTGTCATTAGCTTTTTTCCCAATGAACTGACATCCACAAGCCATTTTTTTCCGTGCAGCAATAGTATATGTTGATTGTCAAAGTAAAATACTTTATTTTTAATTGATTCTAGTAGCAATACCAGTGAATGATGTTCGAAATTTTACCAAACTCAATAATACGTAATGTGTTATCATTAAACACTATATCCATGCATTAACACTAGAAATTTTTGAGTGTACAGATACAGGAAATAGGTATGATTTCCTGTTTTCTACGCAAATGTTTGATAAAGTCAGATATGTCAAATAGATCCGATAGAAAACCTTAGGAAATTACGATTCACTCCCTCATCAACTCCTAACCCTCAAAATTTATTTGGATAATGATCAAGAGCCCCTGAATCGTCAAAAAACAAAGTTTGAGCGATTTCTATTTTTTCGTTTGTGGCCCTTTTCTCTGACGCCACTGGACCTATTTTTAAAAGCTAAAGCTTTCTTGTCCATAGCCTCGTAGCAACCTTGTGTCTAAATTTCATCAAAGTCCCAATGGTACTTTCCACGTTATAGCAGAAATGAGTATCATGGTTTTCCGTGATCTACATGTCATATAGCATCCAACAAAACATAATACCTCACTTTCAAAATATCTTGCGATTACAATACTTCCTCGACCGTTGACGTGGGAAGTAAAACATGATATCTCTGATTTGCAATTTTAGATTTAGAATTTTATCACCCCGCTACTGTACCATATAGGAAATAATCAACACAATCTCCCGTTTAAAATTATCATTGTCTACATATAAAGTCGAGCTACTTGACACCGTGAGTCAAAAGCACAGTCTGTAGTGATTTTGTATTATAATGCAAAAAACGGAATCAGTACATATACAGGTATGTACCCTAAAAAAGATGTAAAGCAGCAGCTAGAAAAAAGCCAAAATGAGCTTTGATTGAAGTATTCTATTTTTAAATTTTCAGTGATGTATGGTCACACTCAATCTACTTGACCCTGTTCTTTAACTTGAAAAAAAAAACATTGTAGCTTTACATTCAAGAATCACCTATACAAAACTAAACCAACAAGATTAGATAAAGTTTGGCGTAAAATTTATGGGGGTTGACCTTTTGAACAGCATTGTTTTATCCTTCACGCTACTCAATATTCATTGCTTTTCCATTAAATGTAAGTAATACAGTCATATTACCATCATATCCTATTAACGATTGCATAAGAGTTCAAAAAGTCATACTTACCTCAACAGTCCTTTCAGACACACTCTTGAATACACAACAGATTTGAACGTCCTTCCAGCACGATTGGTGCCAATAAAATGAATTCTCAGATCTTAGACAAACCGACAAACCCTATCCCCGGGCGCACGCGCTTTATTGACTGGAATTAAAATGATCGGGAGACCGATCTGACGTCAGACGTACGCCATTCAGCTAGTTCGGGTATTGTGGAGGACTCAGCACTGGTTTGCGTATTGAAGAGTATTCTTCATGGGAGATTGATCCACCAGTGTTTAGTTAATTCGAGTATTTTGGGAGACTCAGTGCTGGTTTCTTGTGAATCGTATGGTAGAAGAGTATTCTGCATGGAAGACCGATCTAGCAGTGTTTAGTAAATTCAAGTATTTTGGGAGACTCAGTGCTGGTTTCTTGTGAATCGTAGGGTAGAAGTGTATTTATTCTGCACGGAAGACCGATCTAGCAGGGTTTAGTAAATTCAAGTATTTTGGGAGACTCAGTGCTGTTTTTTTGTGAATCCGAAGGTATTTTGATGGACGATTGTATCATATGGCTTTTGGTTGGCGTGACTATATGGTTAAGTCTGAGCTATTAGAGAAAATCGTTGATATACGATTTTATTTCAAGATTAGGAATATTCTCATAGATAGATGGTACCAAACATGAATGGTGATTTCCTTATCCAAAGATAACGTCACATGATTGTAAGGCTCAGTATAGTGATTAGGTAATTCAAGTATTTTAGGATACTCAATGCTGTTTTTTGCGAACCGGAGGGCAGGGAAGTATTTCAACTGCTAATATCACAGATTTGGAAATTACGCGTCTAAAGCTTATCATCATTAGGATGTCGTCGATACGACATAGGCTATTGGAAAAGCAAAGTGCTCGATCTGAAAGTTCATACAACCTCCTGGACATGTAATAGAAAAAAGTATTCTTGATTGTGTGGGCTGCTCGATGATCTGATAATTTTTGCATAGGTAAGTTATAATTTACGAAACGTTGGGCATCCTTCTGTCGTATGCTAGCAACGTTTTGTATAGTCTTAATCGAGCAAATAGTGTACTCAAAGTTGCTGGAAAGAATTTTGGTTATATCCATTGGAGATCCTTGAAAAATAATATAATAATACAAGTCCAAGTTAGGAGACTTCAGTAGTATTATGTAAAGAGAAATAAATGAAACTTGGCACCACTGCACGGATGACTTATCTACTGGTGTTTAGTTAATTTGAGTATTCTGGGGGACCGAATGCCGTTTTGTGATCTGAAGGGTATTCCGGTAGAGGACACATCTTACGGTTTTTAAAAGGTAGACCTATATAGCGGACTTTATATGAAAATCCGAAATGTTAATGTACAGTTTTTTGAGCTGATCCTGGATCAGTTTGCCTTTTTGTTGGATATACACGAATCAAATTTGATATATATTCGATATTTCTGGTAGGTGACTTATTGCTGGGAATTGAAAGGATTACCGATCCACATGGAGATGTAAATATATATATATATATATATATATATATATATGCGTCTAAAAGTGCGATGCTCCAGCCGCGACTGTGAATATCGTAAACAGTTGAAAGTATAGACTTTGCATGAAGTGTGGCAACGTTGCGCCATTTCTTACTATTGCTGGTTTCACATTTGACCTTTTTCGGGAAAGCTTCATTCATAAATTTGGGTGTGTTCTTGTGGGTGCATCACGTATTGATCGTCGTGCAAATTGTTTTTGGGCTTTTAAACTATTGAAAACTATTATTTTGTTGACCCTGGGTTTGCAAGGTCTACAGTCAGCGGACTGGAGTAGAAGGATTGTTTTCATCGCTACGTGAATTTAAAAATTTAGGAGGTTAGGAACTTCAGTGGCGTGAGGTTGCCGGCCGATGGCTTTGTGATTTTACTCAAAATGGGTATTTTAGGATCAACTTTATATTTAAAGGACTTCCATTATTCTTTTATTAAACCTACAAGATGTGCAAATGTATTAACTAAAACGTGAAAATAAACAATGACTACTTATTATTGTATGTTTCTTGTAGAAACATCTACAAAATTATACTGGAAGAGAAATGGGTATTTGGTATTTGCATGGAAATCAAAAAATAAAACTGACGTATTTTTTTTATTCATTTTTTTGAGACAAAAATATCCTCGTAAGGCATTCACCTTCGAGATTCTTATACATTATGAGAATTTCATGTGTCTCAGAAGAGAAACAGAACCTCTTTATAAAAACATAACCTAACTACCAATGTTCCAAAAAAAATTGCCGACGCGAATTCCGCAGCTCTAATAATAATTGCTGTGAGTTCGGTAATATTTTCATTATGATGCGCCACTGTTACAAATGTCAAAACTTTGCATGAAGTGCGGCACAGTTAGGTCATTTCTTACTATTCCTGGTTTAATTTTCGACTTTTTTCGAGAAAGCTTCATTCATAAATTTGGGTGTGTTCTTTGTGTGTGCATCACGTGTTGATCGTCGTACAAATCGTGTTTTTGGGCTTTTAAACAATTTAGAACTATTATTTTGTCGACATGGTGCACCAACCCTAGGTTTGCAAGGTCTACAGTCAGCAGACTGGATCAGAATCTTTTCATCGGCAAGTTAATTTAAAGATTTAGGAGGTTAGGAACTTTAGAGGTGAAAATGGGTATTTCAAGGTCAACTTTAGATTTAAAGCACTTGCGTTATTCTTTTAAGATGATGAAAGAAGAAGCAAGCAGTAGCGTGGGTAGGATTGAATTTGAGTTTAACGATTGGTCCTGAAAATTTTTTGGTAGCTGGTGCTGTTGACTAATTTTTTATTCACGCCTGCGCCCATTTTTCTTTTCTTCCAAGTTGTAAACATATTCGCTGTTGCAAAAAATCGTCTACTAATGAAACCTAGATAAATCAATTTCTTGGTTTTCTAAAACAAAAACCTTGTAATCTCTCGAAACCAGTCGCGATGTTGTCCTAATATACAATATACAAAAATATCATGTTGACCTAACCCTAAACTATACAATAATATTGGTAAAGTGGTATGAATGTTACATCTGAGGCAAATTCTCGATGGGAGTGGCAAACTTGAAATCTTGTGGGAAAAGATTCGCGGCATGTGGATACATCAGTTTGTAGGATTGTCTAATCGTGACGTCAGCCACGCCTGCGATGTCTCCGATCTCTTTTTGACTTCTTTTGTCCTCGGATGCCTAAAAAGTCATCACAATAATAACTCGATTTCGACTTTCACTTGCATAGCTTCCCACTAAAGCAACTGCCAAGCAATCGGCAGTCTCATTTTAAGGCAGATAATGAAGCTTCTGATGACGACGGTCCTGAAAGAACATTCAACTCACCTGTGATGCCATGTAGATAGCAGCAGCCGCCACAGAAATTGGCGACCTTCCAGGTACAATATCCAGCTCCACGGCTTTCCTAGCGATATGCGTAGCAGCCCTTTGTACCACATTGGGCAATCCCAGATTCGAACAGAATCTCGACATGAAATCTCCGGTTGTAATCAACTCCACGGAAGTTTCCAATGCTTTGAGGATCAGTTTAAAACAACGACCAATCTCTCTTTTGCTAATCTTGCTTACAGCGCAGATTTCCTTGAAGGTCCTAGGGACACCTTCTTGTCTACAGGCGATGTACAGACATGCTGAAGCTATAGCATCGTTGGAACGACCTATAAAGAAAATAAGGATCTGGATCAATGTTTTGTGATGGTATTCCCACTGTTCAAAATGCATAGGGTTAACTATAGCTTTACTTCTAGTTGGACGTTAACTATCAAAAAGCGTTTTTAAATACAAGGTTTGTCCTAGAATGGTAGATAACTTTGACCAGAGGTTCATCTAGGGGTTAACTAAAAAGTATTAGTTAAACCGAATAATGGATATGATTTTTAATAACAGGTTAACTATAACTTCAGTTCTAATCTCATGTTGACTCCCAAAAAGCGTTCTAGAATAGTAGATATCTTTGACTAGAGGTTCATCTATCGGTTAACTAGGAAGTTTTAGTTAAACCGCTAAATGCATCGAGTTTTTAATCACAGGTTAACTTATAATCGGATTTTAACTCTCAGAAAACGTGTTTAATAACAAAGTCTGCCCTAGAATGGTAGATAACTTTGTCTAGAAGTTCATCTACCTATGGATTAACTAGAAAATTTTAGTTAAATTGCTATGTGCACATTGTTTTCAATCAGGTTAACTACAGCTTTACTTCTAATCGGATATGAACTCTCGAAAAGCGTTCTTAAATACAGGATTGTTCTAGAATGGTAGATAACTTTGACCAGAGTTTAATCTATGGGTCAACTAGAAAGTTATAGTTAATCCGCAAAATGCATATAGTTTTCACAGGTTAGCTATAGCTTTACTTCTAATCGGATATTAACTCGTAAAAAGCGCTTTCAAGTTCCAGGATTGCCCTAGAATGGTAGATAATTTTGACCAAGGGTTCATCTATGGGTTAACTAGTAGAAAGTTTTAGTTAAACTGCAAAATGAATAGGATTTTCAATGTCAGGCTTAACTTCTAATCGGCAGTTAACTCCCAAGAAGCGCTTTTAAATACAATGTTTCACCTAGAATGAAAGATAACTTTGATCAGATGCGCATCCATGGGTCAACTAGAAGGTTGTAGTTAAACTGCGATGTTTAACCTATTTTGCTTGACAGTGACATTAGTTGTTTCGGATGGCACGAAACACAAGCTCCGAACAACACAGCGTTGCCACATTACCAGTTATAAATGACTTAACCACAAGTTTGAGAAAACGAAATCACTAATAATTGATAGTTATTCCAAGTCATAGTTACCCAACATGAAAATAAATTTGTGATTGGAAAATTGGCTGTTAAAAAGATTAATAATGAAATTATGTGGTGTATTTGTACCACCTTCACTCCTCTGATAGATGTTATTCAGCTCTGCTTTCATTCACTGTCCCACCTGGATCATAAGGATGACTGCCAATAAGTATGAAGCAACATTCTATACAGTTGGTTGAACAGATGAAAGCAGTATACATTTTTGACCTAAAACAGATATTTACCCTTCAGATTTCGGCCATCATGAACTTGCTTAAACAAGTTGTTGGCTCTGTCTACGATGGTTCTAGGCAAATTGATACGATCCGCCATAGCGTTGATTTCTTTGAAGGCATTTATCAAAGCTCTGTCTGAGCTGTTCATCGTCCTGCGATTCTGGTAACGGGCAACTCCAAATGAGTCAAAACTGGCATCTCCTAAATAGAATGGAATTACGATTTATGCATAAGTCAATAGAAAAAAAAAATAAAGAAAGAGGGCAGCAGGTGTAGTGGAATATGAGTAAACATTGTTGAACTTGAGTTTTGAAGTATGGTTTTGGGTAAGATTTTACAAAAGAGCAGAAAATACTATTCATGGTTTCCACCAACTATTTGTAACAATTGAATCATTATTAATGATAGTTGCAAACAAGAAATGTTAAAAAATATGCATACCTCGTCCTGGTCCAATAATAGTTGTTAGATCTGAACCTCCTAGAAGTGGATTTTCTGGTCCACCAACACGAGATGGATCAACATTGCTCTTATCATTACTGAATGTTCTCCATTCTGATCCTACATCTATAACCCTGGAATATTGAAAATTCGAGTTACACAGAGTAAAACTCACAACACACCGGTGAGTTTATGGATAGGCTTTTAGTCATACATGAATATGCGCGATTTGAAAAATTTTTCATTTTTTAAGCTGTAGCTGGGTATTCATAGTGATACAATTATCAAATTTTATCTAATTTCAACAGGTATCAATTCAATATTGCATTAAAACCTGAGTTACAACTTATAAAAAACAAAACAAAGGTCACAAATGTTTGCTATTGTAATGATTTTGATTAATGGAGCATTTGGCTTCTGAATCTACTGAAGGTTAGTCATACCCTAGTAATGACACATTTTGGACAAAATTTATAAAAATGTTTTGAGTCATCATCATCATCAATCTTGACTTCCTCAGTATAAAATAACAATTATCACACAGTGACCAAAGAATCGATAATTCAAGATATAATTAATGCCACTGAGCAGATTTGTGCATATGTGAAATCCATGAGAGAATTATTAAAATGCTTTATTAAAAACATAATAAAATCATAGTGAAATTATAATAAATATGAAATTTCTATCATAGTTGGTTATTACAAGAGTATGTAGGTCCATTATGGGTTTATAAATTTGTTAGGTCTAGCAACGTAAAAAAGCACAAACCAGACAAATGAAAAAGGAGAAAAAGAAAGAAGGGAGATCTTTTGGGAAAAGAGTGAATCATTTGTAAATTTTAATATGCTCTCATAGTTTTTTTGTGCATTTTTTAATCTTTCTATCAACCTGGCTTTTGTAAGAATAAGCAATGTTTGTATGGTGGAAAAAGATATATAATTCAGTTGATTCATATATCAGGTTCTGTATGGAATTTCTTTTAATAATTAATATTCTTAATCATCATTATGTTAATAATCGGAAACAATACAATGGGCAGGATCTGCAATTGAAATTTTGACTACTAACACCTGTTCCTAAGCACCCATTCTTTATGTTTTATGAATATAGGAACTCTTTTATCAAATATTGCCATATGGTGTAACATCAATAAAAACATATCTAACAGAAATCACATGTACCTATCCCCAACAACTAAGCCACATTCTGAACAGATCTGATCTCCAGCCCTGTAGTCTTCTATCAAAGGGGCATCTGGATGAGAGCTGCAGCATACTTTGTTTGTATCATACCTAAAAAAGCCCATTAATGAATGTTTTCTAAAAGTTCAATAGTGGGATTATGGTGAAGTATCACATATAAAACTGTCTGTGGTATGTGAGAGGCAGTTCTTTCTATTTGTAAAAACCTTGTAAAACCGAGCAACTGTGGTTATTGTGAAACGTTTTTAGCAAGAACATATTCTTTTCATAAACATGTATGATTAATGCACTTACCTACTAGCCATTATGATTATACAAATTTCTTTTTAGGAATTTATTGAAGTATTATAAATAATAAAGTTACAGAAACCACTTCTACCTTTTTTAGGAAAAATGTCGTCTTTATGACAGGTTTCAATGACAATACTGCCTTTTTACGAATCGGTTGTGTATAGAGATGGTACGTTATGATCAATATGTTTTTGAAGAATATACTGCACGAGTAATGATAACATAGCCACGCAAGACAACTATTGAAATATACTATCCTAGACTCTAGAAGACTATCCGTAGCGAAAATTTTCCCGGAATCGTTGCACAACAGTTAAAAAATGAAAATAGGAAAATTATCGCTTTGACCCTTGACGTTCTAGATGACTCCGTCGTTACCCCGGGTTAGACATACGTTTAGGCAGTTGACCTTGTCATTCTTGTCACCTAGATTGCGGCGTTGCCAATCCATCGGACAATTTTGTTATTCTGCTTTTGCTAGAATGTTATAAAACAAGAAGCTTTGAAGAAAATATTGAGGGATATCAATTGAGATATATAAAATTTGAGGCGTAACAATGTTTGCCAAAAAAAATAAAAAAGCTATTATTTACATTTTGTTGTGTTTTTATAGGATAAAATACTTTTTGAATTCGGGACTTCTTCCAAAAAATTTATTATATAAATATATTTATTAACTATTAGATCTAAAATTACAGGATCATTAATAGGAGAAGTACGATTTTCATTTTCTTTACTATTTATTAGGGGAATATGGTTTTTTATTGACTGCATTCGCACTTGGGCGAAGAAAACCCCTAGAAAAAAAACATCAACCGTCACTGCTAAAATTAATTGTATCAGGTAAAGAAAAATCAAGTCGTTCCACAATTCTGGTTTCATTTGTACAATCGAAAATCGTCAACATGCCACAGTTATTAACCTAAAAAAAGTAGCATTGAAGTAACGGTTTATACCAGGATAATTTTTTAAAGTAAGAACCGCTTTGTAATCCAGTCAGAGAAATTTTATTTATGAATGTAAATTGTATCACAAACTAAATATGAACATTTTTACATTTTTCAACATAGCCACCATAAACATTCAAACACAAGTCAAGTCGTGGCACCAGCTTTTGTGTTAATGTACCCCAAAATATGTAGGTACCAACGATAGGTACATACTGTATTTGTACATATTAAAAATATGAAACCTGCAATATAAATGTTTGTCTGGTATTTATGTATAAATTGTGGACATGAGATATAAATGATAAAAAAGTGTTAACAATTTATAAAAATACAGATTTGCTTAAAGAAACACAGCGCCAGCCTTGTTTTGTATATACTTGCACGTACAATATGAATATTTATTGAAATCACCTTTAACTATTTGTAACACAACATTATGCCTCAAATCTTATAATAGCCCTTTCAGACTCAGGTGAATTTGCGGGAGAAGCGAGAAGGTGTCTACACTCAGCGACTGACTTTGTTCTCGACCGTAAAAAAAATTTCAACCGTATGTAGTCTTATTGGGTCTGGTGTAGTATATTTCAACAGTCTTGTGTGGCTACGTTTGCTCCACTCGAACTAAATAAGGTAATAAGGGTCTGGAATGTGGTTGCGAGTGAAAACAGTCCCTTTTTCCTTCCTATATTCAGATAATATAGCAATAGAAGTAAGGTTGAGGTTGGCAGCACTGACAGCTATTTGAATCTTCTACTGCTTAAGAGGTAGTGCTGCTAGGGCGCTATCTGGTATCCGACTTATTAAGCTCGTCATATGAGTGTTATTACCTACTTTCACACCGTGAACCAAAGTTGTCAGTAAGCAATGTCAGTGTCAGTTGTGAACTGGGCCACTAAAACAAAAATATAAAAGAGTATTTACCATTATTCGAATATTTTATTTATCATCTCATGAAAACTGTCTAAACAGCTTTTATTAGAAATATAATACGTTTCTATTGATTTTTAAAAATGGTAAGTATATAGAGCAAATTTGCTTTATAAGGCGGCAAACGTGGCTATTGACCAGACAAAAATATACATTTTTTAATTATCCTTGTTAAATATCTTTGCAAATTCGAGCTTATGAAAAGTTTCATGTGATTTTAAGCACGGCAGACTAAAGGTGAGGACGTCAGAAGAACAAAAAGCTCTAAAAGAGAAAGAACAACAGAAGAAGTTAGCAGCATATCAAGCAGGCATACAGAAAATTCTATCCGGTCGGAAAAAGGATAGCTATGATTCAGAATGCTTTGCTTTAAGTGCTCAACTACTAATTGCCAATCCTGATATTTATACTCTTTGGAATTATAGAAAGGAGGTGATCCTTATTGAAAAAGAAGCTTGGTAAGGCTCAGATCAGTTAGACTAATGTAATTTTTGTATTATTGAGAAATCTTTACAGTAACAAATAGTCATATCCATATCCCATTTACATTCAGTTTCATACCTTGGCCATAAAGGCCTGCGTGTGCCATGTGGGAATGGCAAGTGAATAGAAGTACTGATCAGTCAAAGCTAAAGACACAAAAAATTATAAAGTTATAGGCCAGGAAAACTTGACAGGAATTTATACCCTAGTTATGCTAGATTCATCCAAAGTTGATTTAACATAACTTAAGACAGAACTAATGTGTGGCTTGCATGCACCTTATTCCACCATATCTATTTTAGGCAACATGTAACTCAAATCATACATTATTCATTCTGCCTTATGTTCCATATTGAATTCAAGTTCGCATGAGTCCAGCATTATACCATGCACATTCGAAATGAAGCAGATTCCACAAAAACAAGCGAAAAATGTTCTTGAAACATTTTAGATTCAAATGAATTATAAAGCATGTTTTTCAGTGAAGAAAATGGTACCGAAGGTGAAGAAAAGCTAATAAAGTTGCTAGAGGCAGAGTTGAAACTGACAGAACAAAGTCTTTTAGCTAATCCAAAATCTTATGGCTCATGGCACCATAGATATTGGTCTATGATGAACCACCCAAATCCAAACTGGGCTAATGAATTTAACCTATGCACCAAGTACCTCAATATGGATGACAGAAATTGTAAGGGTGTGATCAGTGTTTACTGTGATCTGTCAATATTTGCATGGAATGTGGTATTTATTAATTGTGTTGCCTGAATGTCTGTAATTATTGGTGTATGAGGTTAGGTTGAGATCCACTGACAATGACAAAATCATGATAGTGTGGACCATAGTAAATACTGATTGTGTGACATTCACCTAAGGAAAAATCAGTTTTTCCATTATCTATTTATTCTCTTCTATTGTTTTTTTGATGTTGTAGTTCACTGCTGGGATTACAGAAGACTTCTAGTTAATAAAATAGGTATTAGTCTAGAAGATGAATTAAATTTTTCCAATGATAGACTAAATGCAAATTTTTCAAACTACTCCTCATGGCACTATAGGAGCACATTGAGAAGTCTAGATGAGGATAGTATTGGGTAAGTGTTAGCATAATAGCTTGGAAGTAGTAGTATATTTAGCCAAATTTCAAACATAAAGTTCACATGGCATTTCAAAAGAAAAGTTAAAAGTTCACAATAAACGTGAAGATAATACAGAGTGAGTTAACAGTGTTTGTTCCACCACACTATATACAAAAACATGATAAAAAATACAAGTTAATTATGACTAGGTAATATAGGCAATAAGTTAACTAGTGTTTTTGTTATAGTAGTTGTTAAAGTCAAAACTAGAGTAAAATAGCTACTAATTAAAACACTTCATACAAAATTTAGAATAAAAACATATTGATTAACTTAGCAGAACACAAAAATGAAGTTAGAAATCTACTTTGAAAATAATTAGTGTTTGGTTGTGCTATTATCGCCCAGATGGTGCTGTATCTTAAATACATTTTTGGCGCCTCTCTAATGCCTGTTTTAATTGGGTATTTTCAGATGGATGGATGGATATGTTTAATGATAATGTAATTTATTATCACTTTATCTTGTGTTGTTTTACTTTCATGCTCTACATTATCTTATTGAGAGCTTTTAGGATTCACTGATGCTTACAGTGTATGAAAGTACCTCTTCTTAAAATTCTTATTGAGTTGTATTGATGAGCATCTAAAATAAGGCTAGGGCATATTCATAGAAAAATGTTTTTATTTTACTTTTATAGTAAATAATGTCATTGGTACATTTTGTTTAGGTATGAATTGAAATTAGTTCAAAATGCAGTTTTCACTGATCCAAGTGACACTAGTGCTTGGTTCTACCTCAGATGGGTCCTGAGCAACCCAGCACTTACCAAAGATCGGAAAACTGAACTCATGGAAGCTTTAGAACAACTAGAAGAACTAGAACCAAATTGCAAGTGTAAGTTCAAATATTGCTGTTTGTTTTTTTTTTCACATCTTGCTTTCCACACCACTGGCGAGGAAGTATTGTAACCGAGAAAATTTTTGAAAATGAGATGTTTTTTCGATGTTATATGACATGTGCACTAGTTCAGTCGGTCTGTTTGTCCGCTAACCGTTGAATCGCATATAACTCGGAAAGTGACGCTACGATTCTGATGAATTTTTACATAACAAAACTATTACGCCAAAGACGAAAAAGATTTGTAGTTTTTGAAAATCGGTAGGGACAAAAAACTCGGTTAGGCTTCGCCGTTTTAGAGGCTCCTGATCATTTTTAGAATAAAATTCTAGAGGTTTAAAATTGGAGGTTGGGAGAGGGTACATCTCAATTTTTTGCGTTAACGATAGACAAATATCTTCAAAACACGCGTCTCTGATTGCTACACTGTCACATGGGTGGGGCTGCTTGCTAATTGTATGGGTCTCTTTGACTGACTTAATCAATTTTTTTGTTTTACATGTTTGTAGCCAACTTTTATCTCTGAGAAGCTGACTTGTGCATCCTGAACTGATGACAGTGTTGCTTGGGGAGTTTAGAGTCAATCTACTTGACGCGATTTTTCTTTCTAGGGATTGTAATGGCCAAATGCTGGTTATCTGGCAGTTTGGCACTGAATGACAAGGACTATGTAGACAGACGTGTGGAATTCTACAAAAGGTTGCTTGAATTGGATCCGACGAGGAAAGGACAGTATTTGGATTACTTGAAAATAGCTGAGGATAAAATCAAACAGAGAGAATGCGATAGAAAATTCTAAATATTTAGGGTTTGGTAAATACAAATCATGTACCATATTTTTTAATTCTTATATTTTATTAATTGATAGAATCCTATATTACAATGTAACGTAAGAAATTATACCAAGATCACTTTCGTCTGTACCAAAGTTTTGTAAAATGTAAATCATCACTATTAAGCCAGCACTCGATAGAGCCAGAAATATAATCATGAATTCGACACTTTTTTATTCATTTCCTTTTTCCTCAAAAATATTTCAGTCATCCTCTTCGTGTTGCTTCTTCAAACTGCCAAACACTTCAGCTGGTACTGTCTGTTTTTCAATGGGCACATCCACCTGAAAATTTGGTAGAAAAAAATTAATATAGTATCCCAAAGACGCATACGTTTTGACATCTACTGTTTGAATTGAAATCTGCAGTGCTCGCAATAATGAATCGGGAAAAACTCATGACTTTATCCAGAACACAGTAAAAAAGCTACTTCTCAGTGGAGATTTGAGATTTCTCGGGTCAGTGGTGGAAAAAGATTTGTGTGAATAATACGCAGATCTGCCTTCTTACACTTACCTCTCCCTCGCCTTCCGCATCTTCATCATCATCTTCGTCGTCATCCCCAATATCAATCTCGTCCGGATTCACCACCCTGGCCTTCTTATCTCCCTGCGTCTCGCCCCTGACGAAGGCGATGCCCTTGCTGCCTCCCGCAGCCGCCGCTGATGTCGTAGCCATTTCGGCAGCCTTGGCTTCCAGAAGCCTCATGCCGTCTTTGGCACCTGGAGCCAGGTCAGCCACTGTGCCTGCGGACGAGCCTGCGCTGCTCAGCATTTGCGCCGACATCATGTTCACCTGGAAGAGAATGGGATGAAAATGGCATAAAAACAGTACTTATAATACTGCTGTTTCATTCTTATTGGAAATCATCAGCACGGCCTTGGCCTCTAAGTAAGATGATGAACGAAAGCAGGGCGAAGTAATTGTACTGTCATAAAAAGAGTGCGCGTTTGACATTTTTAATTCACAGAGTATGTTTCCATTTTATATGGATTATTAGTCGTAGATTTTCTAGCGCTCAAGTAATGGGTTGTCCAATAGGGACGCAGGAAAGTAAACGTCAATTTGACATAGACGCCATCTTTGTTTTCTGTCACCGACATGTCATTTTGTTAGTTGAATGTTTACCATTGATCGCTATGGAGTCGTATTCGATTGAAGACCGCATTAAAGTTATTCAAGAGCACTACAAAAATGGTGCAAAAATAAAAAACACGTTTCGCGCGCTTCGTGAACATTTCGGTCGCAACAACCGCCCAAACGAAACAACCATCGGTCGTCTGGTGCGTAAATTCGAGGCAACAGGTTCTGTGGCAAATCTGCCAGGCTCTGGCCGGCCAAGGAGCGTTCGCACACCGGAAAATATTGATGTTGTGAAGGAGAGTGTGAGAGACGATCCGAAACAATCAACAACGCGTCGATCAGAAGAATTGGGCATTTCGAGAACCAGTTTGCTCCGCATTCTCCACAAGGATTTGAATGTACACGCCTACAAGATCCAATTGACGCAAGAGCTGCGTCAGGCCGACCATTTTTCGCGCCGAACGTTCTCAGATTGTCTCCTTGAACACCGCCAAATTGATGCCAATTTTTCATCAAAAATCATGTTCAGCGACGAAGCGCATTTCACTTTGAATGGGACGGTAAACAAGCAAAACTGCCGCATCTGGGCGAACGAAAATCCCCGTGAGTATCAAGAGCAGCCGATGCATCCTCAAAAAGTGACTGTGTGGTGTGCATTGGGGTCAAAAGACATCATCGGACCTTACTTTTTCGAAAATGCGGCCGGGGACGCCGTTACCGTCAATTCTGAGCGATATCACGTGATGATAGAGGACTATTTTTTGCCGCAACTTGAAGGAATGGATATGGACGATGTTTATTTACAACAAGACGGTGCAACATGCCACACAACCAACGTCAATATCCATCGATTGCAGTCCTTCTTCGGTGATCGCGTGATTTCGCGCAGAGGAAATGTGCCATGGCCACCAAGATCGTGCGATTTGACTCCCTTGGACTTCTTTTTATGGGGATATTTGAAAAGCAAAGTCTACGTCAACAAACCAGCCACCCTCCAAGAACTCAAAAACAACATCATTGCCGAGATAAATGCCATAGAACCGACCATGTTGCAAACTGTCATTGAAAATTTCGACCATCGCGTGGACGTCTGTAAATCCAGTCGTGGTGAACATTTGAGCGATATTATTTTTCATACATAAATGGTATAAATGAACCTTCAAAATAAAGTACCCAACTTGATTTGAATATCGACCTTTCTTGTTTCAATATGCGTTTACTTTCCTGCGTCCGTTTTGGACAACCCCATATAAAATGAGGATCAATCACACTGAACACGAATCTGGAGTCAAAATTGGGGGTCGGTGGACAAATAAGAAAGGAATTTTGGCATTTCATACCAAAATTTTCAATTTTAATGTCTAAATTAATTTCATATTTGCCCTTCTTCCCCGAAATTTTGAATTCAAATTCGTGTTTAGTGTGAAAAAATGCATGAGAAAAATATAGTAGAAACCCCTAGCACAGAACACTTTTTATTTTTTTGGACCTGTGGATCGTTTTTGTACGTTTTATCTAAAGTTTGTCAACCGACACCCATCTTAACTTCAATGTGACAAAATACATGGGAAAAACATAGAACACACCACTTTTTTTAAACTGCCTAATGTTCGCATAACTGCGAAAATCCTCTTGTAGACTGTTCCACAATCTCGACACCCTCAGGACTTAGGAGCGGTCGTATCTTGCAGTTTTAATGTACTATTTTTGAAAGCAGAAAACATTATCAAAACATACCTGTGTATTGTAAACAGCTTGAACACTTCTCTTGATTCTTAACATTTCTCTCATTGTATCTTCATTACCATTTCTAACTTCGAATTCTTTCCATGTCTGCCAGAATTCTGGAGTGACTCTAGGATCGCAAATTTGACTGCAATGTGCATATATCGCCCGAGCTCGATCGATTTCACCTAGAAAATCATTTTCAAGTATTTAAACAAAAAATGACGTCTAAATACATTGTAAATTCGTACATTCAAAACGTTCAAATTTTAGTGACTTTCTCTCATATCCGCACATGAGGGATTCAAGTATAGTAAAAAGTGATAAAAGTATTTATGTTGTCTAAAAAGTATATAACACACATTATGCTTGATTATTGTGATTTAGCACATTTGACATTACTTACCTAGCTTGGTTTCCATATCCGCGAACCTTATGCACATTTCTCTAGCTTGCTCTTCTGGCAGAACCTCTATTGCCTTTTCATAGATCTGTCTTGTTTTAGGCACGCCATATATCTCGGCCGCCTTTTTCACATACACATTGAATACCTGTTGACAAAAAAAAATGTAACACTTTGAAGCAAATTTGACGGACGTAACAGTTTGATTAGTTGTGTAAGCAGTTTAGAAAGAAGGATAACTGAAAATACCTCAAACATTTCATTATCTGGAACTGCTTTTGTAGCCCTTTCATAAACCGCCATAGCATGTCTTGCCATTCCATATTCTTCTTCTAACTTGGCGTATAGCAAATATATAGTTTTGGCAAACTGCGGCGGACAACCATCTAAAAATCAATATAAATACAGCAGACGCTCGATAACGTAAACACGGGATAATAAAAACTTGCGCTAATGTAAACACAAACTTCGTAAACGGAACGCGCGATAACGTAAACAATGTGTACGCTCGATAACGCAAACAACTCTCGGCGCACGGAAACAGCGCGACGGTAAAATGCTGAAGACTCGATTATTTTTGTCGGGCGCCGGGGAGTCCCCGATTTATGATGTAGAGTGTAGGGGATTCACCTCTGCGATAAAATACGACAAACTCGGTCAGTCTTATGATCGTTTAGGATACGTTTATACGTACGTATGTATTTCATTTTTGAATTTAAGTGTTAATATATTTTACGACGAAGTTGCACTAGGTGCGGGAGTGACACAGTTAGCAAAAAAATATGGAGTATCGAAAGGAACAATCTGTAAAATTAAGCGTATGAAAACTCAAATTTACAAAGAACGTGCAATACATTTGGAGGTCCGGGAAAAAGAAAAACTTTAAAAAATGCGAAGGCACCTAAAATGGAAAATTGCCTGTATAAGTGGTTTTTAAAACAACGGGAAAATCATGTCCCAGTTAGTGGCGAAGTACTTAAACAGAGAGCGAGACTGGTCAATGAAAAACTGAAAGAAACTGAAAATTTCGTAGCTAGTGATGGCTGGCTATAACGATTCAAAACAAGATATGGAATTCGACTGCTGTCTATATCTGGTGAAAAATTATCAGCACAACCACAATTAGTGCAACCTTTCAAAGAAAAATTGATGAAAACAATTACCGAGCTAGATTTAAGAATGGAACAAATTTACAACGCAGATGAAAGTGGCCTTTATTGGAAAATATTACCAGAGAAAACCTATGCTGCATCATTTGAAAAATCTGCCCCGGGAAGAAAGCCGGAGAAACAACGAATAACGTTTCTAGCCTGCACTAATGCTAATGGTTCACACAAAATAAAGCCACTGGTAATTGGGAAAGCAAAAAATCCGCGCTCATTTAAAAATGTTAATATCCCTGTTGATTATGACTGTTCAAAGACCGCTTGGATGACTAGCAGTATATTCCTGAAATGGTTCCACAGGTGCTTTGTCCCTCAGGTATGACAATCAATTATCACAAATGCTCTATTCATAATTTGAAGATGTGTTTTCAATTTGTAGGTAAAAGGTTTCCTAAAACAACAGAAGCTTCCAATAAAAGCGTTGTTACTATTGGATAATGCACCAAGTCATCCTTCCGAGCAACAACTGAGGAGCAGGGATAGGTCAATTTTCGTCATGTACATGCCGCCCAACGTAACACCGTTAATTTAACCGATGGACCAGAATATAATAAGACTCACCAAACTATACTATAGGAAGTTTCTACTTTCGTCTGTCTTATCAAAGAATCCTGAAAACTTATCTGAGGCTTTAAAAAAAGTAACATTACGAGAAGCTGTTTTAGATTTACGTATGGCCTGGAATGAACTTAACCAGCAAACTATTCAAAAATGTTGGAACAATCTCTTTTGTCCCAATAATGAAGATGATGAAGAAGACGATGTCCCCTTAAGCGTAATTAGAGAACGTTTGCGATCCAATAATGATAATGTTATTAGTGTGTCATTGGATGTTGTTGAGTTATTGAAAACAGTGAATCCCAACATTGTTTGTACTCCTGCTGATATTAATTTATGGAACGAAGATAAGCAGACGAATGATGCTGATAAGGAGGAGGGTATGGACAGTGAGGATGATGAGAACGATCCCATTGAAGTCAGAAGTGTAGTGACTGACGCTCAAGCTATACAAGTTTTTAACCAAGCTTTAGATTGGGCTTTAAAGAAAAGAAGTTTCATACACGGATATTTTAGTTCTTCGTAAATTACGGGCGCAGGTATTGGAAGACAATGCTAAGCGCAAATTTACGCAGACAAAAATTGTTAATTATTTTTCTTCTAATTAAAAAAATACTTATCGCTGTTAGAATATTTGTTTATTTTGTTATAAATAGTATGTATTAAACGTTTCTTTTAATAAATAAAATATTATATAAATCACGTTCGCTAATGTAAACATTTCGATAATGTGAACCACACTTGGATTAAATTAGTTTACATTATCGAGCGTCTGCTGTACTTTCATTATATTTATCACACTATATGTATCACAGTATATCAATCATGACAAAGGATACGTCGATCAAGAAAAACTTGATATTTCATTTCAATGCCTATAATTTTTGAACTGTATTTTATTATAAACTAGACTAAAGTCGCGGCTCCACTCGCGTGGTAAAGGTCATTTGTTTTGCGTTAGCGTGAAGGAGATTGGTTTCGAACTTTACCCCCAATTGCCCACAATTTGCATTTCATGAATTAAAAATAGATGTTTCCCGTTAAAAATTCATTTGATCTTCAAATGACCTTGACGGTCGTAATCAAGGTCATGGACGTACTTAAACATAAAGCTTCTTGATCTTGTTATTTCTGGTGTCAAAAATAGCGGGTTCCATTTAAGAAAACTGTCTTGACCTTTAAAAGAGCTGGAGGTAATAGTCAATGTAACGTTCAAGGTCACCATCAGTTGAATCTTTTCAAACCTTGAACTTTATCTCACAACAGTTTTCTTTACGAAACGTATTTTCCGAGATATTTTGTCCGTTCTTCACTTTCTGGATACCTTCCATGAAGATCGTGGTCAATGTCATCGGCAAAGACATACTTCAACATAAAATTCCCCGCTCTTTACATATTTGGTGACAAAAATAGGGGTTTCCATTTAACAAAACTGTATTGACCTGTATGAATTCTGACGAGCTTCACTGTAAACTAACATGTCGGCGAACTCTTGATTCGAGAACATTGTAAATCAACACGACGCGTACAAAACAACATACTAACCACTGTTACCGTTTGCGATCGATTGCCGGTTCGATAAGAGTGATGATGACCGACGCGCTGTTGTCATGTGTGTTTTAAATATTCAATTTAATGAAACTTACTTACTTACTGACTACAAATTTTGGCTTAACTTAGAAAAACTTAATACCATTTATTTGTTAATTACCCAATTTAAAAACGTTTTAGATTGGATTATAAAAATTAGTAAGATTGTGGTCGATATAAAGCATTTAAAGTTGTAAACTATAAAGCCATTTAGACAAAAATCTATTGACTTTTGGACCATGGGTCTATGAACTTTTTGACTTGTTTTTGACGTTTATACCATGTATATTATAGATGAATAACATACCTAAACACTGTTCAAATAGATCCCTAGCCCTCTCCAATTTAGTGCCACCGTATCTCTTGAGAAACTTCGTAAGATACGTATTCCAAATATCGTAGACATTCGGCCATTTGAACAGAGATATCCCTTTTTCGTATGCCCTGAACGCTTCCTCAAAGTATCTGTTCTCCTCCAAGAATACGCCGTAATTGATGATAATTTGAGGAGTGGCAATTTTGAGGTCGATTATCCGATCGTAAATCGCTTTGCAGGATTTGAAAGTGCCGAAACTCTCTTCCAAGTCTGCGTACATGGACCAGACCTTTAGAGATTTGTATAACCTGGAAAAAATTGAATGTAAGATGGGGTTTTATGCAACAATGCAACACAACGTTACCTATTTTGTACTGTTTCGGAATCGTCATGATAGTGCGCTTTCTTTGCTGGAATGGTCGTAGCTCTGTGCATCAGTTTGATTGCCTCTTCGTAGTTTTCATTCCGAATTTCCATCTCTGCCCATTCACACCAAACCGTCGCCAAATCATCCACCTAGAGTTCGAGTTGGAAATGAATGTGAAATAATATGAGTCGTATTTGCATAAACGATATTCAGATATTAAGGCCACAGTAGGTCCCTGAGGTACAGGGATAATTTTTTCTTACCTTTACATATGGAACTTGAGTTGCTTTCTCAAAAATGAGTCTGGCATCATCAACTTGACCGTTCTTCTCATAAAATTTCGCGAAATCCACCCATAGGGTATGCAATTTTCCTACAGCTAGTTTGGGATCTACAGTTTGTACAGCTTCCGTGTATGTGTTTATAATCTCGTGAGGTTTACCTAAAATCACAAAGGTTAAAACAAAATCAAAGATGGAGTTTTTTAAATACAGTATCTCACCTTCATACAGTTGTACTCTCTTATGCCACTCTTGGACGTTATGTGGATTCTGCCTCAAAAGAACTGAATTCAAAAGTAAAAGCCTCCTCTCCATCAGATGCTCAAACCTAGCTAGCCTCAACTCAATGTCAATATCATCTTCTTCAGTAGGATTTGCTATGTTAGACACTTCTTCCATTCTTTTACTCAAACTTAGCTCTTCGAATTGAGCATACGCATCGAAAACTTGAGTAAAATCTCTTACTGTAGTCACCTATATAAAAATAGATGTTTATCAATATTTGGTCTCTTAAAGGTGTAATACATGAGAATAAAGTAAAATGAACTGGGAAAAAATGATAACAAAAAATCAAGAATTTTTTGATATATTACCGTTTGTATTGCTTCTTCATAAATGTCACGAGCTCTTTCGAAAAGTCCACTTCTGACATAGTAGTTTGCTAGAGAATTCCATAAGTGACCTAGCTGATCAGTATACCTTCTAAGCCCACCTCTAATAATTGCATCAACATTCAGTGATTTGATTTTTCCTGGGTTTTTTGAAATCAGATCGCATAGTTCATTCCAGAGTTGATGTTTTGATTTACCTGAAAAGTAATGTTTTGATGAAGTTGTGTGATCCAAAGAAGTCAGAATTATAATTACTATAAAAATGGAAAAGTATAACTTTTTTTGGAAAACCTATCATCAGCACAAGGGGATAAAAGTGCTTTTCTTCCTGTTTAAGATTAAAATCTTTCTTGACAAGAAAGTATACTTACCATATTGAGAAACAAAGTTCTCATCATTTACGATTCTAGCAAGAACAACTGAAGCCTCATCCAATCTATCTTGATCTGTAAGATACTCCACATACTGTTCTGCATTCTCAGGGCATAATTTCAAGTACCTATAAAATGGCTAAAATAGTATTGCACTAAATTTTATAAAATAAGGTCTTCTTTGATAGCAGCTGCAAGAAACCAAGGAGGTTTAGTGGAATAACCTGACCTTAGGTTCAAAAGACATCATACCAAGGTCAGTTGTTTTTTTTCTAAAAATTGCTGTTTAGAAATGGACTCAAAATTTCAAAGGTCAAATTACTACAGTTTAGGCACTCCCTGATTTGTCATTTTGTTAATTAATTACAGGATTAATAATGTACTGTGAGAAACTAAATGAAGATTGGTGAACTTTATTATTATTTTATTATCATATTATATATACCCGTATTAAACAAATAGATTACCTTTATAATTTTTTATTACATACACAGAGATTTAATCAATGATCACACAAAACTTACCTTCTAAAAACCCTTACAGCAGTCTCCTGAATATTATGTTTCTTCACAAAACCTAAATACAACGGCCAAATCCTATTATGTTGTGTGATAGGCAAGGCACGCAAAGCCCTGTCAAACACCTTTCTAGTTCTTGTTATCTTATATTGATTAGTCAGAAAAGTGCAGTAGTCCATCCATATTCTAGGCATTTTGTGCATAAAAACCAAAGCTCTCTCAAAAGTATTATTTACCTACAGAAATCACAAAATTTTAATAATAAAAAATCTGAGAAAAAATAATTTATCATGCTTCTAAGGGGTTTGACTTTTACTTCATTATTTAGATGCAATATAATACCCAGCAACATACAAGAATATTTTTTGTATCATTCAGTTTGATGTTTATGATCTAGTTTCATATGTTGCTGTCAGATTGCAGAACTATCAGGATCTTATTTAATGTAATGTAGCCTGCTAAGAATGTGTTTATCATTTTGTCAGGTAGTTTTGACCAATTGTGTAGCCTGTTTGATGTAAAGTTCTAAAAAGTGTTCATGTCTCCACACTGCTGACAATATTGCAAAGTTATAGCAAGGAAATATAGCTGCTCTATAATCAGATAGTCCAGAGAGGCTTGGCTCTATATAAATAAATTGAATTTACCTCTTCATAACCAGTATCTGTAATGCAACGATTTTTTATTTGTTGTCGCCTTGTTCTGAGGTAGCCGTACCATAGTTTATATGAGCCTGGTAGTTCTTTTAGAGATCTTTCGTAGATGATATTAACCCCACGTTTTGGAGCATTTTTCTTGTGTTCGATGTAACGTAGCCAATGTTTCACCGAATAGGGGTTTCTGAGGATTTCTTCCTCGTAGGGAAGATCATCTTCCGACTACAAAAAAAATGGAGTTTCACTTTCTTACGGTGTGGATATACGTTTTCGTGAGTACTTACGAATTCGATTTCCATTGGCTCTGATTTATCGGCATTTTTAAGGGTCATAATACTAGTGGAATGAGTGGTTTTCAAGAAATAAGAATCTTTTTGAATATTGAGGTAAACAAATAATTATAGGTTAACCGATTTGATTTATTTAACTTCCTGTCAAACTGAAGTTTATGCTGACAACTAGAAGCATGGTTATTGGATTCTCGAAGTGTACACGAAGTATCCAACAGTGTCGCCGGTAGATGATTTTTTTAAACTAGTCCTGGACTATAATTAAAATGCAATTGACCAATCAGGAAACACAGAAGTACCCACGTGGCTCGTTAGCTTTGCCCCTTTCTCACGGTCACCGGTTGGCATTTTTTGGCATTGCCGTTGATGTTTGTCTTTCTTGGTACCAAACTACAGGATATCCATCCTGTATTTCCGACTATTTATTTTACAGTTGTATAATGATTAGGCACCAAAACTATTGCTGTAGATCAGTAGATTAATCTTATTACTAGGAAGTAACAGTTGGATAACAGCTAGCAGCGGTTTTCCAAGCTACCTTTGCCGTTTACAAGTCAGTGAAACCGGAGGAACCTAATCATGGCTCTTCCTGCAAACTATAAGCAAGTAGCGATCCAGCAGATGCCTAATCCACAAGCATCTACTCGTAAGAGAACCCAAATTCTAGTTTTCTTTATATTGTCTACCAAATATAGTAGTTAAGCATATAATAAACAGCCAGACTCTTGACTTGGATCAAGCTTCAAACTGCATGTGTAATTTCTAATTGCCAGATGCTATATTCTAGTTTTATGAGAGCCCATACACAATTGTCAGATAATATGTGCAAGCATTTTCCCTTCACAGAATATTTTAAATATATCCCAAAGAGTTGAACATTTGTAAAATTAAAGTATAACCAAGCTATTTACATGATGTTTTTGTTGCACAATTTGTATGATAATATATGGGCCACATTACAGTTATTTTACAGCAATTTTTTGATGTTTTAGATTATAAACAGCATGTAGATATTTTAGTTTTCCTTTTGAGATGAAAAATCATGCAGAGAATAGCCTGGCCTTTAATTTCTACCGCAATTTTTAAGGAATCTAAACAGTAGTGCTTTTTCATCTGTGACTGCATGGGTTAGTGCTGCTTTTGAAAGTAATTTGATTGATTATACATTTGCAGAATACTGAGTTTTGTTATGGCTAACAAGTTTTTTCCTGCTTTAGCCATTTTGTTGATTGACCAGATTTTTGTCTTTCAGTTTCACAACTCAATTTATGGGATGACTGAGCTTTTTCAGATTTGATCTATGCCATGTATAATAAAGAGTACTAGGATTTTGGAATTTTTTTTGATGCCCCTTAAAATAAATCAAGAATACCTATACTTTTCAGAGTCTTGTAGGGAAAGGTTTGAACATTAATTTAGATACCTGGCAACAAGAAAAAGGGAATTTTTGTTACAGTTTTTAAGCATTGAAAAAGGCCACTTTTCTTTTTCAGACCTTAAATTGCTTATAACTTGAAAATGGTCAACTGTAGAGGAAAGTTACAACCTTTTTTTATTAAGAATGATAAAAAACAGTAAGCATTAACTTTATTTTTGTAATTTATTAACAAAAAATAAAGTTCATATAAAGACAATTAATTTTATGGTTTTGATAGTGATATGTGCTTGATCTCCTTGAAAGTTGTAGGTAGTACCCTAGTAGATTAGTGCTGATCTGCTTCGTTTGTGTTATTTGTTCAGATTTGCTGTCAGCAGGCCCTCCAATGACTTTCAACATACTAAAAGGTAACTTCTGTGTACTTTTTTCGCTAATTTTTTGCTAGTTTATAAGTTAATATCACATCTAACTAGTTCATCAATCATATCAAAATTTAAAACATGCTTTGAAGGTTTGAGTTTTTATCCACTTGAAATGCCTTTTATGTCTATGAAATACAACAAATAGAAAGAAAATCAAGTGGACTGATGACAAAATAAATAATACATTTAAATACTCGCAGAGTATTCAATTAAAATTATATTAGGAAGAGCAATAGTATGTTATCATAAAATTGTCATCACAGAGATATAACACATATGCTTTTATAGACTTAGAGCAATAAAATTTATCTACAGTGAAAATAACGCTCGACTTTGCTATGATCATGCTCTGTTTCTGCTACTGACCAACTAACTAACTTGCCAGCTTTCCACTTTATTGTATTTTTTGAATTAATATTGTACAAGAAAAGCTTCTCTACTATGCTTATAATATCTGCTACATTTTTAACCATTTTGCAATAAAATTTACTTCTGTCTAGTTAATAAATATTTTATAGAGAATTTGAAAAGTTGTTTATACATACATAAAACAATGGCCAAGTTAAAACATTTTTCTGTTAAGTGGGAATATACAGTCACCATATTTTTAAGTGATATGACTTAAAAATTCTTCAGTGGTAAGTAGCTCAGGCTGCATGTTATTACTTTGGTGTCACATACATTTGATCAGCCTTGCAAGCTACATGTCATTTCTGATCTGTCATCTCACACTGGAAAACTGGGTGAAACAGTGTTTTCTAATATTTTTAAATATATCATTTTCTGTTTCACCTGGTACATTAACACACTCAGACTGACACTATGTACCTTAATGTTTGCTGTTACATTTTTAACAATATTTCATTCACTTATAGAACGCCTAAGAGCTTCTGGTGGATCCAGTTCAAGTTCAAATGTAAGTTTTTGCAGTGTCTCATCTTTCTCATTATTCTGATCTGCCTTTCATTTCCAGAAAGAGACAAATCCGTTCGTTGCAACTCCAAATGGACATCCCGGCTTTATACCACAGAAAATCGGTAAAAGTGCGGCTGTAAGTATATTTGCTGATCTTGACTCTAATTTTTCTACACATCATTGACATTTTCATATAATGCAGTCAAAATACCGAATTATTGGAATGAAATGTAAGTAATGTAAGCTGCTGTGACATCTACGATTTTGTCGGTCATTCTTGCCTTTGTAGCCCTTCTAATGGGAAATTCTGACAAGTGTGTGTCTGCACATTGCTTACAATACTGTCAAAATATAGCCAAGATATAGTTGATATAGCCTTAAATATTGATCATTTAGATTCTGCATTATCTAAACTCATACACTTTTGCACAGAATATCATAAAAAATGTGAATTAAACCATTGAAAAGCATATTCTCTAAAAAGGTACACAATACATATGCACAACTTTCAATTGGTTTGGGAAGAATTTCAGTCACGATGATGAGCCCAGTAATTATTAGTTAATGACTTTGTTGTAAAAACTATTTTTCTACTTATCTAGAAAAGTGAGGCAAAGACTCCGAAGCCGCCAAAAGCTCCTGAAAAGCCCCTAATGCCCTACATGCGATACAGTAGGAAGGTGTGGGATCAAGTTAAGGCTCAACATGCAGACAAGAAGCTTTGGGAAATTGGGAAAATCATTGGGCAAATGTGGAGAGACCTGCCTGAAGAACAGAAACAAGAGTTTATGGATGAATATGAAACGGAAAAAGTTAGAATTTTTTTATTTGTTTTGTGCTCATTTGTTTGATTTTTGGTCTTTTAGGTCGAGTACGAGAAAACGTTGAAAAGCTACCACAATTCACCAGCTTACCTTGCGTTTATAGCTGCAAAGAATAAATCTAAATCAGGTAATAAAGCACATGCTTGTCAATGGGTCAAAAATAGGTTATGGGCCCAGTACCTATAAGATGCAATATTTAAGCTTATTCAAATCTATGTTATTTTACAGTATATTAACGCAGATTTTTGACATTTTTTGTATTATTAGTGACGCAAGGCGCTGATGGAGAAACACATGAAAGATCAAGCAGTTCTTCAAAACAGGCAGCTGATAGAAGGATTGAGATACAACCAGCAGAAGATGAAGATGGTGGGTACTTGATAGAATACAATTGTTTCTCCTCCGATTTTCACAAAATAATGATCTTTTCATATCTTTTCGTATACCTATTTTTTTTTTTTCAGACCAAGATGATGGTTATTCTGTGAAACATCTGGCGTACGCCAGATACTTAAGGAATCATCGACTCATCAATGAGATCTTCTCTGAAACTGTTGTGCCCGATGTTAGATCCGTTGTGACAAAAACCAGAATGGAGGTAAGTTTTATGCTAATTTCATATTCTATAAAAAGTAGTGTCAAACCATACTACAAAGTAGTATCAAATAATACTACAAAGTAGCATTTCTAGTACCACCTGTGCCAACATGAAAGAAAGTGATAACTAAGCCAGTAATTTCATTAACAGCACCTTTTCATTCTCTTATTACTTTAAATTACTTCTGAATTTTGAACAGAATTTTTTTGCCGACATTCTGAACTCTCAAAAACATGGGGACTGTTTTATACACATTTCATATTACATGTTGTAGCTTAAGTATCATCAATCAAACATTTTTAGTTGAACTATAGATATCCAGTGCTCTCTTCCAGTGTCGGACGTTATCACTATCGCTTGCAACCTAGGCGTTCGTGACGACAACTTTCAGAGCCCCTTCTGCCTGTTCTGTCATTGAACTAGCTATTGACCACTTGCATAGCGGATTCTTTATATGACATAGACACACAACAATGCACAATCAACAAGCACCTTTGTGTGAAGAAACTATAGTCTGTCCCACCATTGCACATAATTCTTCCGTGCACGAAATAACACTTTATCCTCTTAATTTCTCACACTAGTTTTGCCTGATACTGTTCCACTGCATTTACACTTCCACACATATAGACAGGTACAAAATTGTGACATTTCTGTTTTTGGAAACAACAGTTGTCCTGGTACTTATTGACACTTCTAACTACTTTCAATATACAATAATGCTCTGAGGCATCTCTATTGACATCTTTTGAAATCCCTCAAATATTGTTTGAATAACCCTTTTTTTTGTGCAGGTATTGAAAAGACAAGTGCAATCCCTGACAATGCACCAGAAAAAACTGGAGGCTGAATTGCAACAGATTGAAGAGAAATTCGAGGCTAAGAAAAGGAAGTTCATCGAGAGTAGTGAACAGTTTCAAGAAGAGTTGAAAAAGGTAATTATTGAACGTTATACACTTATATATTTTTTGAATTTCCAGAGTTGTTGATATTTTTTCTTCATTCTTTAGCATTGCAAGCCTGCGGTTGAGGAAGAGACTTTGCAAAAGATGGTGGAGAGGCAATATGAATTGCTGAAGAAGGAGCGGATGAAACTGACCGAGGATTTGAAGGCGAAACCTGAAGAAAACTCATCAGCTGATGGCAAAATTGAAGCTCAAGAAAATGGACACAACAAACCTGAGGTAAATGTTGTTATTCGTAACAAACTGGAACTAGTCAAGATCACCATAATTTTGTCCTCAACAACTTTTAGTCTTTTTCACGGAGCAGGTACTCGCCCGAACCAAAATATACGGAAAGAAACGAACGGCTGCTAGATCGATAACGCCGACATATCCAAATATCTGGAAGACCTCTAAAATATGTCCTATTCACAAAAGTGGAGATATCTCAGATATTTCCAACTATCGCCAAATAGCAATCCTGTGCAATTTCAGCAAGTTGTTTGAGATCATCGCTTATGAAATGGTTTACTGCTTGGTCAGGGATGCGTCTCTATTAATCAGCCTGGGTTTATGAGAGGCAGATCTACGGTCACCAACTTGGCTCTAATTACTCAGTACATTTCTGAAGTACTGGATGGTCAGGGACAAGTTGATGTCATCTACACAGATATTCAGAAGCCGTTTGATCAAGTTGATCATTATGCACTTCTGGATAAGCTTAAAACAGTGGGTATGTCTGATGCAATGCTGTCGCTCATGAATTCATATTTGAGGGATAGAAGGTTATTTGTCGAATATGGTGGTCATAGGTCGAGTTACTATCGTGCCACGTCTGGGGTACCTCAAGGGTCAAATCTAGGTCCATTATTGTTTTTAATATTCATTAATGACTTGTCTTTTGAACTGAAGTGTTTCCATTTGTTTTTCGCTGATGACCTTAAAATCTGCACGTCAGTCAAGACAGTCGAGGATTGCGTCATGTTGCAAGATGACTTAGCTCTAATTTCGTCATGGCGTTCACGAAACTGTCTCGGTCTGAATGTTTCGAAATGTAAAGTTATGACTTATTCAAGAAAAGTTAACTATTTAATTTATGATAATTATAACATCAATGGTCAGGTTATAGACAGATGCACCTCTTATAGAGACCTTGGAGTCATTTTTGATACCAAGCTAACGTTTACTGAGCATATACTCAATATCTCGTCGGCTGCCACTCAACTACTTGGTTTCTGTATCAGAAACTGGAAGGGTTTCTCCAATGTGGATACATTAATGACTTTATTTTTTTACTTTGTCAGGAGCAAGTTGGAGTATGCGACTCTGATCTGGTCTCCTATATACCAAAATTCTGTCGTGATCCTTGAGGCCATTCAACGTAAAGCTTTAAAGTATTTTCACCTTAAATGCACAGGTTCTTATCCAGAAAGAGGTTGTAACCATAGTGCCCTATTAGAGTTTTTCAATTTGGATTCACTGTCAACAAGACGAAACATATTTGCTTTGTCGTTTTTGTATGGCCTCATTCACAATAAAATTGACTGTCAAAATTTACTTGAAAAAAATATGTTTCCGCGTTCCAAGGCTAGGGAGTCGACAACAAACGGCATTCTATTGTCCAGCTGGCCGTACAAATGTTATGACAAAATCGCCAATTAATCTCATGTGCCGCGTCATGAACAGTGTTACTGAATCGTGTGATATTTACAGTGACAGTTGTCTATCGATTATTAACTGCTATAGATCATCCAATCTTATTTAGAATGTGTGATACTATAGATTTAAGTCCAAGAAACTCTTTAATTGTTATTTTTTTCAGCGTTTCCTGTAATTGGGTTTCACCTGTTGGAAATAAATAAATAAATAAATAAATATCAGTCTCCGAAATATCGGCTGAGTATTGGTTTCGACAGAGATATTACGTATTTTGAAAAGTGACATTATATGGATTTTTTTGACAGGAACATTTATGAAACGTTTGATATTATTCTTTTTTTCAAAGAAATTTATTTTGTGATGTCAACTAGAAAATACAAATCGGCGCTGAGGTGTTTTGTGTGTGATGCGTCATTGCGTTTTTGAAAACGCAAAAAAGTGTCGACAATCGTAATTTATGGCTTTGAACATAAACTCTCTTCAGAAAGGAGGAAGCTCAGAATAGCAGCTATCTAGTCAGCAAGTTGACATTTTGTCGTTTTTTTTATATTTTATAGGTTCTTTACGTAATAACCCTGCTGATATCTATTTTGAATATTGCGCTAAACACCCTGAGAGAGACATATCAATCTAACTTTGCCAATACTTTCCATTAGGCAATGGAGACAGACCAACAGCAGCCACCAGCCCCAGAAAAACAAGAACCATCCTCACAACCCTCTCAGCCGCCTCACCAAGACGGATCCAAACCACCAGCCCCTTTCCAACCGCCTCACGTCGATAACTCCCAATCTCCACCTAATCAACAGCCTCCGCCACCACACCATCAGCATCCCTCTCAACAGGGTGAAATGCAGGGGCACGCGACCATGCCGCCTCAAGGGATGCAACCTCCGCATCCCCCTCATCCGGGTAGCCAGCAGCTACCACCGCCCTCGATGTCCCCATCGACGGGTCCAGGGGGGCATCATCCGCCTCCTCCGCAGGGGGTGCAACATGGACCGCCGCCGCAGGTGCAACACGGACCGGCAGGGTGAGTTGGATTCCATTTGTTGAATGATGAATGTACTAAAGTATTGGGTTATAAATTATTAGTAACCAATTTGGATTTCAAAAGCAAAAAATACCATGGATGATATTTTCACATTATTCCAACAGTTATAATCAAATTTAAACGATAAACAAATTTCAATAGCTGTTTTTTGAGACTTTTCCATCATAGCTTTCGACTGTATAAATCATCTATTGAAAAAATTGAACAAATATGGTTGTACTTCTGGAAGTTCACTCGATTGGTTTAAAACATATTTGAATAATTGATCCCAAATTGTAAAATTATCAAGTCATTATATGTCAAATAAATTAAATACCTGTATAAACGCAGGGGTACCTCAAAGATCGGTATTAGGTCCTATCCTGATTTTAGTCTATATCAACAATTTATTAAACTTAAGCATAAATGGTAAATTCGTAGTTTTTGCTGACGATACCACAATAGAGCAAGACAAAGATAAAAATATATAATGATATACAATCAATCAAAAAATTGTTTGACAATAGCCACTTGACTTTTAATATGGGGTTGTCCAAAGCGGACGCAGGAAAGTAAACGCATATTAAAACAAGAAAGATTGATATTCAAATCAAGTTGGGTACTTTATTTTGAAGGTTCATTTATACCATTTATGTATGAAAAATAATATCGCTCAAATGTTCACGCGATCACCGAAGAAGGACTGCAATCGATGGATATTGACGTTGGTTGTGTGGCATGTTGCACCGTCCTGTTGGAAATAAACATCGTCCATATCCATTCCTTCAAGTTGCGGCAAAAAATAGTAATCTATCATCACGTGATATCGCTCAGAATTGACGGTAACGGCGTCCCCGGCCGCATTTTCGAAAAAGAAAGGTCCGATGATGCCTTTTGACCACAATGCACACCACACAGTCACTTTTTGAGGATGCATCGGCTGCTCTTGATACTCACGGGGATTTTCGTTCGCTCAGATGCGGCAGTTTTGCTTGTTTACCGTCCCATTCAAAGTGAAATGCGCTTCGTCGCTGAACATGATTTTTGATGAAAAATTGGCATCAATTTGGCGGTGTTCAAGGAGCCAATCTGAGAACGTTCGGCGTGAAAAATGGTCGGCCCGACGCAGCTCTTGCGTCAATTGGATCTTGTAGGCGTGTACATTCAAATCCTTGTGGAGAATGCGGAGCAAACTGGTTCTCGAAATGCCCAATTCTTGGGATCGACCCGTTGTTGATTGTTTCGGATCGTCTCTCACACTCTCCTTCACAACAGCAATATTTTCCGGTGTGCGAACGCTCCTTGGCCGGCCAGAGCCTGGCAGATTTGCCACAGAACCTGTTGCCTCGAATTTACGCACCAGACGACCGATGGTTGTTTCGTATGGGCGGTTGTTGCGACCGAAATGTTCACGAAGCGCGCGAAACGTGTTTTTTATTTTTGCACCATTTTTGTAGTGCTCTTGAATAACTTTAATGCGGTCTTCAATCGAATACGACTCCATAGCGATCAATGGTAAACATTCAACTAACAAAATGACATGTCGGTGACAGAAAACAGAGATGGCGTCTATGTCAAATTGACGTTTACTTTCCTGCGTCCCTATTGGACAACCCTTTATTAGTAAGACAAAATTTATGACATTTAACTGCTCCCTTGATTTTATAAATTTAAATAATGAATTGATATATAAAACAGACACCATCAAATTTTTGGGTATGACCATTGATCATAAATTAGATTCGTCGCTGAAGATCGACATTATGCCATTCTGCCTCCCAATGTTGCCGTTTTCTGCTCCAGTTCAAACGTTGACGACAGTGGTCCGCAGTCAGAGGAAGCACTTTTTTTGGGTTGGGACTGGGTGTAACACGTCTGTTACTGAGTATACTATTATTATATTCGCTTAGAGAGATATTAGTACAGGGACTAAGCAATAATAAAAATTCTTTCAGGCATATGCCCCCAGGTCACGGTCCACCAACAACCCAACACCAACCGCCCCCGATCATGTCTGGAGGTCAAGTACCGCCTCAGTATGCTCAACAGTACGGACCGCCGCCTCCACAGGCTCGAGGTCCACCGGGCCCGCCAGGAGGTCATCCGGGATACCCTGGGTATCCGCCACCACCTGGACCTCAGCAGCAGGCGCCTCCGGGTGGATACCCCCCACCACAACAAGGTACGCGGGTTGGTCTAGAAATAAGTTTACCTTAGGCCCGGTTTTTCAGTCGCAGGTTAACTACCACTTTGGTCTTTACTTATATTTATCGATAAAAAAAAATCCGAGCAGAACTTTCTAAGTTATGGGCACTCCAAAGATTAGCGGACAGAAAGACAAACCGACGAAATGATTGCCATATAACATCTAAAACAACATGATATCTCATTTTTCGAAATTTTTTAGTGTGGTAGGAAGTAAAAGTAATATTAATAATTGTGTTTTTGTTCTAGGCGGCATGCCTGGTCATCATCAGCCTTACCCTCCTCCGCCTCAAGGCGGTTATGGCCCGCCACCACCTCAACAGGGTCCGCATCCTTACTATCATCATCCGCAATCGTATCCGCCTCAGCAACAGTATCAGCCGCAGCAGCCTCCGCCTCAAGGTCATCCTCCAGGTATGTGATTAGATAAAATTGGCATATGTACAAACATCGTAGACGAAGCAGAAACTTGATTGTATATGTTTTGTCGATTATTTACGTAAATATAATACTGTAAACAAATATTTCATTCATGGAAATGTCTATATTTAGTTTTAATGTTTCCTCAGTTTGTTTGTTTGTTGAAGATTTATTTAGCATTAATGCTACAATGTCAACTTTGTATAATTATTCGTTTACACATTTTTTTGAATCAATTTTCTGTAGTTTTACATTCTTGTCTATTAAAATTACATCACATTTTGAGTATTCATAAAGTGACTTTTTAATTTCACCTTTAACATTTTTCAACTCGAACACTGCTTAATACTATTCAATTGATTATATGTACTCACTTTTGAAATACAGATTTGCCAGTTAAGCTACTATTTTTTTTATAAAAGCCTATAAATTCAAAAGTACACGATTGTTTTTATACTTTTCTGATAACTATTATGACTTGGCCCCATTTCCGGCTTGACGTCGACTTCTGGGACACCCTGTATGTAGGTTATCCTTTGGTGTTTTGACTACATTAACTACAGTAGCGGACAAAAGTTTGAAAACATTTTAAGAATTAATTTTTGAAAGGTGCGCTAATTTGTTATTCTTTATTATTGACTATTTTTTTTCTAATATAGTTTACTGTCTTGAGGATACAAATGCCAATTTATGTTTTGTTGTGGTACTAAAGACTAGCATTAAAATACCTACCTGTTTAGCTAATATTTTGTAGCACAGCATTCAACCCTGCCTGACATCTGCTGCTCATAGAAGACACCCATTTTTTAAAGACGTCTGTTGGGATATTTTGCCAAATATTTTTACATAATCAAATAAATCGTTCCTATTTTTAAAAGTTTTTCTTGTCAGTTGTCTTTTAACATGCTCCCAGAGATGTTCTATAGGGTTTAGGTCCGGGGATTGCGAAGGCCATGTAAGAACATTAACTTTTTTTAGTCTTAACCAGTCCTTTATGAATTTTGAGGTATGCTTGGGGTCATTATCTTGCTGGAATGTCCATCGTAAAGGCATTTCTTCTTCAACAAAAGGGAGCATGTGTTCACTACGAATATCTTTGTAAAGTTTTTGATCCATTTTCCCAACAATTTTAACAATTGGACCCGTTCCAGAACTAGAAAAACTGCCTCAATTACTTTGTTTCTGAAATATTTTGAAAATTCTTATACTTTTGCCATTCTTACTGATGCTAATATTTACCACACGCAATATCAGAGTATCGCAGAATGAATAAATCGGCCAAACTGAAATGTTTCCATACTTTTGTCGTTACAAAAACTGTGGTATTTAAAAAAACGCGTGTTTTTATTTTCATAGAATTTGAATATTGATAAGATAAACCTTGTACAAGATAGACTTTAATATTTATATTATCTGTTCCTTCACAATTTTAATTTAGACATATGAAATGATTCATACTAATGTTCATATTTGCTTCCAAACTTTTGTCGGGTACTGTATATTTATGTTCTGTTGAATATTAGGTCCTGGTAGACCTGTAGCAGGTTATCCTCCGATGAATCCGGCTCAGCAACAGCCCCACCAACTACATCATCAGCCGCAACAACCGCCTCCGCAGCAGCAACAACAGGGTCCACCTCAAGGTCTGCCACAAGGCCCTCCTGAAAGCGGCCAGGAAGGGCAGAACTATCCTCCTGAAGGCCCAAAACAAGCTGAAGAAGGACACGATGACAGAAAGGGTAAGTTGAAAAGAATTTCCCCGTTCGCTTTTTGGAAAACTAGGTTGAGTCAGAGGAAAGCCAAGGAAACAGAAGGTGTCATGGATCGTCGGAAATGTGCAGGAAAATAGTAAAATCAACATGTCGTTAGATTTTGTTTGGTATTTGTAGTGGAGACAGACTGAATTTCTTATTTTGTGACCTGAATCTTCCAAGGTGAAGGAATATGTGATTTAATCTGCCATATGATGAAATAACTTCTATAATTTTAGCAAAACTTTTGTATATTTTGATTCTGATATGTAATTTTCTTTGCAGATTCTAAGAATTTAGAGAAGGAGGAGAAATGAAAGCCAGTGATCTTCAGACAAATTTAGCATATGTACATATTTTCATCTAATGGTGTTTTCATTTTGAAACTCGGTATAAGCTACATTGTCATTTCATAATTTTATATTATTCTAAATTTTGGTAGTTTGACATTTCACCAATAAAACGTTCTACGGATTTTGACACATTTTTCTTATTCCCCAGTTTCTTTTGAAACAATGCTCATATCGCTTTACATCAGTGACAATCTAGTGTCCTGTTACGTCATCTATACAATGCTTTCTACCTCCCTCTGTCCCGTTTTTTACTACTACCATCTACATGATTCGATGAATAAAATAAGCAACTAAAACTGTTCCCTTTAACCATGATCAAATAATTAGGTATTTTTCTCATCATTTTATTATTATACTATGCAACACCCTCATCAATGCTTCCAGTTGTTGGTAAAACCATTAACGCATAGACTAACTGATTCTGTGAGTAAAGGTGTTGACTCTTCATATTTTATCGTAGATTCTAGATTCCCGCCTGAAAAAAATAACGCTTCTTTAGATTATTTGAGAATGCTGTTATTATTTGTACTATGTAATGAGAGGTTCACTTATTATTTTCTATGATGTTTGGTGTATGAAGAGTGAGTCACGATCATGCACGTCGGCAATACTTCATTTGCCATTATGTAAAGTTAGAGTCATACATATATCAAGAGTCCACCGGATACTTTCTATCACTTACTTTGACTAGAACATCTTGTATCACCTTCACCGTCTGTAGTTCCGGATTTTTCCGGTAGATCAAGCTTGGTAGCCTCCATAGCCAACTGCAGATCCACCTCGCTAAAACTGATCTCAATCTGTTCGTTGTTATTCAACGTGATCGATCGCCTATGAATGTGGTCATCTTTGGCCTCTTCCGAAACTCGTACGACCAAACCCGGTGGACTCGCTGTACATTTATGCGATCTCTGGCTCACTTTGTATCTGAAACGTTTCTCGCACGCCGTACATTTGTAAGGCATGTCGCCAGTGTGGATTCTGCGATGGACTAAGTAGGAGACACGTTGTCTGAAGCACTTTCCTGAAAAATTAGATTGGTTACGATTACAACATTACGAGATCTGAACCATAGTGCTTCGTACTTTGACTAAAATCATGTCGTCTCCTAGGAAACTTACCGCAAGTTTCACAACTGAATGGCCTCTCCCCGGAATGTATTCTAGCATGGTTTTGCAACGTGGACAGTTCTTTGAAGGATCGTCCACATTCGTTGCACGAGTATGGTTTCTCGGATGAATGATACAGCATGTGTTTGTGGTATGATTGTTGGAAAGTGAAAGATTTGTTGCACAGGTTACAGGTGTATGGCATTTCACCTGAAAATACGAATATCGTCAATAGCAGTCATGTAGATTGACTCTGTATATACCACATTTTATTCCTCAAGGGAAGAGCTTATCTATAACAGACTATGCTTTTAAAGGGACTGTTTTACATAATATCAAGAGAATATTGCATCCTTTCTAAGTTTAGTATTGATTTGCTTTTCATAGCCAGATTAGCAAAACAAAACCTTAAAAATACTGATAATCCAATGCGTAGATGGTGAAAATAGACGATAGTATCATGCGTTAACTATGTGAGAAGTTACACAATGTTAGAAGCCTAGTCTTTTCTATCAGGTTACAATTCAATAATAACTCTAGACAAAGAATTTATACTGTTCAGCTTTCATTTGAAAATAGCCCTCTAACAGTAAATTATTTATTTCTATTGATAGGGGTACCTCAAGGCTCAATCTCCTTTATAAAGCATTTCCTAAAAATAGATTATTGTGTTCAATGACAAAGTTACCTGTATGTAGTCTTTTGTGTTTTTTCAAAAAATACTTTGTTGTGAACATCTTTGAGCAAACATCACATTCCCACTGTTTATTATCTAATACTTTTGTCGTAGTTTCAGCATTTTTACTTTCCTCTATAGTCCCATTTTTGTCTTCAGACTTTTTTGATTCTACAGGCCCAGCAATGCTTTCGGTGCTATCCGCGTTATTGGACCAAAAACCATAGTGTGCGACCCTTGAAAATTAATTAAAACAGTTGGTTAAAGAATGTTGCCAGAAAAAATGAAGATTCGGCACGTTAAAATATGAAATTTCTCGAAATGTATAGCAAAAAAAAAACAATCCGAACTAGCTTTTGTAAATGATTAGTATCAGTATCTACTTAAAGCCGCCCCTTGGAGTTTTTTGATCAGACGTACCATATTCGAAATAAAAATTAATTCTTGGACCGATACCATTGTTCAACGCTTTCTTTAGATATTCCTCCTAATGCTGTATTTAAGCATCCAAAAAATTATTTGTGATGAGATACCATGGCATCATAAATGTGAATTTATCACTGCTATGTTCCTCGTCTCCGTAATAATTAGAAATCTAATGTGACAAGTTTAGCGTCTCCTACATGACGTGGTAGCCAACTATATGAGCATACGATAATTATTCTTGCAACTAGAGGACAAAGTTTAAACAACCCGTATTACGGAAACGGGGAATTTTGGAACTCATGGTTATGCGGGCTTCTGTTCAAATTTTTTCCTGCTGAATCCGTCCGATAGTGTTCTATAACAGCCTGTCGAATTTCCTACCTGAGATGAACCATTAAACTACCCCTCATCTTAAACTTCTTGCTACATAGATGGCAGTGATAGCTATAAACGCCCTTTTTATCTGGACTAGTCTGATGCAGCAGCTTTTGATGCATATCCAGGATATTTTTATCCGTGAAACAAAAATTGCAAATGTCACATCTGACAACTTCCAAGTCTTCAGGCTTCTGTTGCAAGTCGTCTTCAGTATTACAACTGGGGATTGACGTGAGTTCTGCGCTTTGTATTCTATCAATGCTCTTGTCGATCTCTTCGGCAATGATTTGTTGACTGTCATTGGGAACTGGCACACCTTAATTAAATAGTTATCATGAGCATGATGAATTTGTGTTTAACAGTTTTTACAATAGATCGGTTCTAGAAAACAACCCTAACTTTTTTGACCGAAGTGGAGGGATAGAAGATATTTTTCACAAAAAAATGTAGTGAAGATTATTTGCATTGATTTTTGTTGAGCTCCGCAGCAAAATGATATAATCAGTAAAACCAACCATTCAGGTCATACCAGAAACAAAATTCTAGACCTAGACTCAACAGTTTACTTTCGCTTCATAAAGTTTATAGTCCAATTTTTCTCAGAATTTCGTAGAATTAAAAATATCTCCTGATCTATAAAATATCGTAACACTCACATAGGGGTTTTCACTCAGTATAAAAATTCTAGTTATTTCTATGGGCAAACGCGAGCAACACCTTAAAGAAACCATTGATTGTGAATCAGTTTTACAATATGACGTTACTTTTGCCCTGCTTTGTATTTTTTGAGATTTAATTTTAGCTCGCATCATAAAAAAAACTGCATACTTTTATTTCAACTCACCATCGACAACTGCATCTTTCTTATTCCCTTGTTCCTCGCTGGCCACGTGTGCAAACAAGTGTATGGTCAACTTATCCAATCCGACGACAGTCTCAACACACACGGGGCACTTGAGCAGGGATGTCGCGACAGCCACAAGCGTGGCTCTAAGGGCGTCCACACCCTCAAAGTGAGGGTTAAGGCACAACGGGCACTGAATAGGAGTAGATCGTAGTTCCATTTTCGTGTTATTGGGACGTTTTGCGTGCGGGTATTTTTAGCGATTTGGGAATTCGGGTACGGCGCTCGGGTTATTTTTAGGACGGCTTGGAAGTGGCGGCGGTTAAGAAATGAGAAGCTAGAAAGTTGAGTCAAGTAGGTTAACTCAGTACGATGTCTGCCAAGTAGAATACGACGTCAAGTTTTCTTCAACTGCTTGTATTACGACGTCTTCGTAAGGAAAGGAAATTCATTTTTCACAATGTGTTTGATTTGGGAAACGGTGCAAGTCCATAAAAAAATGCTCAAAAATGGCGCCCTGTCGCTATCTTGAAATATTCATCATCTATTTTTACTCTCAAATATAGTTTACATCCATTTTCATTAAACCAAGTTTCAGATTTTTAACTTGCTTGGTTAAAAATTAAAAAAACAAATGTTTACAATAACATTACCTCCTCAGATGTTTTGGGATTTTGTTATTAGATATTTGAAGAATATTTAGGAACACTGACAAGATTTTCAAGATCGACAATGACATAATTCGGACTATTTCAAATATTGTATCTCCTATATCCCGAAAACTATGAACTTTTAGAGACAAGTCCAGAACTTTTTTTGTTCAGAATGTTCTATAAAAACTCAAAAACGCTGTGAACGGAGAAAATGATTTTTGAAATTTATTTTAAACAGTTTGGACGCAAATTCAAATTTGGGTCTGGCAACATACAGGTTCGTTAAGAAAGGCCCTATCTACATAACATAACACTGTATGGAAACAATATTTCTAAAGTACAGTGATCACTTGTACACTATTAACTTCCTGTGGCTTTGACTTTCAAAACAACGGGAAAAAACAAACCAAGATTGATTTTTTTCAGTTAAATCTTTCGTTAAATCATCAGTAGAATTGGGGTAATGAGCATTGGGTAGAGGAAAACAACTTTCAAACAAGTAACAACTATATTTAACTTGAAAATTAAGACAATATAACTGTATAAAAATCGCCCAGGTCGTCGAACCCAATGATATCCTATGAGCTACTGACGTCACAACCTATACTGACGCATACAGAAGCATAAACTTATAAGTCGATCTTAAACATACGATTACAAAATGTAAAATTAGAGCCAGAGCCGGTTCGCGGCTTGATTGGTGAATATAAAATTAAAAGCAAAAAATGTATTTTATTAATGAACTGGAAAACTATTGTTTGGATCTTTTTGCAATTTGCACAAATTTTATATCTAAAGACCGTATCGTCAGTCGTCCCTTCAATAAATTGTAGGACGCCTTTATGGCCTCCTTGATTTTCATAGTTTTCTACTCTGACGTGCAGTGTTCTATTTTGAGGTTATGTTACAAATCTATTTGCATCAAATTGTTCATGCTTTTGATTTATATCATCTGTTATATAGCCTGGAGTTTCCTACAATTCAAGAGGAAACATAGCCTGGCAATAGGAGAGCGCTGACGCTGACGGGGAACAGTAGAAATCTAGAAATACACCAGCCTTTCAGTATGAGAGAAAAAACTATGAAAATCAAGGAGGCCATAAAGGCGTCCTACAATTTTAGTCTTTTCCTGCTTCAAGAAGGCTGGGGTATTTCTAGATTTCTACTGTTCCGGGTCAGCGTCAGCGCTTTCCTATTGTGAGGCTGTTTTCCTTTTGAATTGTAGAAAAATTCAGGCTGATATAAATCAAAAGCATGAACAGTTTGATGCAAATAGATATTTGTAACATAACCTCAAAATAGAGCGCTGACACAGAACAGTAGAAAACCATGAAAATCAAGGCGGTCATAAAGGCGTCCTATAATAGTGGGAACGACTGACGAAACGCACCTTAGTCCAATACGGTCTATGGGGGACCAGCTCTAACTATAGTAAATATATATTTGTTTCTTTATATAGCGAAACATTCACACATAATATACTGATTATGTTTTAATAATTATTAAAAAAAATGGCTATTATTGCCTTGAAATAACACTTTTTCGAGAATCTTTGTACGGATCTTAGAGCTATTTGAAATTAAAAGATATGTATCTTTCACCCAGAAATCATCTGAAATTATGACCGACTAATAAAAAATATAGACCTACCTACCTATTTACATATTTTTTGGAAGACATCTCCTGCGCAATTTGCCATGTTGCATGTCCCTCAATGGAGGCTATTAAATCTCCGAAAATCTATAGTTGGAATTCAGTACCGTTGATAAGTTAACAGCGGGTAAATGTGCTTAGCAACATTTCAATGACATGAGAAAAATTATTTACTAGGTTATTTTTATGCAAAAATGCAATATGACAAATAGTCGGACGACTATGAAGCTGTAACAATTGACAACGTTACTTAAGTTGCGTAAACGCGTCATTCATAATAATGTGTCATTGTGAGTTTCCGTGTTGACGGTGTAACTTGCCATTCGAACTTTCTTTATTTTTATCCGCAATGATTTTTTGGTTGTTTGTAAAATTAAGAACGATGTAACACTGCTACATGTGTCAAATGATAGCCTACTAAACAGAAGAACATGTTTCGGTTCACAGGTAAGTATGGGTTATGTTTATGTTTTGTTTTCACTCCGCCCTCGCCCATCGACATGAGCACAACTTATTTTTGATTTTATGAATGAACTGAGAGGTCTATATTTTTTAGCAGTCGGAAGTTAAGTTACAACTTAAAAAAAACTGCACCGAACATTTTATATTACCAGTTTCTTTTTTATTGGAGTAGCTAAAGACAAGCATCAAGTACACTGCTTAATTGTGTAATTTTTTTTATTGAACATCTCAAGATCCGGTCAAAGCTGAGAAGATATATACAAACGAGTTTTTGATAATTTACAGCCAGATTTGAAAAAGAAGGTACTAACTATAGGCTTCAAAGTACATTGGGAGAAAAAACCCACATATGGGAAAAAACCCAACGTCGTATCGTGTTTAAAAATTCAAACTTGAAGAAAACTAAAGTTTCAAACAGAAATAAATGTACAATAGCTAGAGAGGTAGCAACATCATAGTTTCAATAATTCTACCGAAAACTGTAGCACAACAGCTAGTTGGAAATAATCAGGCAACCAGTGACACACTTTTTTCTACTCTGTAGTAACTAAGTTCACTTTGGCTGAAGGTAAATGATAATTTTTAATAGCGACAATTTAAAAAAATATATCAATATCAAAATTAGCGTTGCATCTCTAACTAAGAATACTCTAAGCAAGTTCTTTTATTCTAGAGTAAATTCGCAGTAGTGGCAAATATGGAAAACTGTGGTATGCCACACTGTCGCCAATAATGTTTTTCTACACTTCTACTAGCAATAAAGGTTAAGTGACCAATTATTTCTATAGTTTATGAAGTATCTCTGTATATGTAGCAATAACGTGTTCAGAAAGTTGAAATTTTAATATTTTTTAAAACGCCCACGTGTTTGTGTTTTGTAACATATTATCGATTTATTACTACCAGAAGACTACTATGTCAGCCACAATCAAAAAGAAAATTTTAGTCAACGAATGGCTTTCCATTTCGAAGACGTTACTATTAAGAATGTAATATAAAAACTAAGAGCAAAATTGGTCAAAAGCAATCCCAAGTTTTTAATCAACGATGATGCATGGAATAATTATTGCTTGATACTAGAACTATTGCACTCCTGGAAAAATTCGAAGCAAATCTTTGCAACGAGAACTGCATAGGCCTGACATTAGTAGCTCTCGGTTTACATCTTAAAAATATGTTCCTCCCCGATTTCTTAATCTATGTTGAATATTTTGTTCAACTCTTTAAGGTCCCTCCGATCAACCAGAGGTTTGAGCTCGCCCTGGTTCATCAGAGACACACACATCCTTAACGTCGACCAAATCGTGTCCGACATTTGCGACGCGGAACCGGAGTTCATGACGTCTTTGCCTCTGGCCTGCTGGTTCAGAGCTGTCAAGAAATGCTCGGCCGCTTCCCTAGGAAAAAAAATTATGTCAAATTGGTTGACTCTGTTTTCATGCAATAGAAGCTTTGGCTTTACTGATATGAAAAATAATATCGCTCAAATGTTCACCACGACTGGATTTACAGACGTCCACGCGATGGTCGAAATTTTTAATGACAGTTTGCAACATGGTCGGTTTGTTTATGGCATTTATCTCGGTAATGATGTTGTTTTTGAGTTCTTGGAGGGTGGCTGGTTTGTTGACGTAGACTTTGCTTTTCAAATATCCCCATAAAAAGAAGTCCAAGGGAGTCAAATCGCACGATCTTGGTGGCCATGGCACATTTCCTCTGCGCGAAATCACGCGATCACCGAAGAAGGACTGCAATCGATGGATATTGACGTTGGTTGTGTGGCATGTTGCACCGTCTTGTTGGAAATAAACATCGTCCATATCCATTCCTTCAAGTTGCGGCAAAAAATAGTCCTCTATCATCACGTGATATCGCTCAGAATTGACGGTAACGGCGTCCCCGGCCGCATTTTCGAAAAAGTAAGGTCCGATGATGCCTTTTGACCACAATGCACACCACACAGTCACTTTTTGAGGATGCATCGGCTGCTCTTGATACTCACGGTGATTTTCGTTCGCCCAGATGCGGCAGTTTTGCTTGTTTACCGTCCCATTCAAAGTGAAATGCGCTTCGTCGCTGAACATGATTTTTGATGAAAAATTGGCATCAATTTGACGGTGTTCAAGGAGCCAATCTGAGAACGTTCGGCGCGAAAAATGATCGGCCCGACGCAGCTCTTGCGTCAATTGGATCTTGTAGGCGTGTACATTCAAATCCTTGTGGAGAATGCGGAGCAAACTGGTTCTCGAAATGCCCAATTCTTGGGATCGACGCGTTGTTGATTGTTTCGGATCGTCTCTCACATTCTCCTTCACAACAGCAATATTTTCCGGTGTGCGAACGCTCCTTGGCCGGCCAGAGCCTGGCAGATTTGCCACAGAACCTGTTGCCCCGAATTTGCGCACCAGACGACCGATGGTTGTTTCGTTTGGGCGGTTGTTGCGACCGAAATGTTCACGAAGCGCGCGAAACGTGTTTTTTTATGTTTGCACCATTTTTGTAGTGCTCTTGAGTAACTTTAATGCGGTCTTCAATCGAATATGACTCCATAGCGATCAATGGTAAACATTCAACTAACAAAATGACATGTCGGTGACAGAAAACAAAGATGGCGTCTATGTCAAATTGACGTTTACTTTCCTGCGTCCCTATTGGACAACCCTTTATGTCGCGCCTTATTCTCTCCGAACTGAGCGGTGTGATCGAACCAACCACTGGTGAAATGCTGGACGGTTGTGTATTGTTGCGTAAGCGGTGTTGCTAGAACTGCCTACGTAAATATATAGGAAATATCGTGGTAAAGTGGTAAAAAACAGAACATATCTACATACCTATACGCATTTAGATTGATACAAGTGATTCCGACATTATACCTGGCCCTGATAAAACCAGGCACAATGTTCAAAGCGTGATGATAAGCATCTACAGCTTCCTCTGGCCTTGAACCATTCGCTAAAGTTGCACCTAACCTATTCCAAAGCCGTGCGTCCTGAAAATATACATTTTATTTCAAAAATGTCTGACCAATGTGGTATTAATTTTTAGGTAAGTCCGTCCATAGTTTGATGAGAACAATGCGAATATTTGGATCTCTGTGAGAGTAGAGTAAGATGTAGTTGTAGCTCATTAGTTGTTGGGTATGCTTAGTGTTAAATTTAGTAATGTTTAAAAGTGAATTATTTGCAACGACGACTTACGTCCGGTTTGACAGAAAGCGCAGCGGTAAAACAATCAGCAGCTTTGTTGTATTCCCCAGACAGATTGAACAGAACGCCTAAGCCGCATTGTATCTCATAATCAATATCCTTGGGATTTCGTTGTGCAGCTTTGATGAACAGATCCTGCACCTGCTTGTGCTGACTCCTAGACATTGTAAACATTGGAAAAATTAATATATTATGTCAAATTTATTAACAGTATACAATATTTACCAACTACTATAATCTCAAGATATACCATATTAATGAGATAGCTGCCTTGATACGCCTGTGTCAAAGTACAGATGACCTAATAAATGGATTGTTAGGTATAAACGACAAAGGCCAGTAATTCCAATGGTTGGCAGATAGCAATCAATATGGAATCCAAATAAAAAATGTGCACATTTTTAAACATCATTGTATGTGGTGTAAATGTGTATAGGTTCGAGTATTACCATCACCAGAATCTTTTCCAAAACCACAACTAGTGTTGGGTGAAACTAAGGAATCGGGTTTGTTAAGCTTGTGTATATTACTATTAGGGAAATATAGATGGTCCTATAACAAAAATGGAGTAATACTTCTATCTTCCCAGTATTATCCGTGTATGTGAATTGTACGAGTACACAAACACTGTTATAAAAACACAAATGTTAGGAACACACTATGAAAAGCTAAACTGCAAAGCTAAGCTACTTTAGTAGTCACTTAGTCAAGCTATATACAAAGCAGTACAAAGAAAGGTAAATCTCACCAGAATTAAATCTATTCAACACTTAAAATGCAACAAAACTGAAAAAATTAAAAAACGATTATAAAAAATCAAAAACTAATACTGAGCAATATCACCTGAATAAAAATGTATCCCAGATTGCTCTTGACTTTACAAGCCAATAAATAGAACCACATATGTTTACAAAATAAGCTTTATTGGCGTTCCAGTTGGCTCATACGATAAATGCAATCATAAAAACGAGAAAATTAACTCGTCAACCAGAAATGACGTGTTATTAAACCAACTGATAACCCCATGATTGGTCGCTAATCAGTGATGATACATCATTATGTACGCGTATACAATTGGAATTTTGGATGTCTTGATATTCACGTATAAAATCGTCATACTTCAGTTAGGTCACTTGCATATATTCATCGCCTGTAGAAGTGATTTTTGAACAATTAGAAAAGGTATCAATATACAAGTAGATATGCATTAGTTATATACTAAGTGACATATAAATCCGAACACCCAGTTTAAATGGTTTTATTTTAATAAAATTTTGTATGAGTACTTAATGAAGCATAATAAGTAAATGATAAAAATTTCAAAATGATTGCACTGCTTTAAAGCCCTTTGACCTTTAATAATGTGTGGATGCACCCTGATGTGCTACGCATTCTCCAACACGCCTAGGCATGCTTCTGATCAGGTGGTCAATGTCCTCCTGTGGTATCTCATTCCAGGCAACCACCAACTCCTCTCGAAGTGCTTCTAGAGTCTGAGAAGGACTTTGCAAATTGAGCAATCTCCTACCCATCATATCCCACACGTGCTCAATTGGGGATAAGTCGGGAGATCTTGGTGGCCATGGTAACAATGTGTCATCATTATGTTGATAGAAGTCTATTGTGACTCTTGCAACATGTGGTCGGGCATTATCTTGTTGGAAAATTGGATCTGCCAGGGTGTCAAGATAGGTTAAAAGATGGGGTTCTAGAACTTCGTGGATATAACGCTGCGCGTTCATGTTACCTCTGATGAAGATTAAAGGTGACATGGAACCATAAGCTATAGCACCCCAAACCATAACTCCAACAGTGTGATGAACATGTCTTTCAACAAAAATCTGTGGATTCCTCCTTTCACCACGTCACCTTCTAACCCTGGCACGACCATCGTGCATGCCTAAACAAAATCGAGACTCGTCACTAAAGACAATACTGTTCCATTCCTGATCCCAGAGTGACCGTTGTCTGCACCACTCAAGGCGATTACGTCGGTGTTCTCGAGTTAAAGGGAGGACCCAGTGTGGCCGGTATGAAAACAAGCCAAAACTTCTCATTCGTCGGTAAACACTTCGCATGCCAATAGGTCTTCCGTGTTCTGCAAACCTTTCATTTGCAATGGACCTGGTAGTGGAGAAACGGTCCCTTAAGGCCAATAATCTTAGGCGGCGATCTTCACGGTCTGTTGTTCTACGGCGGCGTCCAGTGCCCCTTGCTCTTTGCGTACGGCCTTCTCGAAGCCATGCCTGACAACACCTAACCACAGTGTCTACACTTCTTTGCACTCTAACTGCAATTGCCCGAAAAGAAAGTCCAGCTTCCCGAAGTCCCACTATACGGCCCCTATCAAACTCACTAAGTTGACGAAATCGTACAGGTCTCCGTACTCTAGGTATCGCAACCGATCGTAAAGGATGTCAAGAACCAAAATCCGCCAACGGTGATTCTTTACTGCGGCTGAAATATTCATTTTTAGAGCGTTAGTGAATTAAAAAAAAGCAGTATAAAAACCGGAATGTCCAACTGATAAGGCTGAAAATTTGTTCACTTGTTATTTACAGTAAGATAAATACATTCACCAACTTTTATTAAAATAAAACCATTTAAACTGGGTGTTCGGATTTATATGTCACTTAGTATATATACAAAGTTATAGTTTTTAATTAATTAAAATAAAATACATACTGGAAACAAAATCCATCCATCTCACTGATCTCATTCAGCGTCGTCAGCATCGTCAAGTCAATATTTAGATTGGCAAGGCCGTTGTCAGTGAATAGTAAGGAGTAACACATGCTTTTTTGCTACTTTTTCTTACCATACCCATAGAAATTGATAAAAATGCGCGTCGATAGCCGTATATTACGATATAAGAAAAATCAACTTATCTGTGCGAATTTCAGCGACATGTAGCCGAGTTTTTACAGATACAGTACTCTACGGGATATTTTAGTCTGCAAGGCCCTCGTATAGCTGGGACCTTGGGTGGCGGTGGAGCGCTTCCGTAATGTCGACGTTTAGGCAACCAGTTATGCGACCATGCATGAGCGCTCTCTTGAACGGCCGAGATTCACGAATCCTCGAGACCCGCCTGGAAACACTTACCGCCATCTACCAGTTTCGAGGAAGAATCGAATTTTTGCTAGAAAATGCTGGAGTTCATCGGGAACCGTCGGTTGACCACATAAATATCCGGCCAGACGGCAGTCACAGTGGAGACAGGCAAACGCACGGAAATAAGATGAAATAATAGTCCAGTCCACATAGTTATAAATGTGTTATAAATTAGTTGCAAGTGTCAAAGAAATAAATTAGTCTTTGGACAGTAAAAACGGTGTTTTCGTTACACTTCATCATTGTATACACATTGTATATGCAATGTTTACATGAAACCGCATATCTTTGAATCGTCATTTGTACTTTGGTGGCCGAAACGTCAATAAAAAGCAATTCAAACATATGTGGTTTCATTTAGCGTCCAAAAAATCATGGAATCTTATCAGCATGAAAACTGGAGAGTAAATTTCAGGTGATACCGAATGTACTGATAACTGTAAAAGTGGAAATTTTATGCTCATACATTAATGATATCTAAATTGGAAACTCAATGATCTGGGAGCAATTATTATTGAATTCACTAAAAAAAGTTGAAGCTTCACAGCAAATAAAATTACTTTTCCTATACTTCTTCCCTCTAATGATTCTACACAACAGATTTTTTTTTCATAAAATATAGCCCGGAAATAAAGAACCATTTCAGATAACGAGATCCACCACCTTACTGTCTTGCATTACCCATGCTACAAGCACACTTACGGATCTAGCAAACTGGTAACTTGCCCCGATATCCTGAGGTCTCCGGACTCGACTAAGTCCTTGTACTTAGGATTGTACTTCAGCCAGTTTAACAGAGCCAAGCATGCTTGATTGTAGTAACTCTCGTTCGTGTAGCACACAGCTAAGGCCATCAAGGCGCGCAAGTCGGTCGGTTCCAGCTCCAGGCACTTGTTCAGGGCTGCTATTGCTTGAGGATCCTGAGAAAAAAACGTCGAAACAACTTCTAGGTACAATTTTCTTTGTAGTGCAATGACATTGAAAATGCGTGGTTTTTGTCAAAATCAGTAATGCACTATTTGGGCTTTTCATGAAAAAAAAATCCCGGATTGCAGCAATGAGTGTATCCGTACATTTCTTTGCAGGTCTAGTGTAAAACTGCTTGTCTGCTCGAAATATTGTTCTAAATTCTACTGTATGGGGAAATCAGTGGTATGTAAAATAAGTCGAACAGGTGCGTAAAATTATCGGGGTTGGAAGTGTATTTCACTATACTAAGATCAAAAAATTGCGAGACATCCTCCCTCATCCCTCCAATTTTTTACTCCTAAACGGTTTTTCAAAAATGATCAGGATCTTCTACAAAAGTATGAGCGTTTTTTTTTCTGTAGAGCTGCCGCCACTGAACGGATTTTGAAAAACTTAAAAGCTTTTTTGTCCTTTGCAAAGTAGTACCCTTGTTTGCAAATTCCATCAAAATCCCAGACAGATGATTTGTCGTGAACATCCAAAAAACCTCTCATTTTCGAAACTTACTCGTCAGTATGACATGAGAAGTGAAAACAATATTTAATTTCATCATGAAGATCTAAGCATTTGCTGGTGCTGTGGAGCTATAGGAAGAAGCAATCTTAAAGTAATATTTTTACACAACAAGCATGAAAATAAAAGCAGCATTATTAACATAGAGTTACCTGTTCATTTTCAGCCTGAGTGGTTCCCAATAACAACCAAGCTTCTGCATTATTGCTCTCTTGTTTTACTGCAGCTTCAAAGCAAAGGACTGCACTGGGAAAATCGCCTTCTTCCAGAAATTGTTTGCCTTTTTCTAGTGGCTTGGGAGTCTCTAGCATGGGGTTTTCATCACTAAATTCATATTCCTTAAAAAAATCGTGTTGTTGAAAAAAATTAATTATATTATTAGTAAACTAGATATACTTAAAAATATAGTATGTACTTGCATATTCAAAAGGTCATTATACGATTTCAACTCTTTTCTCTGTTACGATATAAAATTCTCAAGTATTTAGTTTAGATAAAAGAAACTGGACAATATTTCCTTATTTCCAGTATCAGACTAGACATAGACTGTTTTTTCATTACCTTTGGTGGAGTGTTGTAATATGTGTTGAATTCATCCATCCATGGATGAGGTGCATCATTTCCTAATTCAGCTGTCTTTTTCATGTCTTCTTGGAACTGATCCCAAAATGTTGAATTGTAATCATCATCTGCAAAAATATTCTGTGTAAAAAGAATCAGTTGAATGAACATTTAAGAGTTAAAAATGTGATATGCAAATATATCAAATAAAACAAAGAGCTGGCAAAACAATTGGAGTAAAAACAGTTGCAGATTTGTGTGAAAGTTACCCTTTGTTTTGACATGTTCTTCAGCCCATTTCCTTGCTAGCAATGAGTCAGCATCCTCTTGTACTTTGTCATCAAAATATTCTTTTGTCCAAGCTTCTGCCTCAGCTTCTGTCAACTTACCACCACCAACATCTACCTGTGTATCTTGCTCAGTTTTCATAAATTTCATAAACTGAAATTCAGAAAATCCATGCATTAAACACATTTGAGAAAATGTAAAAAATGGAAAAGAGTTTGATTCACCTCATTTTGGTTTCATCAAAGCCACAATGTCTATGTACTCAATTTTGAGATGACATGATCAGTTAATGTTACACTTTGGTTGTATATTAAACTGTTTTATTCTTAATATAAAGAAGTAATTAGACAATAAAATTCCTTACCTTTGAGTAAACAAATTTAGAATCTTCATTAGTAGAGTCCAGTTGATCTTCACTTAATGCAGCCTCAGCATTCAAAATTTCATGATTCCAAGCATTTGTTAATGACATGAAGTCATGTTCACTTTTTTCTTGGGACAATATCTCTGCCCAAACTGCTTCATTACCGTTTACTCCTTCCTTAAAGCCACAATACAAATTGAGGTTTAGTTTAACATAATCAAGGGAAACTGAAGAAATAAGCTAAAAAATTGTGTTTTGATAAAAGTTACATCCTAATCTTTAATTTTAAAATGAGGAAGAAGTATTTGCGATATCCGTTAAAGTATAGTCTTACCCAAAATATTGTATATTTTATTGTACTTAAATGATGTACCTATTGTGCTAAATAAATCTATCACTTATCAAGTGATCAAAGATTAATAAGCGTATATTTGATTCAAAATTGTGGTCTCACAATAATGCTTAATTTCACCATTTTATTTAGGTATGGAATACTCTGTAAAGGAGTTTATTTGGAGGACAATTCTTAAACTGGAACAAAACAATAATACCCCATTATTGTTATTAATTCAGGTGTACTTACATCAAACTTTTTACCATCTTCAATATACTGTTGGGCCCAAGCCCCTTCTTGAACATCGTGCAGTTGATCTTTAACAGTGGAAGCAGGTACAGGGGGTAGGACTGACCTTTGAGACTCAATTTCGTGCATCTCCCGCATGAGATCTACAACATAGTAAAATTACAAGGTATCATGAAGGTGTCATAGGAAAGCATACCGTCCATTCGGAAGGTCTGTGGAAGGGCTCTGGTTTCCTGCAGGAATTGCTCGACCAACTGGTCCGAGTTGGTCTGGAAGAGCTGCCCATGACTGTCTGCAAAAGTATGGTCAGATGTGATGTGTGAAGTGAGTCTCTGCAAGGGGTTGGCCTGGCCACATTCCGCCTCAGTTAATTGTCTGAATGCCATTGTGGTAATGCTTTTTCTTCACTTAATCTGCAAATTGTCTGCTACATTATACGCTAATCATCTTTATCAAAAGATCGGAAAAATCAACCCTGGAATTTGTTTTTGACAAATTTGACATTGACATTAACTGACAGTTGACATATGATGCATGCCTATCGCAGCTGAAACAGCTGCGTTCAGAATCACTATCGAGGAACGAACTTATGACGTCACACTTTTTCGAAAGAAACATTTGTGTTCTGGTCAGACTCAGACAAAAGCTTTAATAGCGTTGCTCAGGTAGAAAGGGTCGTTGATAGCAGGTAATAATAGTTGTTGTTGGGGGTGGTTTGGTGAGCGTACGTATATAGTCAAAATCACGAAAGATGACTATTACGTCATACCCTAAATTGTACTGAAGTAATCAATGGACATACATCGATGATAAAATCACGATGTCAGGAACATAATGACAACAAATTTATATTATAATTTTGCGAAGTTAGGTTATTTCACTGATTATTGAACATAACCTAACTATTCATCTTTCAAATATGATCGATCATGCAACATAAAAACATCGTCTAGCTTTGTCGGATACATGCAAATTAGCAATACAGTTTATTTAGACAATAAAATCCTGTTTGTCTCTGTCTAGCATATTACAAATTAAAAAATTAAATATATTCACAAATCGCTGTCGTTTGCCTTTACTACAGACTCAAATGCTGACGTAATCGTCTTCTTTCGTGATTTCGACTATGGTAAATCATGTGGTTATCTCCTCACCTCCTGGATGCAACGCAAGGCGGTCACGTTAGTGATCTGTTTTTTATAAGCAATAACCCCCAATACCATAATTTAGTGTGGTGCCCAGTCTCTTCCCTCATTCTAGATTTCTACTGTTCCGTGTCAGCGTCAGCGCTCTCCTATTGTGAATTTATGTTTTCTTTTTGACTCTTAGGAAATTGCAGGCTGATAAAACAGATGATGTAAATCAAAAGCATGAACAATTTGATTTGAAAATAGATATTTGTGGCAACCTCAAAATAGAGACACGGAACAGTAGAAAATCAAGGCGTCCTACAATAATTGTAGGAACGACTGACGATACGGCCCTAAATGTTCGGCGGGCACGCTTTCAATTGAATTGGATACCTTCTGGTGAAATACGTCAATCACTGAGAATACTGAGAAATAAAACTATAAAAACAACATTTGATGAGTATATTTTTACATAATTAACACGTAAAAAGTAATATCTTACAGTGCATCTGATACGTGGTAATCTACAGTCATATTGAACAATTCGGAAAAGTAGGTGTTAATGTAGTATTTACGAAAAAGTATTTAAAACTCCTGTTTAAATATAAATTGGGAATAAATACTTATATATAACAATTTGAGCTTATAGATTTATGCTAAATTAAAGGCAGCAAGTACAAGTGTTTGGGTCTCAATGGGAGCGTTCAGATAACGTAAAGCGGACGAGCGCTTTTATCTTGAATAGTAGTCATGGTCCTTCATGGGAAAACTTTCACAATTTGACACCAGTTATCGCTTGCGTGGCAGATTTTGACTAGATCTAGGAGGTTAAACTCATAAAGTGCCGTTGAAGTAACAAATGTCGAGCATGAAGTAAGTTAGTACACTGCGCATGAAATTAATTGAGGTGTTGCGCATAGGGCACCTCTCTCGTGTGTACACTGCGCAGAAAGAGAATTTTAGTTCTGCGCATGTGGCATCTCTGTCTGTTGCTGTCATCATGACTGTAAACAACTCCAATTTTGACTGTTCGTACGAGTTGCAAGCAGAGATATTGGATACCTAATATTAATTAACCACGAAGTATGTGATAAACCTACAAAGCATGGTAAAACTTAGTGAAATACACGTCAAGATTGCGGCAGGTTATGTTGACATTTTTCAATGCGCAGATGTTCGACGCCCACCAAATTTGCGAGAGACGACATTTAACCTCCTCTCTAGTCTTCGCGATGTTGGCTAATGTTGCGAACTGTCAAAGGTCAAAGCTATTCCACGGCTACATCTATTCAGCGTATGCTTTATGTTTGCTGAACGCTCCCATTGTCTTGGATGTTCCACATAGCTTTCTTTACAAGGGGTCTTTATAAGAAAGTTGCATTTGATTAAAATAACAAAAATAGAAACGCTACAGCATCATGCATTGTCTCGTCCTGGGCTTTTTATTCTTATATCTTAAATAAACCCTAATGGCCTCCACGAAGATTTCGTCGAGTCCCTGACATCTCAGGGCTGAGCATTCCATGTAGCCTTGTGCCTTCACCTTTCTTTTCAGTTTTCTGCCATCTTCTGGGGTATAACATGCTATGCTAGGGTCGTCCCTTAAATCTGTTTTTGTTGCTGAAAGTAAGAAAAGTTCTCTAGCAATACTGGATAAACTGTCACATTCAAGGTTAACCATTTATAATATTTACTATCGAAGTACTACCAAGACAAATGAGCTACGTGTGTTAGAAATTTGCATATGTTTTTGTTGTTTATACATACCAACTAAGATCATAGGAACATTCGGACTGAAATGCCGTACCTCTGGCACCCATTTTATTGCAACATTGTCGTAAGATGCCAAATTCTTATCCACCGAAAAACAAACTAGGAAACAGTTTGTCTGCAACAAATATAAAAAATTATATAAATTATAAGCGTATATACTTGGCGTCTAATTTTCATGATCATTGATATCAACTTACATGAGGGTAAGATAATGGTCGAAGTCTTTCGTAATCTTCTTGACCTGCAGTGTCCCATAATGTGACATTGTAGTCTACGTCATCGACAGTGATTTTTTGGCCGTAATGCTCAAATCTGCAAAATACTTAGCGATAATTGAGAAGCCTCTATTTTTGGCCGTATATGCTTTCGCAAAATCTTCTCAAATGACTCGCTACCATGATCTTAAAGTTCTTCATTAGTTGCAATATAAACATTGATTAACACAGGTATTCTAACTGAGAATTTGTCATAACTATCTTTCTATTCTCCACAATAGTTTGGAATCTTATTTGAAAACATTAGTGTCTGATAGATGGCGCCGTAGCCAAAATTTCTAAAGTATAGACATCTAAATATTGCGGAAAGATAGGTGTGTCAAATTCTGATAGATGGCGCCAGGCTATCTCATTTTATCTCCGATAACTTTTTGATCGCGGGAACATGGCATTAGGATGACTATCTCCGGGTAGAATACATTAATCATTGATTTTATTCAGCTACGCATTCGGGAATAAAGCGTTCAATATCATGTGAATCAACGTGTATTTCGTTCTATACTCACACTGTGGGCACGTATTCACTGGGAAACTCCCCCGTGGTGTATGTGCTGAGCATGCAGGTCTTGCCGACGATGCCGTCACCCACGGCTGTTATCTTCACGGACGTCATCTTCAACGTCGCCTGCGTAGATGCTTCTGATGATGCTGGAATGGAAAAGGACACCTTCACTTTTCTAATATAAACATCCTCAGATACAACGTGAGGTGTTTGTCGTAAGTATGACGGCATTTAGCCGCAGGCTAAACAAGAATCTGTTGTGGTTTTCCATATATACCGAGTGTGCAAAATGCAAAAATTGCATCAAAAGTATAAACTATACGAGGTGATCAGTATGCTGAGAGACGACTTTTATTTTCAGGTTAACTAAAAATGTGTTGTGCTTTGTATATACCCAGTGTGCAAAATGACAATAATCTTTTTATTTTTATAATAGTCTGACTCACAACCACCCACGTAGTGGTACTAAAAACGAAAACTTACCTATTCATTCTATACCGGGTGGAACGTAGGTAACGGAGCGGCTCTCTATTTTTTTAAAAGGTCAAGGTCATGACACTACCAGTAGTCGGACAAATCTTATTGGTAAAAACTTGAGTGTTTGAAATCCTATTCTTGCTGGTAATTGCTACTAGATTTAGCAACTAATTTGTCCCAGTTTTCAAAAATTTCATATCCACAGTTGTCATATTGACAATTTTTGTCAGTTGTCAGTTAAAGGCAAGTGGAATGGTCAGCTGATAATAAATGCTGTTCTCGTTACATATGCAGAAGACATTAAAAATTTGCGAAATAAATCAATCTTAATATGTTATTTTAACATTTTGAGGTCAAATTGTAGTGGTCGCTGACTGGGTCATTAAACTCGTCAAACTCCAATACGACTACAGAAATGGCGTGGTTGTTATCAGTCTAGCTTTTTCTGTCTAAACATCGAGACTATCAAACTTTTATCTTGAAATTAAACAAACCAAAATAAGACTGAAGCCCCACCTACTGGACGGATAGCGAAAGATAACAAATAATGTAGATTATGGGCAGTGATATTGGAATGAATTAATTTTCATAGCATCTCAATAACTGGCCACTTACAAATACCAGCAATTTTTCCACGCGACTGTGAAATAAAATTTCACATTTCCACTTCCTTCGGGAATGGATACCAAGAAAAAAATTAATTCCGTATATATGGTGAAGGGAGGTTAAAGAAGACGGTCTGTGCTGTGAGAAATTTTGGGAAATTGCTGGAATATGCAAACAGTATGATAGTTCAAAGTCGACAGTGCAGGACTGGATTAAAGGGAAAAATTAGTTTCTTGTACATTTTTATGTAGTTTGGATGTATTTTTCATTTTTTTCATTTCATTTATTTTCATTTGGGTTTGACATTGAGCCTCATCTTCAAGATCATAATACTACATAAAAAAGAATTACGAAAGCATTCAGAAAAGCTCCTTCTGCATTACTCATTATTAACTGTCCAGTTTTGAAATTACCATACCTGTATGAAACATCCTCGTATACAACAGGAACTGACGTTATTCACCTACTTTTGTATGATGATATTTAGGAACAGATTAAATACATGTGTTGTGGTTTGCTATATTCCAAGACTACAAAAACAAAATGTGCGTCTAACGATATGATTCACACAAATTCATACATAATGAAGGGAGTGTTACGTCGATTTAGCAATTTTAGTACCGACACTTCCGTTGGCCTGTCTGTCTGTCGATCCGCTAATCTTTGGCTCGTTTATAATTTGGAAAGTACCGCTCTCGGACTTTGATAAAATTTTCACACAAGGTACCAAGGACGAAAAATCTTTGTAGCTCGTTTCCTGACGTTTCAAAGGTACCTAACCATTTTCAAAATATTTTGTCGGGGTTAAAAGTTGGGAGTTGTAGCGGGTGTGAGAGGGTATTCTCTTTAAAACTTAGAATGATGGAGAGATATTTTCAATACACGCGTCCTTGAGACAACTCGGCGAACATACATACATATACCTGCTTCGAGGGTTGACCTATATGTTTCCGATGGGTGGTTACGACATGCCGTACTGGGTGGGAAAGTTGCGAAATCAGCCAAGCCAGCATTGCCAGATGAGCAGTACTGTGGATAGATCAGGGGAGAAATGTCTAGAGCGTAGCGTTGTCAAATGCGTGGGGACTATATTCATTGAATCCCTTTGTTGTACATATTCGTAGCAAACTTTTATCTCTCAGCTTTGAACTGAGGACATGATTGCGTGGGAAGTGCAGAGTCAACCTACTTGACGTCATTTTCTTAAACTCAAAAGTAGCTGCAAAGGTCAGTCCGTCCACGTTAAAAACTTGGGCTTGCTTTTTGAATATCTGAGGATGAATATTTCATGAACATCAAAATCTATGAACCCACAGAAGTCCAAGTGTCCATTTAGATTTTGGCTACTCCTTATTTGACAGAGTACAGTATATTACGCCCTAGAAAAATATAACTTGCATTTTGCGCCCAGAGAGAAAACCGCTATCCGTATTTACCGAGGATTAGAAACCTCCAAGAAAAATTCACATTTGCATGTTTTTATACACACCCGGTATAAGCTGACAGATGCAGAATTATACGATCCCTTCCTGATTTTGCTGAAAATGTCAAATGAGCACATTTCGTAGGTATATAAATATAGTGTTATTTAACGTTTTTAATTTCGACATTCTTGCATACGAGCATTGCGAACGTAGTATATTTACACATTTGCGATTCGCGTATACGTACCGACTTGAACGCTATAATATTCATGAGACAATAAATTATTGAAATGTTGTCGATACGAATACAAAGATTAAGGCCCGTATCGTCAGTCATCCCTACAATTGTAGGGCGCCTTTATGGCCTCCTTGATTGTCATAGTTTTCTACTTCTCCGTGTCAGAACTCTATTTTGAGGTTATGTCACAAACATCTATTTGCATCAAATTGTGCTTGCTTTTGAGTTATATCATGTTTTATCACCCTGAAATTTCCTACAGTTTAAAAAGAAAACATATTATCTTCACAATAGGAGAGCGCTGACGCTGACACGGGACAAGTGTAACCTAGAAACTTTTGAAGGAGAGAAAGGAGTATGACAATCAAGGACGCCATAAACGAGCCCTACAATGGTAGGGACGATTGACGATACGGGCCTAAATAACTTGTATAACCCTAATTTGTCTTAAGAGGTATCTGGTATTTCCCAACAGTCTAAGGCCTAATAATTTTTGGTATTTTGTAGATCCTGTGGGTGCATGACTTGTCTGTTAATTCAAAAGTGATAGGTGCCGCTAAAACTGAAGACAAAAAAGCAAGATCGCTGAAGCCCCATATCTTGCCGGTTTTTCCCCAGAAACGATTATACATATATAGTCCTAAAATGTTGGTCTCTGTATAAAATCACTAGATTGTTCGATAGTCAGGTTGTAAATAATAATTATATCATAAAATATAAGACAACTAAACTGCACAATGCATAATATAAAATGCAAGCAATTTATAAACAAAGCAAATAATCCAAATGCAATATTTTGCGAACGTGCTTATAGAGAAAAATCGTATATCCTTTCGCATTGTAGATATACAGGATTGGACAGTGGGTATATGATACTGCTATCAGATATTGATAATTCCTCAAATACTCGTATATAGAGTTCATGAAACTGAAAACATGAAGCCGCCTTAGTCTTAGTCATCCTCAAAACAGTCATTTTAACATGGAGCAAAATTATTCACCTTTTCCTTTCAAGACCTTACCTTGAAAATATTCCCAAAACTTTTGATTACATCACAACGGTGCCACCTTTTTCATATACGATATAAAAAAACACTGTCATCCGATGTACTCTCGCACGTACGACTGCATTAGATCAACTAGAGGAAACTCTTATCTATTCCTTATCGTTTCACGATTTATTGTATCAGAGCAGCGTATTGTGTGTATGCGTATACATCAGTAAGGTTGACGTTTTTCAGCAATAAACAGGTGAATATTGTGAAAGGTTGGCTCAATAAATTTTACATGTAACCAGCTGAATTTTTTGAAGTTTTTTTGCGACTATCTAGATCGAATCTCAATATATGTTTCTGCGATTTCTTTCTTCTTATGCAAATTATTAAATGATGCAATAAAACGTCAATATGATCGAAACCATGTATTAACTATATTCAGAGCAAAAATTATTATGAAAAATGTTTTCCCACGCACAAGAATTAAATTCTTCTGTGAAATTATTTCAGTTTTTGCGTATATATATTTATTTTCAATAAACTCCCATCTAGCAAAGTAGTGGTATAAGCTTTTGGTAAAAGGACAGTTCAGCCATAAAAGCTCTCTATTGTTGTTGCCTGAACACCAAAATGCTGGCTTAATGTTGTGTGGAATGCAAATTTGCTTTTTGCAACATATTTGCTCTAAAATGAGGTGTTTAAAATATTCTTATAGCATAGTTATACAACATCTTATAGGGCAAATTTTTAACTGTTGCATAAACGTTTATACAACTATTTTATACGGCATATTTGCACGTTAGTCAAAATGGTTGTGTTGTGGCATCCATGGTAACGTTTATAAAACAAACCCGAGCCTTGTTGTTTTGCTGTGCGATTTACTATTTTAGCCAACAAATTGCTCCCAACGGAAGCACTTACGCAACTGTTGTTTAGTAACTGTTAAAGGCTGTACATATGCTAAATATGTCGGTAAACAACTTCCCATAACCTAACTTTCTGCTGTCATATTTTTGTAAAATGCCATAACCAATGTTTTAAGACAAACAACGCATCCATATTGGTTCAAAAGGTTTTATCAACTGTTCAAACAGAAGATATAGATCTGGTACAAATTCTGAGTAAATCATTCGACTCCGTCGGTATTTCATTTCAGACATTTGTCAAATTGTTGTATAACACCTGCAGGCAACACCAAAAGATGCTAATAACCTAAAGACAACATGGACGATGCCATGATTGTACACAACCACCCGCCACATTGGGCAAACATTTATTCCTCTATTTAATATTAAATAATTATGTTTCAGTTCGAAATTACAGATATAAAGAGATAAACATTAGTGTAATTGTGTCTAAATATAGAATTTGTGGAAGATTTAACGCAGATAAGTTCAGTTTTCCATCTTCAAAATCTAGACATACTTTTGATCATTGTCAAAATATGAATCAAATACGAAGCCCGTAGAAATTGGGTAACTAATTTGCACGATGATCACAATAAAATTTGCTGCGCAAGTAATTCAATAGCCCTATATCACAGTGTAGAAGTTTATCATATACCTGTGTATGAAATTCACAATGGCCGATATGTAAGTAAACAAGATGACTGTAATGTGTTAGTTATATATTCTTCACTTCGTCTATACAATACATAAGAAATAGTTTGGTTGCAATAAAGTAGAATCACGTAACAGAATAGTTGTATAGTTGACAAAAACTGAATCTTGCACTGACGCAAATGTCCTATAGCGCTGCAAGAGGCTTACACTTTTGTTGTATAACTGTTACCTGCAGCCCTTATACAACCTCTTAAATGATTGAAGTGTCCTATTAGGTGTGCCCATTCCACTTGTATAGCTGTTCTAAGAGGGTTTTGCCAATGTTCTTACAGTATACAATGATGTTTAAGGAATACTGTATAATCATTCTTGGAACTCTAATAGGAGTGATAATTGTTAGTTGGGCTGTAATGCTTCATACGTGAACAAAGGCTGTATATCTTCAACTTTTGCAATGCTTTATGCCCTACCAATTTTATACGATTCGTTTGGGGATCCATTTGCAGTGGTGGATTCAGGGGAGTGTCCCCCCCAAATTTCAGATTGTTTTGCAATTGGCAAATGTCCCACCCCCCTGAATCGCCGGTACTCCCCTCGCTCTCTTCAATGTTCAATAGCCGATACCCCCGAGACGGACATTTTCTTCTTGATCACGAATCCGGAGCCCCACAGGTCCTTTTTGAGCGGGTAATTTCAAAGTCATCATGTGGACCCCCTCCAAAGATACTTTCTAGATCCGCCTCTATCCCTTGGTACGATGTTCTTGATAAGGATATTGGAAGACGTGAGAATATCACAGCATTCCATGGAGGCATAAAGAAGTATGTAGTTTGTATAGAGGTTTTTGTCCAGCTGTCATACTGGACATGTTAGGAAAATGCAAATTTTTAGTATGTCAAAGACTGGACAGCACACTAACAAAAAACAATCAAACATGTAGCAAACACTGACGTCACTGCGAAGCGCACCAAACTAGCGGCGTTTATATTGACGCCGTCGGTATTGTAGTTTTAAACATTTAAATAAAATGAGTGCAGTCATTGCAATGAATGAAATATGTGTTTACGGTATTCTATTAACGTATTTAATCGGCAGAAGATGCAAAAAAGCATGCGTATTCCCTACTGGCGTGACAAGTAATAAGTTGATTTTAATATTTACCTTTTAAACGCACTTCATAAAGAATAATACCGCATTTGACACTATACGAAATAGCATTTCACATTAAGCTGTGTATTTTTCGCATTAGTCACTTTTGTGCCATAAAGCTCCCGCTGTAGCGCGAATGTCGCTCACTTTAGTTGTAATTGGTTTTAATTTGGAATAGGACAAAATTATGTTTGGTTTTTACATAAGATATTAGGGTCAACCGTGAGTGGGAGAGTTAATTGCATATTATGTTTTAAGTCTGAAATAGCTATTTATGTAACTTGGACAAGTGCTACGCTGCAGCGTCCAGTAGTTTTATACTGTCCTTGCATAAAGAGCTCCGTATAACAGAAGCGCATTTTCCATACGGCTATTATAATATTTTTGTTAAATACGAGATGCGGGATGGATATAAGGCTTGTTGAATGACTGTCAGCGAACAAAAACACCTATATTTAAGGTATTTTTATTTTCATATGTATATGAAAGTGGTATTACGTTTCAGGAAATGGCATCAAGTAGGTTGACTCTTACTTTCCATCACGCAACGCTGTCATTATCGTTAATTCAAAAAGGATTCTTATTGTTGTAAGAATAAAGTTAACTGCGGACATATACAGAGTGACTTCGAAGTTGAGTCATTTATTTTAACAGTGAGTAGATCTGATCAAAAGAAATGTTTTTTCCTTTAACATTTTTCTGGTAAAATTAAAGTAACAAAGTTATAGCCATTTAGAAGTTTGAGTACCGCCCTGTCTCAATAATAATATTATGTGCTCGTGTTTGGCAACAACGGATATAATCCGCCTTATCCGTTCATCGCATCGGAAACAAAAAAGCGAAAGAATTTGAAACGATGTTTTTACCACAATGTACAATTTTATTCAGTTGTATTGAGTCGATGTGTCAGTCGGTAACGCGTGAGTGAATAGTGGTGTTTGTTGCGTGGCTCAAACGAAATAAAAAATGGCACATGTTTACGAAAATGCTGAATGTAGTACAAAGGGCTCGTGAATCAGGTGACTTAAGACCTCACAGGGGAGGGCATGCCGGTGCTCCAAGACCGCACGATCAAATACAGGTCCGCACTGAAATACTTGCCGGGAGGATACTTTATAAAACAAGGTAACATTTTTTTTTATTTTTTATTTTATATTTACACACATATTTTGGTTTACCTTCCTTCTACAATCATTATGTGAAAATTAATGACTCAACTTCAAAGTCCCTGTATAGCACAAAAAAGGAATTAAACCAAACATGCCTATACAATTAGTTCATAGTCCCATCTACTTGATAAAGTTGAGATTTAGAAACGTCGTCCCCGCTCTTACTGAAAGTATCGACCATATGGCAACATCAGCCATGCTACGCTGGTCAGCTCGAGCAGTGTGGCGGCTAGAGACTATAAGCGGCAGCAATGTTGCCGAATTTACCGATTTTTCAGTATTTCTACTGAAATGAGACTATGTAGTTTTACACATATACTTAAAGGATCATTGCAAAAAAGATTGAAGAGCTCAGTGTAAAACTTGTAATAAAGAAGTTGATGTTTGTTTGGGAAAAGATGCCCTCAAAATACCTATGGTTGTGTGTGTGTGTGTACGACATAAACGCGACATGTCCGTTTGACATTTCTCCAAGTTTGCGATGGGGTTAGAAACGTATGAATATACTACATACAAAACATTGGGATATACTCTCCCCCACCTTCCTACAACCCCAACTCCCAATTTTTAACCTCGACAAAGTTTTTTTTCCGAAAATGCTCAGGAGCCTCCACAACGTTAAAAAACGAAGCTTGACAGATTTTTATTTTTATCGTTTTGTGCCCTCAGCTTCGTCGCCACATGAACCGATTTTCAAAAATTACAAAGCTCTTTCGTCCTTGGCATATGTAGTAGCACTGTGTGAAAAATTTATTCAAATCCAAGTAGCACTTTCCGAGTTCTATAGATGGGCCACGAATTTGTGGACAGGCCGACAGACCGATCGACGGAAACGAGTGGAACGGTTTTTCATAATCATCATCAAAAAACATATTTTTGTGTATAACACACTTCTTCGTCACAGTGCAGTGAAACGGTGAAAACAACAGGTCAATCAAAAATGCAAGGCTAACCATACTTATGACACGCTCTTTGGGTATGTTTTCACGACAATGGCAAGAATCTCAATTACTGTAAAGTCATCATGAGAAAATTAAATTATCTGCTCATCTGTGCATTTCCTTGTGCTTAGAATCCAAACCCGATGTCAATTCAATGCCGTGAGCATTGGCTCTAGGAAGTTAACTTTTTACCCCAAATTTGACCCCACACAATTTAAGAATTTTTGAACTTGCCACAAATTATTTACTTGATTGTTCCAAGAGAATCGTTTGTATCTAGACAACTATAACGAAACTGGGTTTCTAGCGCCTTGAAGTGTACCGTATTTTGCAGTTGAAATATTTAAATTTTTAATAGCACATGTATAAGGGTAATACGTTCAAAATACCATTACTACCACTAAAACCTGTGACTCGAAACAAATCTACACAAATGTTCAATTTATTTGAAAAGGATCCGTGCATTTTGAAAAATCAATTGATCCATTTCACTCACCTGTGTTATTTGAATTTTCCATTTTAAGGTGTCTGTGATGCAGTTTACGACTAACAATTGAAAATCGCGCACCTTTGTAAATTGTTAAGAGCACCGCACTTTAAAACCTGTGTCACAGAATTTTTTAAAAAAAAACTTCACGCCTTTTATCTATCTAGATTAATATTGTCTGTAAGTTTTCGTCTTGTTGTTATGACCCAGCACATCGAACAAAAATTATGTAGTTCTTTACGATTAAAGGTTATACAGCCAATTGTTATTCTACTCACAGCACTCTTAATTATATTTAAACAATGAAAGCATTTTCTGTTATGGAGAGTAAGTTAAAATGTCCATGCAGAAGCAACGTCATCATCCTGTGTCTCCTTATACGATGCTTTGATGTAAGTACAGCACTGTAAGTCATGATATACGAGGACAAGATATTTGGGATATACAGGATGGCACATAATTTCTCGTTAACAGCAGATTCAAATGGTACTAGAAATACCCCATTTCAGTGTTTAAATCATTGCATGGCGCTAGATTCTCAAAATAGTTATCCCTTGAAAAGTGTTTTTGAAATGTCAGTCATGGGCGCTGGCAGAGGGCAGGGGCGGTCGTATCCCTCCATGAGAATCCAGTTGGCCCTAAAAAATTGCATATTTAGCGTGGTGTATAAAACAGGGGACTTTCAGTTAGGGTTTGTCGCCCCCCAATGCTGAAGCGATTTCCTATACCACCCGCTCTTCAAAATGTTTTGGGGGCTGATACACTTTTACCGCTTGTAGATGATGCCCCCCACCCCTCTAGAAAAAATCCCTGCTGGCGCGCATGGTATCAGCTGGATTACCATTTTTTTAATAACCTTAATTTGCTTGTTTAGAAAACGATTTTTATTTCGAAAATAATGGGTCTTGACAAAAAACTCCCAGAGGCAGCTTTTAGGTAGAATCAGTCTGGAATTAAGATACTGATGCAATTTTTTTCACGAAATGGTGTCGCATTTTTTTACGCTGAATAATATTTCGATTTCATGACACGATCGTCAGTATTGCAAGTGCTTTAGAAAAACCTATTGCACATTTTAATGTAACCTTTGAAGACACGTTTCCATGTACCTTCCATTTCAAATTCTCAATCTGATGAGAAACGTAAGGTTTGATCTATCATAGATGAGCATGTTCCGGATTTATGCTTGGATGAAGTTTTCTGAGAAGCGCCGCATTTGTAAGATATATGAAGAGACTTGAAAGAACTGGAGTAAGCTCCGCTTGGCACCTCTTCAACAGTGCCAGTCCGGACCATAAGCTTTGTTGATGTCGAGAGTCAAGAGCACCCGTTTTACGGTCTTATGCCTGAATATTACTATCGCATAGTATAGGGAACCCTTTAAATCGACAGCACATGGTGGAGATGGAGCAAAGATCTTGGTAAGCAAGGAGAAACTTGCAGGTAACTCAATACCTAAGGCCCGTATACAAAAGCAGGACATCTCATTTCACTTCGGTTAAGTTTTAAAGTTTTTGGACGCCGAAATACAGTACAACGTTCCAAGGATGTTATCTCCAGGTAAGTTACGTTCATCAGTGGTAATACCAGAACGTGGAATGTAAGATGTTAAAGCCAGTCGAGAAAGATACAGTATTCTCTCTTCTCAAAAGTGAACACTCGAGAAACACGAACGTGATTGGATTCAAAAATCACGAATAGAATAAAAAACTTTTATTTCACGTACAAAATATATTACTGAGGTTCATAGATATGTCTTTATAAATAAATAGATACATAAGTTAAAACATAATAACTGAATATTGCATATACTGATACTCTTTTGTGTGCATTGTTACAACATTAAAAATATAAAAGTCTCCATTTTTCTCAGCAACAGAGCGCAAGCAAGAAATCATCTGATGTTTATCCATACACTTCACACAAGGCTGAGATCAAAATCTGACAAACTACTACTTTTCTCATGCTTTCCTGCAGGTTGTGCACTTCCTGTATCACTAGGAGTCACGTTAAACGCAACTTTTTTCTTCGCCACAACACCAGCTGTGCTACTTGCTGGTCGAATTGGACCTGGTTTATCATCCAAAGAAGTTATGGATTGCAATTCGGAGTCTGTATTTTGTAACAGCTCCAGGGTTGTTTTTGAAGGAAGCAACTGATTGATTTTTGTGCTTTCGCAGATTTCCGGATGGTCAGATTCGCTGTCGGTTTGGAAGAGTTCTTTGTGTTTTATTGTTTTTATTGGCTTGGGTTCGGGGCTAAAAAACAAATGGAAAGTTATTTCGGCGACAGAAAACAATGTGTGAACATTAACAGTACACTAAGTAAAATTATGGTGTCCGCAAGGAATCGTATTAGTTCAAACTGTCATTTACTTTCGTCCATCGCAAGTGACAGCTTCTCGATTGTAATTACCGGGACGTGTAAGCAACGTAGTTACTTTTTTTTTGTTGATTATAATTTGAAGTCTAGTATTTTCACGTAGTGATAATATGGAGGTGCAAGAATATGGTTACTCTTATTATTTACCTGTTTTGTGTAAAAACATGCGTTTTGGAGTTTTATATAAATTTTTGATTGAAATTTGTTTTTGCTAGATTTTGTTCCTACAAAATTAATTCATTTCGAGTAATAAACTCTCAGCTGAGCCTTGCTGGAACTGAGATAAATGTTATCTTAAAGTAGAGAATGTCTAGATTAGGGGCATATACGTTTCATCTGCATCTTCATATAAGTTCGTAGTACAAAAAAAGAGGTGTTTTCCAAATCGAATTTTGTTGTTGTTTTGGTAAATTTTTTAAGTATTCTGTTTCGAAGAGGATTATTTCTGATATTTGGCACTCTAAGAAGGGCAGTGGTTTACGAGTTTACCTGTTAAAAAAAGGCATATTGTCAAAATTTATGTTGGATTTGTTAAGCTAATTGCTTCGATTATAATGTATTATGAGTATTAGAATTTATAATTTTTTGCCATATATCTTGTTTGCCCTTATTATGGATTGTTTTATTTTATTTCTTTAATATAAGGTTGATATAAAACAATATCTAAAACAAAAATACTGAGAAACATTTTTAGTACCTACTTAGTATTTTTTTCCTAAAAAAGAATTTTATAAATTGTATTTACATGTTTACTGTATTTTGAGGTTTTGAAATACAAAGGTTAAATCTAAGTTGTGTATTTATGGCCGCCCTAGTATGGAAGGGGAATCAGTGTGCAATCCTGTTTAATTTGTATATTAATGACCTTTTCAAGTTCAACAAAAACTTACAATCAGTTAATAATTTCAAATATTTAGGGGTATTCAAAGATAATCATATAAGATGGAATATACACGTCGAACATTTAATAAAAAACTTAAGATACCTCATTCCAAAAAACAAATATTTCAGCAGCTTTTTGAGCGAAAAATGTCGACACATGACCTTGTGCAATCAATGCTACTTATGGAATCTTAGCATGGGGTAGAGCCAAGAATGATTATTATAAAAAATAAGCAGTGGATTTTGAAGGCTATGTTAAACAAAAAGAAATGTGATCACACAGAATTTTTTTACACAATGATATATGTAATATAAAAAAACCATTGTTACATTCTAGTAGCCACAATAATCAAACGCGGTTCAAAAAAGCACTTATTCCCAGACTAAATAAAACTGTCAGCCAAAGATCATTCGACTTTCTAGGCTCAAAATTTTATAATGTATCATACACTTTTTTCGTTTTATTTTAGGCATTCTGAATTATTAGGTACTGAGCTGGCATCTTTTCTGGGACTAGTTTTGACCCAAAAGAGCTATCAAAAGGTTTTATGAACAAAAGCGTAAAACTTACGGTTGTTCTCTTGGCTTTTTCCTACTACGAATTCTCATGAGAGTTGATAACTTTTTCTGAGTATCTGTAAGTGGTGTTCTTATTTTCTTCTTCTTTTTTAATTTTTCTTTGCACCCTCCGACATTTAGTGTTTTTTCAATAGATTTTCTGACTGATGAGTAGTTGTCATATCTCTGTAAAACCAATTTAACAAGAAATATAAAGTGACATTCTTCAAAGTATTCGTTGAAAGTTAACCTTTTTATCCATATTTGCTTGGTGTTTGATTATTTCCAATCCCCTCTCAAAGGACTTGTTTGGAATGCCTTGCCAATCAAGTGAAATTCCAATATCTTCAAACTTCATCCGAACCAAATCTTTCAACTTTTCATGAACTTTGCCCTTCTTATCCTCTAGGGGAAGTCGTCGATCTATGCTAAAAATAATATTTTTCTAATCAGCATATTGCGGCTGCTATGAGGATCCCAAAGAAACTCTGTTCATCCGATTTTTGAACTGTCTAAGACTAGTAGAACTGGAAACCGTCCCTCTTGGAGATTGTTCCACAATTTTGATACCCTAGCGACAAAGGAGCGGTCTTATCGGCCAGTTCTGGATATACAAAGTTCGACACGGTCAGGATCGAAGGCCGAAGTCAGGCAGGCGGCAGATCGCGCGGCGGCATCATGGAGAAGAGGTCTGAGGAGCAAAGACCAGTGCGAAAGGGTGCCGAGACTGTCTGTTAGAGAAGAGTCATCGATCAGTCAGACAGGTCACGTGGAGAAAAGTGCTTCGTAACCCTAAACAAACAGTCTACCTTTCTTCCAGCTCCTAGCTGTCGCTATTGACGAGATGTGTTCGTGCAAGATCACGTCCGCCATTATCAATCTCAAGTTTTTGGCAAAAGGGTCAAAATAGATAAATGGATACAAAACTAAACAAGAAATGTACTATAAAACGCACGAGCTATCAAATACTGGTTAAAAACATTTCAAACGTAGTTTAGGCAGATAATGGTGTAAAAATAATAAGTCTTTTGCTCTGTTAACCTGGTCCCTTTGACGCCAAAAAAAAAAAAAACTAAAACTGGTTCGCTGGGTATGCTTGGCAGCCCCATATTATCTGATGTTAGTGACATTTTTCCGTTCATTTGATCTATTTTTTCTAGCACCCATGCATCCCATCTTTGAAACATATATCAGGGATGACAGTTTCAGGGAAATACTTTTCTGATGGTAAGCCATAAGCAGGAAATGGAGTGTGTTTTTTCAATAAACGAATCAATATCAGTAGAGAGAAAATTATTGGTCGTCCACTACTATTTTTTCGCCGATAAGGCAATAATTCCCCATTCACTTTGCTGCTGAAAAAAATATATGACTAGGCCACACTATCAAGTTCGTCTTTTGATCGGAAATTCTGTCGAAATATATCCGGGTAGCACTACTTTTCCTGATACAACCAAAGCAGTTCGAGTAAATTTGCCCAAGGTTACCGAACCGAAATACACCCGTTTAATTGCTGATATATCGACATCTGACATCGATATCGGCCATATATCGGTCGATCTTTAATGCTAATTGATATTTGATACCTTTTCTTGCTGCTCTTTTTGCTCAGGACCTTTTCTGGAACACCTTCTTCTTCGGACTCTTCCGAATCATTTGAAAGTTCCTGCACTTTCAATTGCATATGCGTTGCAACTGCTGCAGACTGTTTCAAACCTTTTGAGTCTTTGATTTTGTTTCAATGTCCTGTCGGTTCAGATAAACATTCTTCTTTTCTGGAACAGCCATCAAGATCTCATCATCTTCTTCATGAAATTCATTCTCATCTGCAGAAATTTTACTGCCAGGAGAAGTATCTTCTTGGTGGGAAATGTACTGATCCAACTGAGTTTTCAGCTTTTCAGCAGCACTTGGAACTTCAATATTATCTTGGACCCTCGTGGGTTGCTTAGTTTAGTTCTTGGTTTGATTTTTGGTTTAACCATCGAGTTTTCCTGTTTTGAATGGATTGTATCTCATGTTTGTTCTCGAATTCTTGTCTGTCTGTCATGGAAGAGATTGGTTTGACTTAGCAGTTCCTTGGCTGCTGATCTGTATTTCACTTAGTCTTGTCCAGAAGGATTCCATTTGATTTTGTATGGTGACAAGACTCGTAGATATCTGAAATTTAAGATATTCCTAGTAATTACTGGACAGTTTACAGCTCAGAAAGTACCACCAAGTAAATTTTTATGAAATTCTGATACACGAGATTTTTGCTAGTCATAGATGTGCCAAGGAATAGCAGATACATACTCATCAAATGGATAAAAACAGTAGTTTATTACAGTATTCTTAACAAAGCTGGAAAGCAGCTTCAAAATAATTTTCTCTTCTGGCGTTGATGGATAAGTTATACAAGTCAATGTCAGCTCTTTTGTTCTTAGTCACAGCCAGACATGAGTAGATTAACTTTTACAATTTTCTGCTTAACTTGGAGAAATAATCAAAGAAACTTGTTTTGTATCAAAACTTTACCTTGTTTTCCAAATTAGAGCTTATCTCACTAATCTTCCTTTCAATTTTGTCATCTACTTCTTCCACAACACTTTCATTGTCTATCTCAACATCTTTCTTCTCAAATTTACTGTCTTCTTTTCTACCACAATAACTCTCTTGAACTGTCACTACATCCAATTTTTTTGGCTTTGGAACATCAGCTTTAGATTGTCACTATCTAAAGCATTGTCTTTGAATGTCACAATCTGTAAGTTCTTCCTCTTCACATCACTCTCACTAGATGCATGACTTACATCAGGTTTTTTCTGTGATAGAGACATTTGTGATTCAGAATTTTTTGTCTGCATAACTAAGTCAAAAAGCCTGTTGTATTTGTCTTCATAAAACTTTTTCTCTGTTTGCAAAGTTGATATCTCATTTTCTACTTGTTCCTTAAACTTCTCAAACTTGGCATAAATCTCTCGCACTTCATCATTTTTCTGTTGATTTTCTTTCATTTCTACCTGCGCAGACTTGTCTTTCAGGATTTTTTCAGTAGCATTAAGTCGTTCCTTTAATTCCTTAATTTCTGATTGCAACTGATCAGTTTCACATGGTTTATCAGCATTAACTGACATTTTACTATCATCACTATGCCGTCTTTTAATGTGAGAGTTTAAATAGTTCTCAGATAGAAAAACCTTTAAGCATTTATCACATTTGAAAGTTGCAGTGACGGCATGCTTTTGAATTTGCATTAGGTGGGCTTCTAGCTCTTGGATATATGATTTCATCTCTCTAAGTTCCTAAAAAAGGCATACATTGGAGACATAGAGAATTTAAGCCTTTACAGAAAGACACCTTGGTTTGGCAGCTGTATAGTCCAAGACCGTGATATTATAACCAGACTATATATTCTCATTTACAAAAATACCTCTGCTTTTAAAGCAGTAAGCATGTAAAGAAAAAGACACATGTTGACAAATTAACACTGTATTAATAAAATTATACATACAAGAATCTCTCACCTCTTTAGCTTTTACCACATCTTTCTTAACAAAACCACTGTGTTATCTAAATATCTCTTGCAGAATAGTAAGTACTCTACTTGCCAGTTGACTCATGCGAAATACTTTTACAAAGTTAGTGTCTAATATTTCAGCTTGTTCGTTATCCAATACATATCCTATCACGATGGATAAAAACTGTTCAACAGTAGCTACATCTCTTTCTTTAACAACTCTGTCTATGTCTATGAGACCTGCAAGTAATAAATTGTATTGAATAATGAATAATTTTAAACCTCAAAGATTGCCTACATATCTTATTCTTATCAGGATTTGGTTGTTTCTGTTTATCAAATGAGAATCCTGAATCCCAAGCTAAACGAACGTAATCATAATGCCAGCGACAATCCTCCACCCACATTGTTGATTTTTTGGTCTTTTATGAATTCTAGTAAATCATTATGAAACTACTTCATTTTATTTCTTAAATATTTCTTTTATTTTTGTTTTGATCCAATAACAACAAAACCTTTTTAAATTCAACAGTCAATGTGGCACTTTCGTGACAGACTTAGCTGTCAAAAAATATAGAATTCTTCATACAGAGATAAGTGTCGTGTGTTCTGACCTGCCATCTTTGCTCGCAAAAGTATGCTACAGGTATGACTGCATAGTCATCAAAACCGTTTTTGTATACATTTAAATTTACTTCGCATGTGTTTTGTTGATTATTAATTAGAAATAAAGAGTTTCAGAGCCTAAACCAAGCCATGTAATCGCTACACATGAGATCAGAGATCTATATTTTTTGACAGACCTATTCTAGGGACTTTCAGTTTAGAACTAGATAATTGACAGATTGAAAAATTGAACACGTTTCCGCTGCTCCCTGCTCCTTTTTCCTTTTCCTTTCTGTGTCAAGGAAGCAACATGGTAGGTAATTTCTTCTATGTTTCAATATTTTCCTTATATTTATAGCTAATAGTGAGTTATTTTTTTGTAAAACACTATATAATTGTGGATTGGATTATGTATTTCATGAGTATTGTTATATATGAATGAGAAAATTTCTAAATAGACGTGTTTTCAATGATGCATAACATAACCTGCAAGACCACCCCGTGGTTGCAACAAAATACTGATTTAATGAGTCTGAGAAAGCACATACGTAGTAAAAACGCTCTAAACATTAATTTTTACGCATTCTATATCAAATATCTTTGTTTTTTAGCCTCCCAAAAAGGACGCTAAGTCGTCTGCCAAGCAGCCCCAAAAGACTCAAAAGAAAAAGGAGGGGTCAGGTGGTGGCAAAGCCAAAAAGAAGAAGTGGTCCAAAGGAAAAGTTAGGGACAAGTTGAACAACCAGGTGTTGTTTGACAAGGCCACCTATGATAAGCTATACAAAGAAGTCCCCTCATACAAACTAATCACCCCCTCAGTCGTGTCTGAAAGGCTTAAGGTCAGGGGGTCACTTGCTAGGAGGGCGTTGATTGAACTGCAACAGAAAGGTGAGAAAAATTCAAATAAGAGATCACATTTTTATTTTCGAAGTCGGTGGCCATTATTGTACCCTGTGTTGCATGATAGCTATGTGTTTGTTATATCTTCTTAGTTGGCTATGGATCTTTAGAATGTTTACTTTTTGAAAAATTGAAAATTATTTGGATTTTGTTTTATAGCATGAGTGGACAGATTTTTTTTTCATTTGTTGTTTTTGTTTGAATATATTGGTGTAATTATTGTTTTCTTTTGTTTCAGGACTCATTAAGCAAGTTGTGCAACATAGAGCACAGGTTATTTACACTAGGACCACCAAGGGTGATGATCCAGTTGCGTAAAATAAGTGATACTGGTACTTTTATGTATAGGAAGTAATAAAAAGTTGAAAAAACATGGATCGAGTTTTATTGATTTGTACCTTTGTAAAGATCCAATAAAATTATTTATCCAGACTAACTTCTAGCGAGTCCACATATATAAAAAAATCTTAGTACCCTGACTGCGTGGTACAGGGTTTTTAGTTTTTCAAAATGCAGAAAACTTGACTATTACCTTGTCTGAAAGCAAGTCTGCCCCATTTACGTAGATTTGTGATCTTATAACGGGAGAAAAACTAGAGCTTCAGAAACCTAACAAATGCTAATCGGATTACAAATTGAAAGCTGAGGAGATGGCAGTAACTTTACCAATTTGTCTGTGTTAGTAAATTCAGAACAGCGTTGTGTACGCATTTGGTTACTCTTGTTTATTAAAAGGTACGTTCTCATTTTCTAAAGCTACTAATTTTTCTTAAAAATTTATGAATGTTCGTTTATTACGTATATAGCACCAGTAATACAAATGGGCGCGTCACGGGTTGCCTGAACGTTAGATCTAAAACTGAAGATTGTAGCAATGTCTGGTAGTTAATTCATTTTTATTATATGACATACTGGTTAGTAGTTATAGATAAAAAGCGTACTTATTTGCTTTTGTAGTTAGTGTTGAATATATCTTTTATATTTATTGAATTATTATATATATTTTTAGTAGGCACATCAGTACTACTATCAGAAAGACGTTGCCACAGGTTTCCGTGGTGTAGTGGTTATCACATCCGCCTAACACGCGGAAGGTCCCCGGTTCGATCCCGGGCGGAAACAATTTTTTTTTCAATCAGCAAACTTTTACAAATCATATTGCACTGTTACAAGAAGAATCTGCAAATTAAAGGAAATATAACTAAAAATCTTTTATTTCCAATTTCAAAACGCCAAGTACATGCAGTGTTAATATTTTGACCACGGCAATTTTATTTTATTTCTTGGATTTGAATTAATTTTATAATTATATTTTTTGTTCGTATTTAATAAATTTTCTGTTCATGCAAACCAGCATTGATTTTTTGTTATTTCCCAGAAGCCATATTAAGCACTGATATATTCCGAGCTTAATCATAGCTGCACAAAAGGGCAAGTATACAGAGGACCAGATGACTAGTAGTTGACGTTCTAGAAAATAACGTAATTAACGAGTTATCCCGTAGTTGGCAGCTAACTAACAAAAATAATTTTGAAAAAAGTAAAAAGTTAGCAGGTCCCACCGAGATTTGAACTCGGATCGCTGGATTCAGAGTCCAGAGTGCTACCATTACACCATGGAACCTTCTTACTTTTGGTTACAGATAGCAGAATATACGTTAGCTCAAGTTTTTATCATTCCAATGAATTTTAATATTTTTTAGCGCTGAAATATGGTAGAAATTGAAAATCTTAACTCGGCTATATTACGGCTTTTCTTCAGAAATATTGACAAAGATTATCAGAACTGGGGAATTAGTATAGTCCAGGCCATGTGTATCCACAATAACAGATAATTTATTATTTGTAAAATCAAATATCGAACTTTCCGCACACGGGTGAGAGGGTCTAAAGAAGATGACATCTTTCAACTTATCAAAGGAATAGTTCCTTAATGTCATCTACTTGTAGGTGGAGTTGCATAAATGGCATTTGAGTCCAGAACCAGCTCCTCTTAATTTCATTCAGCAGAATGAAGGACAAAAGATCTTCGAAAGCAGCTCTGAATCAGCATCAATTTCAACATCATCGGTCTCAAAAGTTAGCAAGCCTTCGTGAAGATAAAAGAGAATCAGCACCAGATTTGGACGAAGATAATCGAGGATTGGAGGTTGGCTACGTTCAGAGGAAGGTTTGTAGAGCAAGCTTGATGGAATCTACTTTGATTTCACTGGTCATCGTTGATAAAATAACCAAGATATTGTCCTCCTATTCTTATATTCTAAAGTGTGATAGCGTCTTTCGTTTCCATTTTCAGGAATAGAAAACTTGAATTATTCGTCCTAGGCAACACAATTTTTGCTTTCTTTGCCATATCCTGGCCTCAAATTAAAGAAGCCTTAGACGCAGCCTACTATCTGTATATAAATATACTGAACGTAAAGAGTAAGATTTGAATATGTCCCTGTCGTCTTCAAAGGGTTCATTTTCGTCATATTTATGGTCTGGTATGTAGATTATGTAAATATTTGTTACAATTCAGATACATCAAAGGAAATGCTAGTTCTAAAGCGATGGTGCATTGAATACCTACTTAATTTCTCACTTCTATAGCTTGAGAATAATTGACTCCATTTTATATTTATTTATGCAGAAAGTCACAAAGTTTTGTGTTTTTTTTAGGTACAGCTTTAGTATCGTTGTTTTGGTGAACGACTACTTCAAAGATAATTTCCGGAAATATCTTCATGATGAGTTTAAATCCAACAAATTTAAACAACCTTCCTTAATGGACCTGGTTCAGGACATTGAGCAATGTTCGGCTTTAGGTGACATATCATGTACACAATCACACAATAAGATTTATACGTGTACACTTCGAGAAAGAATTGAAGAAACGTTTTTTATCGGAGTGACAAATGGGAATATGTGTTATAAGTTGTAATAATTTAAGCAAGTAATGAAATAAACAGATAGTGTCACTAACAAATTCATATACGTTATAGAAACCCTATAGTAGTACAAATCTAGGGTGAGAACTTGCAATCAAGGTACTACAGGGTGATTCTATGCCTAAAAGAGCCGAATTATTTATCAGGACTAACGATTGACCTTGCATTAAGCAAAAAGGGTTAATTTTATGGTAAAATGTGTGAAATAAAAATTGTAGAGAATTTTTTGATCTACAATATTCATGATAATTTGCAAATATCCTGAAGCTCATGAGAAGCGATATCTTTGCAAAAAAAAAACAATTTTTGTGACCTTTGACATCTTAAGACGACGCGGCTACAATATTTTATGAGAGTTTTGAGGCTACTTTCAGAATTGCAAAGTAAAGGTTTCTACAAGCTTACAGCTTATTATCTCTCATTTCGAGGTTATTATATATCTATATAACCTACGTTGAATATCTAACGGGAAAATTTATAAAAACTAAGTATGGTATAACTAAAGTTCTTTATTGACTCTCAACAACAATTATAATAACAAATCAATACACTCTGGAAATATCTGCAATATAAACTGATAAAGCGAAGCTATCCTAGTAATCTAATATGATGCCCTACTGTGTGTACTATTCCATACTTGCTTGTGCGTTGTTAGAACGGGTATTCAGGATGATTCTTGATACTGAAAAGGAATATATTAATTTTTGAAAATCTGGATGTTTCCTTAGACTGAAATTAAGAAAGCTAAGCGGACTTTCACGTGTAATGAAAGTTGAATTCGGTCTTCGAAAATTAAAGTTTGATAACCAGGGGTAATCCAGACGTTGGTTACTCTGGGGATTGACCAGTTATTCTTGAGATCACTTGGGTTTCTAGCACTATGAGCTCTTCTAAATAAGACAGCACAAATTGTCATCTATTACTAGAATCGATAAAAGTGAAAATAGCAAACTATCTGTTGGAACTGTATCCCACTTCACATTTGACAGCCGCGTCATCACAGTGGCCGCTAGATGCCGCTGATTCTGGTGGTATGGTATACGGTCTACTCGCCACTGAACAAACTAGTAATAAAAGTTTCGCTCATCTGACTACACACGGCGATCCACGGGATACAGTTCTAACAGACAGCTCGCTTTTTCACTTTCGTAGTTATCGTTTTTGGTAATAGATGGTACTTTCTGCTGTCTTATTTCGATATACCTCATATCCTGGTAGGAAAATAGTTGCTTAGCTTTCATTCGTTGTCCTACTTGATACCAAGTCTAGACCACACTGATGAGTTGCCATAACACAAAACAGCTATCCCTGCTCGGCTGACTGTTGTAGGATGAACGAAAGCTATACTACTAATGAACTCTTCTAATAAAAAATTGGTGAAAGTAGATCTTTCTGTTCTTACCCTTTGAATACAGATTCGAAATCGTATATTCTAAAGCCGCAATCCAGACCACTTAAAGAGTCCATATCTTCATCGTCCAACTCAAAATCGAATATCTCGAAATTTTGTCTGACTCTTGCAGGATTTGTGCTCTTAGGAATAACCACCAGACCTTTCTGCAGACTGTGCCTCAGCAAAACTTGAGCTGGTGTTTTTTTGTGCTTTTCTCCAATTTCGATGACATTTGAATTTGTGAGAAGTTCTGGAACACTGAAAAGCAGAAACTTTACAAGAATTTATGCGTTATATTTAATACTGGACATATCCTTATTATTACTGTAGAGCACATATCATATACAGGGTGACTTCGAAGTTGAGTCATTTATTTTAACAGTGAGTAGATCTGATCAAAAGAAATGTTTTTTCCTTTACCATTTTTCTGGTAAAATTAAAGTAACAAAGTTATAGCCCTTTGGAAGTTTGAGTACCGCCCTGTCTCAATAATAATATTATGAGGTCGTGTTTGGCAACAACGGATATGATCCGCCTTATCGGTTCATCGCATCGGAAACAAAAAAGCGAAAGAATTTGGAACGATGTTTTTACAATTATTTTATTCAGTTGTATACACTATACAGTCAGTGTCAGTCGGTAACGCGTGAGTGAATAGTGGTGCCTGTTGCGTGGCTCAAACGAAATAAAAATGGCACATGTTTATGCGGATCAGTTTCCCAATCGAGTGCAACCAACCCCTCGTGCCTTTGTTAATGTAGTACAACGGGCTCGTGAATCAGGTGACTTAAGACCTCACTGGGGACGGCATGCCGGTGCTCCAAGACCTCACGATCAAATACAGGTCCGCACTGAAATACTTGTCGGGAGGATACTTT